CTGGCCATGACCGCTGCCTCAGGGAGTCTGTTCCAGGGCCCAGTGACCCTATGGTGAAGAACCTTTTCCTGACACCCAAATTGACCCTCCCCTGGAGCAGTTCCATGCCATTCCCTTCGGTCCTATTAGCCCTGGGTATGTGTACAGACTCAAGGACAAGAGGCTGGAGGGCAGCTCTGCATAAGGCGATCTGGAGGGTGTAAATGGTGGCAAGTTGAATCTGATCCAGCAGTGTACCCTGGAGCCAAAAGGGCCAGCTGTACTCAGGGTGCACCAGGCCTAGCACGGCTGCTGGGCAAGGTAAGGGGCTGTCCCCTCTGCTCTGTGCGGTCTCACCTCCAGCACTGGGTGTTGGTTTGGGTACCACAGTATAAAAAGCCCATAAAACTATTAGAGAGCATCCAATGAATGGCTACAAAGATGGTGAAGGTCTGGAGCAAGGTGTATGAGAAGCAGTTGAGGTCTGTTTGTCTGTTCAGCCCAATGCAGAGGAGCTGAGGGGAGGCCTCATAGCGGCTGCAGCTCCTCAAGAAGAGAACGAGGGGCAATGCTGAGCTCTGCTCTCTGGCGAAGTCAACATGGAGGCCTAGTGCAGTCAAGACTACTGTGGCTGGTATCATGCAACCAGAGGCTCTCCTCTCTATCTCACTGGCTGGACCACTGGCTCACTGCAGCAAAGGACAAGGAACAAGGTCACAATACCAATCTCATACTTTTTTGCTGACCCAATGCTATAGGGCTCAAAAACAGCAATGACTGCAAATATACAGCTGCCTCTACTCTTCTTTTGAATGAAAGTACCTGCTGGTCCTCTTGGAAGAAGGTTAACTTCCCAATTCCTACATCTCCCAAACACGTCTAACTTGCAGCCACAATATGGATGGGAATGACAGAAGACCGTGCACTCCACTGACAGTTATCCTCATGATTCCATCTCTTGTATACATACTTGGATACACAGGCATATACACACTACCTGCCTGTTAAACAGATCTGAAGCACAGAATAAAACAGACAAAGTATACAATCTCTCATTTTTAGTCAGCAAAAGACCTGATCCTTACAGTACACAGAAAACCATGTGTGTTTCTGATGAGAGATTTATCTAAATTTTTGCAGATTCTGATCTATCATCCAAATCCTAGAAAATCTTTTACATTTGTGTAAATCAATAAATGATCTTATATTTAAACACTTACGGGAAACAAGTCACATTGAAGGACCTAAAGGAAAATTGTTTATGTGTGGTCCTGAGTCAGTTCAATTAAAAGCAAAGAAGCTCATGAAGGACAGGGGGCCTTTTCAAGCAGAAATGCTGGACTAAGGGAAACTATTGTATACAGACAGGGCAAACTATGGCACACCACTTCTGCTGTGTGAATACTGAGGAAGAACTTCAAGAAAGGTTTGAAAAAAATGTTGCACATTTTAAGCTGGTTAGAAGGTATGAACCCTTGAGTAGGTTTCTTTAGAAGAAGGAATGCAGTGAGTTGTTTGGAGGACATATATTGTTTCTTTTTTTTTCCTGCTAATTCTTGTAACTGTGACCATTGCAGACAAATTGTATTACTAATTATAAAGGAGATAGCAAGGATAGGCTTTTCAGATACGCAGAAAAAAACACAAAGTAATTTAAAACAGCATGGAATAGAAGCTTCAGTTGCAAGACAAAGAATAAGAGATTTAATCTTTGTGCCAAGATGTCCAGACAAGCTATGAATCCAAATCAGTGTCCCTGTGGGAATCTGAACAAATACAAAATTCCCCAGTAGTTTCACAGATCACGCCATATCCAGTGAGGAAACGCTTTTCTCTCTTCTCTATTGCATTTTTTTTTTCCCCCTAAGAAATTCCTGGAGTTCTGTTAAGTGTAGCTGTTATTTTTGAAATGACTTCTGTTTGGTGATTAAAACCAAAGCATCTACAGGTTTTCCATGCCCTCGATCATCTCCTTCCCCCAAAAGCACACTATGAACTGTTGGTAAGAACCACTTCTCAGGGTGCCTGTTAGAGTAAACACAAGATTGAACAACTATCCAGAGTTGCCTAAAAGGCACTGACTGGCTAAAACTTCCTCTGAGTTACTCAGCAGGAGGCTGGCATCCTCCATTTTGTTGCGGATATATTTGCTGTGGGTTTGCCCACCAGATGACTTCTGTCATCTGAAACGTCTGTTGAGTTTGAGCTTCTACTTAAACAGAGCAGCACAAAGTTCCAGCTGGCATTGTGTTTTCCTGCATGTTAATGAGATTTATTCTGTCAATACTTGTGAATTAAGTAACGGAAGAGGGGAAGTCTAATATTGGCCTCCAGCCCCGGGGCAGGGGGTGCAATTTGCAGGACTCTGTGCAAGCAGGAGGAAAGCTCCTTCTTCAGTAGGAATTTCTCATCATTCTGGGAGTGATCCACATTCCCTCACAGCACATTTTTTTCACACTGAGCTTTCCACTTCTGATGCCAGGAAAACTGTTTCTGTTCCTTTACCCTCTCCTCCAGGCAGCCCCTGCCTCAGTAAGCTCTGTCTGCTTCCCCAAGCACTCGGGAAAGGAAAATCATCCCTATCTCCTAACAGCAAGAATTGCTGCCACAAACGTTTACAGTTTCTCTACTATACCACAGTGTCAAAAGGGGAAACAAAAATCAAAATGCTTATCATAGGCTTAGTAATTCATAAAAGACAAAAAACAATCAACCACTTTCTCTGCAAATCTAATCAAGGAAAAGGAGGGATGTCTTACAAGGAGGTGACCTGGAGTTCAATCTTCAGAGCACAAAGGAACTTCCAGACAACTTTTGGCATCTCAAGTGAAGAGAAAAATGTAGTTACATACTGTAAGAATAGGAGAAAAACTACTTTCTTGGTTAAAAAACAAAAACAAAAACCAAACTACTGAAAGTATTCAGGTCTATTAAGCTAAAAATAAGTAAATCACATTTTACTAGATATTGAGAGCTGATATTTAAAGTTCAAAGGGAGATGCTTTTCAAAATGTTTATTGGCTTGTGAAAACAGTGAGTTATCTATTGAATCTGCTCCGCACCCTTAATTAGCACAAATGCCAGTAGGGAAACTTCCTGTGTGCTTTCTCCCATGCTGACCTTCAGCTTGAGAAAAATTCTCGAGTGAAAATAAATTTTAATTCCCTTCCTGAAATCAAACATCTGGCTTTGGTTAAGGAGGCACATAACTGTGTCCTTTGTGATATCTAGATTTCAAGTTCTCTGCGACAGGGGAGTATTTTCTTCATTATTTGCTGCTGAAAATGATAAGGTCTTTGTTTTATAGATACAGTAATGACAACACTACCACTGAAGGATGATAACATGATTGTCATCATGATTAACATTGGTTTATCATTTGAATGCCAAGTATAAATACCAGTGCACATCATACTTCATCACTCTTCATCTTTGTAATTAACTTCTGACATATTATAAACTGAATATTGTCCTGCTCAAGAGCTCATAAACAGATCCAGTGTCTAAAGCTGTCATTGAAATGTAGAAGCCAAGGGTATATCAATCTCCTCAAAAGCATTATACTGCTGATAATATTATGTGTATCACTTTAATGAGAGACACAAACCTGCACATTCACTTCTTTGAAAGTGGGAGGCAAATGAAATAGGATTTCATCTATCACATTTTCATTTATTTTGCTATTCTTGACTTCTCAGAGATCTAGTGGAATGGATGGACCAGGACGTGTGGCAAAGTCAGAAAATGCCTCATAAGAGTCTACATGATTTCTATGCCTTATATGCAAGGGATTTCAGGAAGTAAGAGCTAGGCTGATTGCAATAGTAAATGCATGCTTTGCCTGTATGCGCCTGATTCTAATCATGCAGCAAAGGGGAAAATCATTGGAGAAGTCTGATTCCCTGCTTACTAAAGATTCATTTCTGATGGATTTTATTCTTCCAGAAGCAAGAGGAGCAAGAATTCTTAACACAACTTTGGGCACCAAAGAAGCTCATGTGATGAGTCCCAAGGGCTTATAAACAACAGCAGATGGGCAGACCTTCAATCAGCAGCCTGAGAAAATCACCCAGATGTCAGCGCTGGAATGTTATGCTTCTCCCAGGAAGTGGGGAATATGTATCCTTAACAGCAAGGTGGAAAACTCATGCTGTGGAGAGACAGGAAAGGACCCTCATAATAACAAGTCTATCTTTATGGCAACAAGGATTTGGTAGAAAAACATGTATTACATGATCCAGAATTAAAACAATATTTTAAAATTGGCATGACTGAAGTAGTTTTGCATTCTGAAGAGCTGCAGTGAAAGCAGACAAAAGCTTAATTAATTACCTGGAGTTTTGTTTGACCCAAGGGTGATGCAGACCAAGAATAATGGTTTCTGTGTAATTCTCTTTTCCTTGGTGCAGAAAAAAAAGGAAGAATAATCAGATCATTCACACCTTTAAGAAGAGGCTGAAACACCCTCCAAGAGAGACAAGATTCAGAGGGGATAAAGGCCATTTTCAACAAAACTGGTATCTTTTTGAAGTGTGAAGTGCAAAAATGGGAAGTTTACTTTTAGAAAAAGCAGCTAGGCATCTGAATTTTGAAGTCATGTGCCTACATTAAGCAACCACCTAGTCCCTAACCAAATGGGCTGATTTTCAATCTAGAGTTGTGTAAAAATAACTCTGGAGGACTGCTTTCCCAGAAGGGTAAGGGTTATACACATAACGCAGTGTCCACTTAAGAAAATCTTCTACAAACAGCACTAATAATTATCCAGGCAGAAAGGTTTATTTTAAACTAATTTGCATTTAGATCCTCTTCTGTCTTTTACATTCTTATCAGTCTGAATAGTAAAAACAGGTGATTATGCTTTGTTTTTTTTCTTATCTTCACCAAAAAATACATTTGTATATTTATCTGTTTATATTAAATCAGAAGTACATGCACATATGTCAGACAGACAATCATTGCAAGGGGAATTATATTTAATAGAGTTAATATTTAAATTTAAAAGATGAAACTGTCTCAGCCTGTTGAAATATTTTTCAATCAGGATTGCACTCTTTACACATTACAATTTATACAGAAAGGAATTGTGACAAGGAAGGACCAGTTCTGATGCAGGTAGATAAGACAAAGGAGAAAAAAAAGAAATAGAAACCGTGGCATGCATTACAGTCTTAGGTAATTGTGTGAAATCAGTGGGTAGGGAAATGGCTCCCTTCATGTTGGATTGATCAGAGGATGTTGTAAACACCCTCTAGAAGCCTTTATCTATCAGTCTAGTCCCAGTCTCTGTCCCTAACAAGTCTTTACATGCACACCATAAAGGCAAGTCCCATAGCACCTTATTAACTTGTTTATCCTTTCCAGCTCTCTGTATTCAAACTAAATCACATTATGCAATGAGCTGCTATGAAAGCAAATGAAATGTATTCTGTTTTTGCGTGCTCAAGCATCTGTTCAAGATCTCTTCAAAGACTATTTGACCAATTTAGGATCAATATAATGTCTTGATTATTTTCCCATACAGCAAAAAGCAGCTTCTGCTGAGGTTATGTTTAAAACTATTGAGATGCTGCAAAAATCTGTGACTCAAAAAGTAGATTTCAATGCTTTGGGCAATCTGATCATCTTCTCTACAGAATTCATTATTTTTAGGAGGCAGGTGTAACAAGGTGGCCTTGACATGTGACAGATCTTGTCCTGTAGGGTATTAGAACATTTTCTGTTGAAAAGTCTTCCTTCCAAACTGCAGCATTCAAATGATTCGATCATTTGTAACTTTTTCTGGGGGAATGAAAAAAAAAAAAAAAAAAGCACATCTCAGCTATGTTGCATGACATGTATTTCTATGGGAAAAGGAAAGATACAGTTACTATGTAAACAAAAGAAAAACAAGAAAATCTCACTTGCTCATCTGAGCTCATCACCAGCTAAATACAATTTTGATCAGTTCTCCCATCAACAGCAAGATCTGCTCTGATAGAATTTACCATAAAAGGAGATTTGGGGGTTTACTGTTATCGAGGGATTGACTAAATGTTACAATAACAACAATGAATAGAAACACAAACTATTTGAAACTGTTGAATTCAGCAAGCATTTGTTTTCTAAATGTGTAATAAGTCCTCTGTGGCTGTCATCAGAATGGCTCCGAATGATTTATTTCATGACTTTGTTCACAGAGTCAGTTCATATAAACCTATTTCCAGCATTAATGCATTCCAAAAAATGCAGAATGAGGGCATACACTGGGTGTATCCCAGGTCATAGCACAAAATTAACCCAACAAGTCCAAGAAAGAAGCTCAAGAAGGAAGGAAGGCTGTCATCCACTTCTCATTAGTATATTTTAGGAGAACAAAGAGATTGAACTTAGCTTTTTAGTTGTTGGAGGCTGAATTCAGTCACTAAAATATCCCAGTTCTACAAGCAATATTCAGGAGTAAGCAGCAGTTTACCTGCCTGAAGTGTACTATGGAAATGGATCTTTGCATTGTTCTGCCAAGCATAGCACCATGGGTGTAAGAGGCTTTCTTCAAAACAAATCACGGATACTGCATGGGTAACAAAATGTCATCTGCAGTAACATTAGAAAAACTCCCAGTTCTCCTTGCAGACGGGCAAAATACGCTTGCATGCCAGGCAAAGGCAGGTTTATTAAAAGGAAACATTTAAAAATAAATTAACATTAAATTACACTACAACAAGAAATTTAACTATTTCAAACTAGTTCCCATCAAAGATAAGTGGTATATGCTTGAGAAAATGCAAAGGTATATTTCAGAAATATTTATGCAAATACAGAAAGAGCAACAGAAATTTGGTTATAAACCTGACAAGATGAATAGAAGGTGTCATTAACATTTGCTCCAGCAATGTGAGCCATGGGTTCTTCCTCCTGGGGGAATCACAGAGGAAAATTGTAAACAAATATTTCTGCTCAGCATCATAAAATAAATTCTCAGTTCTGTATTCAGTCCTGAAGATATTGCCAGGCAACAGGAAATTATTGCTATATCTTGAGAGAATTCCTCGAATTTGTTATTTTTAGGTCATCCATCAGTAACACAATGCAAAGTTTTGACTAGGTTTTATATTCCAATGAGCCCATACTTAAAGTAAAACAGAAGTCCAGAAACTTCAGCAGAGTAGAAAACAAATTCATCTCTGTAATCCACTAAAATCTGTAGCTACGAATTGGTATCGATCAGTATATTGTTTAAAGGAGATTAAGAGTTTGATCATGTCCTTGTAATGCTGCTCTTCCAACTGCCTCTTTCAGAACTTTGAGAGCCATCTCTGCGTCAAAGTTTTCACATGCTCTGGACACACTATCACTAGCTACAGGAACTCCGTGTGCAGCCCATGCATGGGCTACAGCACAACTTCTAGACAGGAGTCTGCTTTGAATGGCAAAGAAACTACCATAGCCCGTGGCAAATTCACCCAATGGATAACAACATTTGCTGCTAAAAGAACCCTGCTGCTGCTTCTTTCTTGAAGTCACAGCTTCCAGTGACTTGCTATGACTTGACACTTGCTGTATGTTTTGCTACTATGTCAATTTCCTTTTTTTGCTTAAAACATTTTCAGAGGAAAAGCTCTACCAGAAGCTATACATTTGATGCAGGGTTAATGAAGGGTTTTATGAACTATTTACATGTATGTGTATACCATACGATTGCCATAGTCTTCTTTACCTTCTCGGCTTTAAAATCTCATACAGTGAGCTCTGTGTAAGTAACAATGACTTCAAACACTTCCTTTAAAATGTAAATGCATTCATCGTCTTTGAACACTAAACTATTATCAATTTGGCATTGTAAATGGTGCTTTTAAATATTAAACATGATCGACCTCTTTAGCAATACTTCGTTTGCCACTGGCTAAAAACACATTTCCAGCCAGATTTTTCAGCTGAGCTGACAAGGATAATTTGTCAAACTATGGCTCACTAGGACACTTTCCATACCCACCAGTTGCAGACATGCAACAGACATAAGGGCATGTAATTAGTCTGAGCCCAGCTTTTAATCACTATACACACAAGAAATTGCTGTCCCTGTGTTGGTACACACTTGGATGGAGAGCTGGCCTTGGTGAAGGGGGGAAATTAGGGAAAGCAGAGACAATGACAGAAAGAAAATAGGAAGGAAAGGACAAAGCTGCATGATGCTTCAAGTAACATTCGTCAATTGCATATAGACTGTAATGCCTCAGAAAGACCCAATTAAGGCAATGGAAATACAGCAGTTATGCAGGGATGAATCATCTGACCCAAAATAGAAGCACATAAGAGAAGAAAGCATGTCATTTTAGCTTTAACAGTAAAATAATTCTAGCTATAATCTTCCAAAAATATTTGGCCAACAGAAACCTGGTCGTGCACCTATCGCTCAACATCAACTGAACATTGGTGCACTCTTTACCTTGCCCGAAACCAGGACATGACACATAGTGTAGTGCCAACTCAAGTTCTGGCAAATAATCTTATGCCCTTTAATACATTGGCTTGGCATGCAGGCGCCTGGTCATCGCTGACAAAAACACAGAGCTAACAGAGGTGACAAAAACAGTGTTTTTGTAGCTAAGAATTTGCTCTATCAAACAGTGTTACTGTGCTCATTGTATCTGTTGCAGTTTCCAAGGAAAAAAAACAGGAGGTATTACTTTTGGAGCCACCTATACCCAAGACAATAATTCTTTACTCAGTGTCACCCAGGCAAGCCAGAAGGTTGGTCATCCATGTACTAATAGAGGAAATGAGACCACAAGCTAGCTCCCATCACAGTGTGTCTACAGCAGGTGCAAAGCAATGGAGAAAGTTTCCAAGGCAGAGAGCCTGCCTATATTCCTAAATTTACAGCCCAAGTTTAAATGTAAAAATATCCAGTTGAAGGGGAGAAAGAAGATGCCCAGGCAGCTGAGCAGTATGCCAGGGAGCTGAAGACAAAGCTCCTGTTCCACATCATACCTACCTGCAGGTGTTTGGGAGCAAGCATAGCATTCCAGCAACCTCAGCATCTGCTGACGAGACTGGAGAGTCAGATTCTTCAACCACTGATGTCAAGGTTTAAGACTTGCTCTAAACCACTGCAGCCTACTGCCTCTTCTAGTCTGGAAAACACTGAGCTAATCTCCCCTGTAAGGAAGCCAGGCTCCAGCAGCAATTACCCTGTATGCCATTCTGACAACATGACATTCTCTACGTAGATCTGCTTTTTTTCACAAGCGGAAAATTTGGTTTTTTTCCACCAGATCTTTTCCATCAGTGAGCACCTCTTTTGTATGTAAAGACAACCTCAATACTATTGTGTGTTACTTTGGAAATATGAAGAGATCTTAACAAGAGAACAACCACATACATTGTAGACACAACAGCTAGGGCTCTCTATGCTGCTTTATGTCTCTCAGCATTTTCTATGCTTTAAATGAGCTGTCTGGTAAGTGCCCTCATCCTCTAACTCAGTGTGAGATTGTATCAGCTTAATCTTAAAGCCAAAGACTTTTGGGTTCTGAGCCCTCACACGTTATAGCTGGTCAAATGTCTTCTCCTATCTACAGTACAGACATACAAACAACACAGTGTACAAAATTAGAGAACAGTTTAAGGCAAAAATTTCTCTGCATCTCCTGTTTTTTTGTGTGTGTGTGTGTGGTGATTCTGTTCAACTTCCTAATTTTTTGGAAAAAAAAAAAAAAGCCCAACAAAAAACCAGTTAGTTACTCAGTAACTTGTGGCAGTGCACATCACGTGTACCACAGTGCTAAGACTTCACTGCAGTCAGCCCAAAAGCACACCACCTGTGAGGTGGAAGTCCACAGTTTCAGCAGAATCAGCACTTACACATTGTGCACCGAGATACATGCAGTACCTGTGCATTTGCACGTTATAATCCTTCTGCAGGCTCAGGAACTGAGGTCTTCCATTCCACATTTCCATTTCACTGACTCCAGCTCACTGACTTTCTGACTCTGACAAGAAGTGAGGATTCATAGTGGGAGATGTGCTACCTAGTTAGCTCTGTAGAGAGCTCCCTTAGATCTTCAAACCTTGATTAAAACTTCGGGTAGTTTGGCTAATGCACAAGTGTAAGAGTTTGGGGATTTTCCAGGACAGCACAAAGATGTAGTAAGAAGTCACCAGATTGTGAAGAGCCTTGCAACAAAAACAACATGGGGGATTTTACCAAGTGAGCTGTTTCCAATCAGAAACATTTCTCCTGTAGATCTCCAGCAAGCATTCCAGTTGTACTGGTGATGTGTGGTCTACAGTGATGATTCCTGTCAACATAACTGTAAGACTGTAGCTTGATGGAAAGCACAGTGATAATAGCAGAGTGGCAAAGTCCTAGGCTGCAGCAAGTGAGGATAAGTCCAAATGTAACAGCCGTAGATACAGAAACAAAAGAAAAAAGCTGTTTACCCTTAGAAGGCCACAGGTAGGCAGGGAACTCCTGCAAGATCTTCTTATCTCCATTACCAACCCTACAATGAGGTCTGGGAAAGGATGGATGCTGGGTCCATCCCTTCTGGTCACTCCAGTTCATTTCATGCATCTGAGCTCCACTGGTTTGTCCTGCCTTCCCACCAGGGACTCAATCACTGGTTCTGGCTGTAACTTAGCATTTCTGCTACAATAACCAAGGGAATAGTGTTGGAAGTGACAACATTTGTGCAACTGAGGGGGGGGGAAGACAACTGTGTGATGGCACGGCCAAGTTTTGCCTCTCCATATTCAGCATTCAAAATGCCTTGTAAACATAATAGTCTGTAAACACATATACAAGCACACCTCTCAAATATAAAGTAACACATCCCAGCCAGCTGACCCTTAAGCAAGATACTTCTGCTAGAGAGGCAATCAGCCTCTCTTGTCCATATATAATTGGCTCATATACAATGAACTGCCACAGGGAAGTTGGGGGAAGAGCATCGCATTTGCAGAAAGGCAGGTCATGTGAAAAGACCTCTTCCAGAGCACTGGTTTTGTACTCCCTGGCCCTCCCACAGATTTCAGGCAGTCAGAACTGGAAAGCATTTCAAAATAAATCCTCTTTCTGGTTTCGTCACACACGGGATGTAAATTGATGGTATAGAACTGACAATAAGAATTTCAGCCAGTAGCATAAACACAGAGACATCAATAATTCGGTGTCTGTTTATTTTTGCTATGCCACTTGACCTTCCTACTCAGAAAGGAATAAATCAGTATTGAGATGCCATCAGCAAGATTGCATGGACCATAAAACTGCAAAAGCTGACCCTTAGTTGTTATAGGGCAGTATTTTGTATTCACAGCCAAAAAGCAAGTTTCAGTTTCTGATCTCAGACTATGGTCATAGCTTTATACTGAACAAAAAGGCACTACATCCATTTTAAAGTTGATATAGATTGCAAACTCTCCTTGAAATGTGTATTTTGTTGTCTTAGGAGCAGCATGTAAACATCCAATGTGAAATAACCCAGTGAGACAACAGCACCCTCAGGTATAGTGCATGTGACAGATTTAAGCTGCATAAAATAATATTGAAAAATGCCATATAGCAACATCTCAACATTTCAGACATTGTTTGATCAAGCAATCAAATGCAGACAATTTCTCTGTAAGCCAAGTTTTGCTTCCTGACTTCTGGATTTTTATTTAATTGGAAGTTACCACAAATCTTTTCTAGCATTCAGATGAAGTCTACTCAAATGAAAAATAATGCGTTCATCATACTCTAATTTTTTGGGGCATCTTATCAATGCACAAACACATTAGTAACAAGCACAAGACACTTCATTTTGCTTTGCTTTTCTTCATTTGGCATCAACATATGGATAGAATTATGGAATATACTTGCCATATCGTCTGTCTTTCCACTGGCTCTTTCATGAGTTTCTATACATACAGTTGGCTTAAAATAAAAAGCCAGGACATACACATGTGTAACTAGGAAATCCAAGCTACTTTATAAACCTGTCTCACGCCCGTCTACTGTAATCAGAATACTCTGCATTTTATTTTTAGAAGACCTGAGAAACCAAACTCCAGCTGAAGTTAACCAGAGCTGTGAAAACTGATAACACAAAACCACTCCCTATCTGTTGCAAACAACAAATTGTGTATTTCAGTTGTTCTCATGGTTTTCAGTCAGCATACTTTTAAAAGTATCCACGAATGGCTTACTAGTCTGAAATAAAGATAAATTATTCTTTTAAACAACTACTGCCGTGCTGTGACCATCTATCTGCTTAGAGAATGAATGTCCTAATATTCTGAAGCTTACTCTTCTCTGAATCATTGTTTGACCCATGGAACTATCTATCTCCTTTTTAAATAGGTATGTACCTCTTCCTATTGAGCAGTTTTCTATGGTAACATTATCTACCTTGTCATTATCTGGCAGCTTTTATCTGAAACTGCCCGAGCTGCTGGGCACGTGGATTCTGAGTGGAAAATATTAACTAGATTCTGCTATCTGCAGAAGAATGAGAGGGATAGCTAAAATAGCTTGAAAACTGGCACTCAGAAATTGCAATACCATGGGTGGAGACCCGAGTTTTACATCAGATTTTATTATAGTTATTTTCCTGTTATAAATTTAAATCTCCAGAAAGAGTTTCATCTGCACACACCATGCTTAACACAGTTTACGGAAACTGTGATTTTTGTACTATGGTCGTTACATATCTTTCTACCTAGTTGTCAGTCTGTTCCATTCTCTGACTAGTGGTAGCGTCAGCATTTCTGTGACAAGAACTGACAGGTTCTTGCTAGCAAGAATAAGATCTCTTTCTACCTATTAACAGCCATTATGGCAAGTTTTATATGACATAGTAAAAATCAGAAATAAAACTTTTTCTTTTTCATGGACAGCTGTCAACAGTGAGAAACAATGCAATGACGTGGAAAATTATGAGTGTATGGCAAGATGTAAGTTACCTGTGTTTTGGCAGAATATTTGAAATCAATTAAGGTAGACCTTTAGTATTTCCAGGAACATTTGCAGCATACCACAGTGGCAGAGAGGAAGTGATTCACGTGGCTGTTTCTGTGCTACACTTCCCAGTGATTCAGGAAGCTCCAGAGGGAGTGTGGAGCAGTCAGCATGCTCTTCAGCACCAGCAAGCTGTCTGGGTGCCAGCTGAGAAAGCTGGCACTTTTTTAGAAACAAATTAACTCCCTTTCTAATACTTCTCCTTGCAATAATTCCAGATTGTTGTTTCTTGGAAACAACAAAGACATCACATTCTGGCCCTCGCAGTACTGTATTTCTGCTATTACAGCAGCTACATGAGAATGGTAATGTTGGAGAAGCCACAGTGGCAGCAGTGTATCCTGAAGTACATGTGGCATACATACACAGAGTATAAAAAGGCCCTTGGAGTACAGACGGTCATAAGACTCAAGAATCTACCAAGACAGAAAAAAATCTTACTGCTCTACATAGTCAAAGTTCCCCCACCAAAATGAATCAGTCACACCGTGTGTCATTCCTTCTGATGTCTGTTATTTATCCTTTCTCCTCCAAAACCAGGTGTTCTCAGCTGCTGGTATATGGGTGCTTACAGGTATCTGAGATGCATCTTTAGCTCTGTAAAATAAAATAACCTGATGCCATTAGTTTTAAATTAATGACACGGGAATCAAACCTTCACTTAAAAAATTTCAGGGGTCTGTAGATCAAAAATAATTTTGAAACTATAGATCTAGAAAAATACAGCCTAGTTCTAGGATATGACCTTATTCCAAATACTTTTATATTGAAAATGAAATAAACGTCAACATAAAAAAACTGTACAGTGTATGCAATTTGGCCCTAGAGTACAGCACTTGCATCCGAGAAGGATAACTTCCTATACACACACATACAATCAATGCTAAGTGTTTTAGTTTTCAAACATACTTTTCTCATACAAAGTCCACGTATAATCACCTATATTTTTCATATAGTTTGCTTTCTGTTTGTGTTTTGCAGTAGTTCTGAACAAAGTCCCAGTGATTGAACTTGCTGGCAAGAATCGACAGAACTTAATCTGAGCAGCTACTGGATACCCTGAATGGAAAGCAAACCTTATACTCAACAAACATGCACCTGGTAATAACAGCTGCAACCATGTATATGTAGATGAAAAATATATCAAAGTGTTTCATCAAACCACTTAAAATTAGAACTGTTTGAAATCATAAGTTTATAACCACGCTATTCATAAAGAATGAGAAAGTGTTCAAACAACTGTGAACAAATATATTTGAAAAAATTAACCTACTTAAGAGACAGCTTAAACCTCACCTAACTCTAACTCACTAATTCCTTGTCTACATTTAATTAAAATTAAGAAAACTCTGGTTTACAGGGAATTAAGTCATCAAACATTGTTAATGATTTTAAGTCAATGAGATTCAAACATGACACAGAGGTGGATATTAGGAAAAATTTCTTCTCAGGAGAAGTGGTGAGGCACTCCCTGGAGGTGTTCAAGAGCAGTAGAGACGCGGCACTGAGGGACATGGTAAGAGGGCACAGTGGTAGTGGAGTGATGGCTGGATTAGGTGATCTTAGAGGTCTTTTCCTACCTTAATGATTCCAAGATTCTATGATTCTATGAAATACAGTTCAACTAAGTCTTATGTCCCTTGAAACCACAAAACCCTTAAGAACCATCTTCAAAATTTTCTCAAAATCACAAAGTCACAGAATGGCTTAGGTTGGAAGGGACCTTAACGATTAGCTAGTTCCAAGTATATATCTACTTAAGGACTATAGAAACTAGCTGCTCTCTGGTACCAATATTATGCCAGCAGGCTCTATTTTAATAACTACACTTTCACTAGGTATTGGCAAATAAAAAGCATTGATAACAGCTCCACATTAAAACATATTTACACAGGTGTGAAGGTCACACAGACCCTGCAGCATGCAGTTCTTCAGCAGGGTAAATGTGGAGTGGATGTTCTCCATCTGTGACACAGGCTCTTCTGGAGAGCGGAGGATGAGAAAATAATTACGCAAGGCTGGTTTGTTTCTACTTGGCGGAGAAATAACTGCAGACATCTGAAAAGCATTAGCAGGGCCTTGCTGGATGGATGAGCTCAGGTTGGTTTCACAAGCACTTCGCTGGCAGAGTCAGTGCATCCTCCTTTTACAAGCAGCTTAAGAAGTTTGCACCACAACCAAAAAGAGCTCACAGTGGCAAAAATTGTGTCTGGAAAGGGAAGCGTTAGGCTGGAACTGCTGAGGTGCATGGACATTTTTCGTAATGGGGTTTTCTCTCATGAGGTTTAGCCCACTCGTGTTGAATCTTTGGGGGAAACAATAAGTTTCAATGCGGCACTAAACGAATTACAGAGAGATTCTAGTAGCTACCTCATAGTATTTGTGCGGCATATTTAAAAGCAACCAGCGCGCGGATTAGATGTTAATCTCCAGAAACTGAGCTGTCTTTAATGAAGAGATAATGGGCCAGATTAGCTTCTAAAAACAAAACAAAACAAAAGAGAGAGAGAGAAGTTTGGTAATTTTAAATTTTATTTAAGAGGAAACTCCTGAGATGTTAGCGCTTGTATTTTTACACGCACACCCTTCTACGAGTAGGTAATTCACGGCGGGCAATCCCAACGAGACGCCGCTTCACGCAGCCCCTCAAGGCTTTCGGAGGTCCCTCAGCACGGCTCCACACAACCCGACCCCAGGGCCCCGCCCTGCCTCTCGGCAAAACGAGCATTACAAGCCGAGTGCGTGTTTGTGTTTGCGTGTGGGGGGATGGGGAGGGGGGAGCAGCGCTGCACCCCCACGCACCGCCCCACAGCCTCTGCCTCAGTTTCCCTCGCGCGGGCGGACGACCGTTAAGCAGCCGTTGGGAGGGAGGGGGCTCGCGCCACGCCGGGCTTTGCAGGAGAACCGCCGCGGCGAGCGCCGCCCGCAGAGCGAGCGGCTGAGTAGAGGAGAGAAGAGGGGAGGGGCGGCGGGTGGGGGATCCCCCGTCGCCGTCCCCAGCCGCTGCCCTCCCCGCCGCGCCGGCGCCTCGCCCCCCGCTCTGCCGGCGGCCAATCGGAGCGCTGCGCACGTGACGAGCGTTCCCTTCGATGACCTCATCCCTGGTGTGGGATGACGTCAAATTCAAGATGGATGGAATCACGGCGGTGGCAGCAGCGCGCGCGGGCGAACCGTGAACGGCGGCGCCGAGGGGGGCCGGCAGGGGGGGGCGCGGCCGGCGGCGGAGCGGGTGAGTAACGGCCGCGTCTCGCGCCCGTTTCGGGGGCCGCCCGCGCCGCTTGGGTCTCCCCGTGTACAAAGGCGTCTTTTCCTGACGTAACTCTGAGGTGGTTTTTTTTTCCCCCACCGAACGGGGCTGCGGTCCCCGAGCGGGGCACTGCGCCTGCGCCGGTTACGAAACTCCTCTCCTTCTGCCTCGCGCACGCGCCCTGCGCCGCGAGGTAGGCGGCGGGCGCCCGTTGCGCCGGCACGCACCCGCCACATAGACTCGCCGCGGCGCTTTCCGCGCACGCGCGGCGACCCAGCTCCGCCTCAGCCCTGCCCCCCCTCCCTCCCCCGCCGGAACTGCGCCTGCGCGGAGGCTGTGGACGGAATGGGGGGCGGTGCCTTTGTGAGGGCGCATGCGCGGTGCGGGCGAGCGGGAGCGGCCGTGCGTGGGGAGCGGCGCGGGAGGCGCGCGCTTGCGCCTGGAGGCGGGAAGGGGCGCGCGGCTCCCGGCGGTTGTCAGGGGCCGGTTGGCGGCCTGAGGGGAGGGGCGGTGCGGTGCGGTGCGGTGTGGCGTGGTGTGGCGTGGCGTGGCGTGGCGTGGCGTGGCGTGGCGTGGCGGGGAGGTGCCGCCTGTGGTGTGGAGAGCTGCTGCAGCTGAAACGGGGATTCCCTCTAGGCTGCGAATTTCGGGGTCGGAAGGAGTTGGTGGGGCCAGCCTTAATGTACATCCGAACTTCTCTTCAGTGTAACTCCCGTTGTTTGTCCCGACTCGATGTGGATCAGGTGAAATATCAAAGCTCCAAAACACTTCCATCTACATGACTTATTTTTACGAGGAAGGACATATTGTGGAACTTCAGCAAGCAGTGAACTTCAGCAAGCACTTCTGAATAACTAAACGGCACTCTTCTGAAAGCTGTCCTGTCCCTGGGGGAGTGCAGTGGGAGGGGTTGGTGTAGATATGTAGATATGACATTATGGTGAATTACATAATCTCACACTTTTTTTTTTTTTTTTTTTTTTTACAAGTACAATGAAGCTCTTGCAGTTAAGATACTGTTAGAGTCTTCATCCTTAAAGCAATATTACCGTGGAAATAGAGGTTGTGGTTTTTTTTTTTTTAAATACATTTTCATATAACAATGCTTTCGATATGACATTAGGAGTAGTGAATCTGTATCATAGATAAAAGAGAGCACTGTGCTATATCTGTTTTGTCTAAAGGCTGCTAGTTACTGTGTTCTGTTCTTACTTTGCTCAAACTGACAAACTAACTGCTTTGACTAAAATTTTCCACCAGCCTTATGATATTTTTTGGGGGGGGGGAAACTTCTGAGCAAACCTTAGCAACTGTTTTTATAAACCTTGTTTGCAAAACGTAAATGATGTGGCTATCTCTCCCTAATAGGATCTAGCATACTTCTTTCTCTGAATCTGTTATATTACACTCATGACAGAGTCCTCTCAGAAGAACGTGTGCTATTTTCTTCCTATAGAAAGCCCACTTAGGATGGCTAGATGAGAGCATTTAAAGAATTTACATGTCCCTCAGTGAGGACTTGCGGGGAAATATCACAACCTTTGGAGACTTCAGCTATAGGGATGTATGCCAGAAGAGGGTTTATCAGGGGTCTCTCCAGCTGCTGGGTCCAAGATCACTTCTGTGGATGAAAACTGAAGGGATGACTGTATCTTTTTTTCCAGTGTGTTCTTGCTCTTCCACTAATTTCAACATTGCCTTTGATCCAAATTGGGAATCAAGTCATTATGAGTTAGGTGCTTTATTTAAACACTTAGCGTAACTTATCCTTTAGTACATTCAGAGAAGCTGTGGTGCCCCATCCCTGGAGGCACTCAAGGCCAGGTTGGATGGGGCCCTGGGCAGCCTGAGCTGGTGGGGGGCAGCCCTGCCCATGACAGGAGTTGGGGTGGGTGGGCTTTGAGCTTCCTTCCAATGCAAGCCATTCTATGATATTAGCAATTAATGCAGAAAAATGCAGACGTTTGTAAGAAGCTCCAGAAGTCATGCGTGCTATACATTTAATTGTACACAAAGATCATAAATTAGACCATTTGTGTCCCCTTTCTTTTGTGGATCACCAGAAGCTTGATATTGCTAAGACATGGTTTTCTCTGGGCTCATCTTTTGTGTGTATGCAATGCTGGAAAATACTGATAGAGAATTAGACAGCTAGTGTTCTGATCATTTTCTCAGCAGTGGCTGGCTCTGCTTTCCTTACAGTTAGTTGCTGTCAAGCGGAGACATGCCATCATTTGGGTTTGAATGGACAACTTTACAGAAAGCCATTGTGCTTCATTAAAGTTGGTTGTTTTTGAACTTCAGTAGCTGTGAAGCAGTTACCATTTAAAAATGCTGAGTAATTTCCATTTCTAGTTTTCCAGGTTTTGAAAGCTGTTTTGTCTGCAAAGCAATGATAATCCCGGTTTGTTAATAAGTGTGGTCATACAGGGGGGTAGGGAGGAGGAGCTGGGTGGAGGAAGTGAGGCTGTAACCACCACACAATTTGTGCTGCACTGGGAGGTGCAGAGTTGTGAGTCATAGGCCGTAGTTGCAGCTGTTTTCAGCTCTGTTAAAATTGTCAACTTTAGAGCAAGTGAACTGCTTCCTAATGAACGCTGCTACATGAATGGTCAGAGAACCTTGGAAAAATTGGCTTCTTCATATCTTGCCCTTTATTAACAGTGGCTGAAAGGTGTTTTCTTTGGGTCACTTCAGTGAGTGAAAGATAACTGCACTCTATGAATCTTGAAAATTACCAAGTTGTTCACTTGGCAATTTTCTAGTTTTAGTGCACACTTCAACTATTATAGTAGTTCAGCATGCTTTGGATTAAGAACTTTTTACTGCTATACTTTTATTCTTGCACAGACATTAGTGTAAAAAAATATGTTTATAGGGAGTAATCTTACATGAATTCCCATCCAAAATATACTATGCCAGTAAAAAGCATCTTTATATTAAGAGAGATATTTCTATTATTATGGTTTGTCATTTTCACTATGCTAGCAGATTTGAAAGCAGCATGTAAATAGAATTTTATTGTGTATGAGACCAGTTAAACAAAGAGCAGCTCATACAGCAAAGCAGGTGACCAAATACTATTCAACTTGCTAAGTATATCTCAGCATTACCAATAAAATAATAAATTCAACTTGTAGGAAGAGTGCAGCTGTACAGATTTGGTGTGCGTTTCCTCTTAAAATTCTTGATTTCACGCATCTCTCATTTAAAAAGGAAAAAAAGAAGAAACAGGGGGAAAAAAAAGTATTTTGAAATATTGTTGGGGATGATCTTTTTGTTCAGTGATTGTAGTGTACATTCTGCCATCAAGTCTTGGGGCTTTTCCCATGGAATTTTGATGGCAGTGTTAAGAAACTCAAAAGAATGAAAACTGAAGACCTCCTTAGGAAAAGGGATTTTAAAATGCATTGATTTTTTTTATTTGCAGCAGTCTGGATGATGAGTTGCATATCTTGCAGTTGAGGTACTGAGGCCAGGACAAATATCGTATCAAACCATGGCTAATCTTCATGAACTCTTCCAAGAAGAATGAGAAGAGCTCCCAGCCAGCACTCATTCCTGCTCTCTCCCTTACATCCCGTGGTTGTGCAATCTCCTGGTGAGCTGGATCAGCTTGCGGAGCTGAGGTGAACTTGTCTGTCCTTAGAGGGGGAGGAGGTGCGGAATGATCCCTTCAATCCCTGATTAGATTGGACTGAGACTAAGGTGAAATCACACCCTTAAATGCTGCTCGTTTTTAAACAAGAATGTGAAAGGTATTGTGGTGGTGGTACTCAGAGACTTTGTAGCTTGGAGCTGTTTTGAGTGTCAGTTTGGCAAAGTGATGGATCTGATCTGAATGTGAAAAACAGTTTCTGATTCCTAAACATCTAATCTGTATTAGGATAATCGCTAGTCTGTCTGTAGTGGAGGGCAAAATAAGGAGACTGCAATAGTACAGAATTTCTTCTTTTCCTGTCATTAAATTTCTGCTTCTTTTGGTGCGTGTGTGTCAAATAGTTCAAAATTATTATATCAATTTCACACAAATATATTTCTCTTCTGATTTTATGCTAGTCTTCCTAAATCTCCTGGAAATGAAAAGATCTGTCTTTATAGACTTTTCAGTGTTGATTGCAGTGGAGAAAACAGCAGTAGCAGTTGAAATCACTTTTTTCAAAATCCAGAAAGACAAAATCCCCAAACTTGCAGCAAGAAATCACTCAAATATTTACTTAGGAAAAAAAAAAAACTACAGGGGTGCCGACAATCTTGTTCTGTAGGCTGAAAGCTTTTACTTCAAGTTTTAGTTATGTGTCTGTGACAATGCATTTCACGAGCTGTAGTCAAGCTCAAATAATAAAATCTAGCACAGGATACTCAAGTAGAAGTTTAATCGATGCAGGTTTCTTTTGCATCCGGTCTCTAGACTGATAATGAGGCTTCTTTCCACTTTGGGTCTGAAGCAGTACATGAACAACCAGAGCTATCAAAGCCACTGCAGAGCACTCGTGGCCAGACACAACTTGCCTGTGCTTCCCTGGTGACACCACAGGAAGCCTCCTGTGTTCCTAGGCTGGGCCTCACCATTTGTATCTCTCTGTGTTGCAGTGGGTTTCCCCCCACCGCAGTTATTATACATGTATTTCCCTGTTAGAACCACTGTTAAGTCTCTCTCATTGTCCATCTCCTCTGTGTGTGTTTCTTCTTTTCCGGCGTTTTCTTGTTCTAACTGCAGTTTCTGTCAGCCCTGGCACATGCTTGCTGCAGCACTGTGTCCTCAGGTGTTTCGCAACAGTCTTTCCTACCTGCTCCCACAGGATGCTATTGACATGGCTTTAGCTGACAGCTACATGGTTATAATGGAAGTCAGCAGGCAACAGCAGTGTCTTATTTTAGTTACTTATGTATTTTTACAAGTACGAAAAAGATCATCACAACAACTAATACATCTGCCTGATTCTATTTGTAAAGTTTCAGCCTGAGTGACTTCATTGCTTCTGAAAGTGAAGTTTCAGATGGCAAAGCAGATTGACTTGCTGACAAAGAACAGGCGGTTTCGCTGCTTCTCTTACAGCAGCTCTGATGCATCTGACCACTGCACAAGCTGATTAAGTTTCTTACCTCTAAATTAGTGCATATATAAAAAGTTGGGTTGAGTTGTTTTTTTTTTTTCCTGCCTCATTTTTGGGAGTTGAATCAACTTAGTGGGTGGTCACATGAGCAACTGAGCCGGTAGAAGGTAGAGGACCCCAGGGTTGGAGCAGGAGGCATGAGAGTAAGGGAGAGAGGACGGAAGGGGATCTCACATTGTGATGGCAGGGAGCTGGTGAGAATCAATGAACTGCTGTGCTAAAGAGAAAGATTCTTCACCCTTCACACGTGAAGAGCTTTTGTGAGTAGAGACTTCCTTTTTTTGCAGTCATTTGAAATAGTGGAGGTATCTTTTTCTGTCCTTGTTCAAAACAATAACTTTGCTCTTATTATTATAATATTGTGTCAAACATGGTATTTCAGCCTTTGAAGGCTGATATCAGTAGAGGGCTGTTGAAGATTTGACAATAAAATCTCTTCCTCATCTCCCAAAGGTGCTCCTCCTGCACCTCCCTCTCCTGGATTTGGAGCCTAGCTGTCATTGTTCCTCCCGAGGACCGGTAGCACATAACACCAGAGCACAGACAGTGAGAAATCTGGTACACTCTGTCTCCTTGACATCACTCGGGCATCAGGGAACAAAGTAGGAAATAGCTTTGTTTCTAGCCAGTACTGAAAGCAGTTGGAAAAATTGGTTGGGGAAAAAAAAATAATAAAAAAGCAGATTATCAGGAAAGGGCTTAGGCAGTTAGTGGCAAAATAATCTTCAGCTGAGGAAGTATGATTCCTCAAACACCTGGAATCAAATCTGTTGTTTACACACAGTCTGGCCAGTTATAAAGGGGTTGAGTGCTGTCAGCCTTACATCAGCTTTACTGGCAAACTGCTGTAAGAATCTCTTGTCTTCCCAGAGCTGTTCCGTTCCCACAGTTTGCCTTCTCTTCATTATGCCAATGCAATTGTTCATGGGATTGAGCTTTACTATGAGAAATAAGCAGCATTTGAAAATAAATATTTGTTCTCTATGTATTGTCTGACCTGTTCTGTAATGCAGACCTGCAAATATTTGTTCTAGCGCAGCTGCAGGAGTTGTGACTGGTGGCATGCAGATAGGATGAACCAAAGGGAGAAGGAAACTCTGATTAACTTTGTTACCAAGAACTGTTCATGTAGTGAAATTTTAATATGCTGTACTTTTACACTAGTAATCTTGTAGGTTTTTTGTTTTATTTTTTTATATCTGTGTTAAAAGGCTTTCTGATGGCTGTGTAAAAGTGTTAAAATGGTTCTGCGTTTGTTTTTTTGGTTCTGGATTTGTTTTTTAACATACCATAACTTGTTTTATTTCTGACCATCGTGTTTAAAGGCTATGGAGCTGAAAGTCAAGCACTGGAAGTAGGAAAGACCAAGATTAAAGCTGCCTTTGCAGGATTAATTTGGTCCCCTGCCAGTTGTGTACGTTGCAGCCTTGGTTACTGTTAAAGTGCCAGTTGCACCAAAGAGGTCTGCCTCTTCTAGTGTGCAGAAGAAGCTGTGTTTGGCAAATGAAATGGAGGATTGTACTATGATGCTTATCTCTGTCCTGTGTAATGTAGCATGTTCAAGATGTGCTACGACTAAGAAGGAGTATATAGGAAGAAAAATGGGGGGCTGTTGGATTCCGTTTTAGATGTGTCAATTTTACACCAGTCTGTAGAAATAGTATTACTGTGTTATGATGAATAAATGAACACATAGTAACTGCGCGGTGTTTATTCTTCAGGTGTCTTACAGAACACTCAAGGCCTGGGTAAAGCAGATTAAAATGAAAGGTTTGAAAATACTTCAGAACACTTGACCATCTCCTACCCAGCGTGTCCTTGAGGTATGGGTTCAGCTGCAACTTTTAGTAGGTGTTTCTACCACTATATTTTAGTTCAAGTTTTCTTCAGAAATACATTGTTGTTTTGTTATCTCTATAGACTATTTAATTTGCAACACAGACAAATCATATGAGTTTGTAAACTCTGTTTAAGATGAAACTAAAGGAAAAAAATGCATTCCTGGAGCACTTGCTAATAACATTTCAAGTGTTAATGGGTGCACAGACCTCCAGGCTGGACTAGCGCCATTCGGACACCACCACTTTACATTGCAGAAGTGTCCAAAAAATAGTTCACACCCCAGATGGTATTTTTAAGTCAAACATAAAAAATAGAACAAAACAGATGGATTTCTCACATTCATAGATGCGTAACTGTTCTTCCTTTTTAGAGGGAGGAGTGGAGGCATTATGCATTATAACCATTTGAGGTGAATTAAGGATAAATTAGTGTTAATGAAATAATGCTGCAAGGCGCTGGAACACTCGGTTGAGAGGCAGATCTGAAGAGAAAACAGAATTTTGCTTTTGCCCTGATACTATGAACTCATCTGGTAATTTCAGCTGTAAAAGTGGTAGCTCAGTCCTGTGATATGACCGATGTCCTGAGACACTGTATCCAGCATACTTTGTCATCTCAGCATTACCAATTTAGACTTCAATCAATTCCTGTGATTGAAGCCCATTGGTTGCAAGATTTCTCATTCAATAATTACAGGATTATAGCTTCTTAATTTTTTTATTTTGATAAAATTGTCAGCTTTCACTGAGAATTGACAAATAGTGAAACCATTTTGTTATGGTAGCATATATCATATGTAAAGTCTCTTAAATCAGCTGCAAAAAGAATTGCATTTAACAGACACATCACTTACTTGTTTTTCATCACCACAGAGGGAGGTAGTTAAAAATTTGTACTGCAGGTTGTCTTAAACAGAATTGTAGGAGTGACCATGGCAACAAAATAAAATTGGATATTGCTGATTTTTGTGCGTGTGTACATGTGCACCGATAGATAAAATTCAACTCATATGACACAAGTTGTTTGCTCAAAGTAGTTTAAAACCTGTTCGTTGTCTCCTGTTAAAACCTAGTCAAGAGAAGCCTGTTGAGTTATGGAGACATTTTACAGTACAGAGTGGGCTGTGTTTGAAGCATTGTGGGGGTTTCTGCACTGTGGTTTAATTTGTGCTTATTGTACTCTTGGATGAGTCTAGGGGTAACTGTAGGTTATGGGCGTAAAGTCCACATAAAAGCTAATGAATAAGATGGAGAATTCAGTTAACTGATTATTTTCTAGCAGGAGCAAAGTGCTGCTGGGGTAGTTCAATTAAAATTATGAAATTTCCAAGAAACCAAATCCTGCTAGTGCAGGTATAAGAATTAATACATATTTCATAGCTAGAAGTGTATGCATGTTAGCACTCATTAAATATAAGCAGACGTAATGAATTAGTCTAGATTGTAGGTGATAATTCCACCAGTATTAATGCCCTTTTCATCACCCTATAAAACAAAAACCTTTTAATTTGTTTAGTTAGCGGGAGACTGTCAGGGTTGCTCAACCTTAAGAAGTGACTTAGTATAACTAACTTTAGATGTGTGTCCTTGCTTTGGCTGGGATAGAGTTAATTTTGTTCATGGTGGCTGGTATGGTGCTGTGTTTGGATTTAGGATGAAAATAATGTTGATAGCACACTGTTGTTGTAGTTGTTGCTGAGCAGTGCCTACACAGAGCCAAGGACATTTCAGCTCCTCGTGCTGCCTGGTCAGCAAGGAGCTGAGGGTGCACAGGGAGCTGGGAGGGGACAGAACCGGGACAGCTGACTCTGGCCCACGTGGATGTCCCATAACACGTGGCATCACGCTGAACAACAAAACTGGGGGAGCTGGCCAGGGGGACTGCTGCTTCTCGGGAACTGGCTGTGCGTCAGTCAGCTGGTGGTGAGCAATTGCATTGTGCATCACTTGCTGTCTTCTTTTTCTTTTGTTTTTTCTTTTTTTTTTTCTTTTTTTTTTTCTTTTTTTTTTTTCTCTTTTTTTTTTTCCCTTTCACCCCTTCTGTCCTTATCTGTCTTTATCTTAACCAAAGAGCTCTCGCATTTTTACCTTTTTCAGTTCTTCCCCATCCCCCTGCAGGGGAGTAAGCGAGTGTCTCTGTGGTACTTAGCTGCCTGGTGGGCTAAACCACAACAGTATCAGATTCAAAAGTTTATTGAAGTAATTGCCAAGATAGATCTTCTTAAAGCTAAACTTGAGAAAAAGATTATCAGCTGAAGTCATTAAATGGAATTCCTTCATGTGGACAGCTATACTGCAGGTAGAAAACACAATACCATCCCCATCCCCCAATTAAATGTGATATTTTTAGTGTAAGATCAACTGAAAGTATTTGAAAGTGTTCTTTAGCGTGAGCTGCTTCTAATGCCTGTACATCTGCTGAAGCGAAACAACATTATATTAAATCCCATACCTTTGCTCCAAACAAGCTGTTTTCTTCAGCAGCACTGATGGTCGTTTAGCTTGTTTATGAAGTACAGAGAGTTAAGGTTCATTTACATTGTCTCTAACAACTGTCTACATAAAGCAACGTACTTTTTTTTTTCTTGCTGTGTTAATAAGAAAATAATTCTTATTATGTTCTTTTTCAGGAACATCAGAATCATGGAGGGGCTCTTGCATTACATAAATCCAGCACATGCCATTTCACTTCTAAGCGCACTGAATGAGGAACGTCTAAAGGGACAGCTATGTGATGTTGTTCTTATAGTAGGAGATCAGAAATTTCGAGCTCATAAAAACGTTCTAGCTGCCAGCAGCGAATACTTCCAGACTCTGTTCACAAATAAGGAGAATGAGTCTCAGTCAGTGTTTCAACTCGACTTTTGTGAACCAGATGCTTTTGATAATGTGTTAAACTACATTTATTCTTCATCCTTGTTCATAGAGAAAGGCAGTCTTGCAGCTGTGCAAGAACTGGGCTACAGCCTTGGAATATCCTTTCTTACAAACATTATTTCTAAGAGCCCTCAAGCTCCTTTTCCATCTTGCCCCAGTAAGAAGATACTGTATCAAGATGAAGATGAAAGTAGTTCTCAGAAGAGGAGTGTCATTGTCTGTCAGAACAGAAGTGAAGCACAAGGAAAGAGTGTAAATCAAACGCAGCATGATTTAAGCCATACTTCTAAACCTTTACCCTCTGCTGCTATGAAAACTAGCATTAGACCACAAGTAGCAAAGCCAACTGAAACCCTTCACAGTTTATCACTGACTGAAAGGAGATGGCTGAAAGAAAACTCTGGGAGCTATACCAAGTTTCATGAAACTTGTGGAACTGCAGAGGATCAGAGCAGAGGTGGTTTAGTGAAAAGGAACATGGTGTTGCCTCAAAAACCTTTAGCAGAGAAAGAAATTGCAAGTGATGAACCAGGAAGCAGTAGTCAGCTTTTAAGAGGAAAGGCTGCAGAGTTATTAAAAAGACCACGTCCGCCAGTCTTATCTCTGTGTGCCTCATCAGAATCTGCGTTTTTGTTACGAGAGGCAGGAAAAGGAAATGGTCAAAGTGAAGATAGGAATTTGCTGTACTACTCTAAGTTAGGACTAGTAATCCCATCTAGTGGATCTGGTCCTGAAAACCAAAGCATTGACAGAAGTGGTCCACTCGTAAAAAGTCTCCTTCGAAGGTCACTGTCTATGGACAGCCAGGTTCCTATTTATTCACCTTCTGTTGACCTAAAACCTTCACAGGTATCATCTTCCTCCTCACCAGGAACTACTGATTCCCAGAAGATATTTAATGTTGCATCCCAAAAGTCATGCTTGAAAGAGTCATCAGAGAAGTTAGTCTTAGACGAAAAGCCACAGGTAATGCACCCACATCGCCTTAGGTCTTTCAGTGCCTCTCAGACAACTGATAGGGAAGTTTCTTCCCCTCTCACAGAGGTGCGAATAAAAACTGAACCTAGCAGTCCACTTTCAGATCCATCTGAAATAATAAGAGTTACAGTGGGCGACGCATCAGTATCTACAAATAAAGACTTTCCTTTTAAAACTGAAGATGATCATAAGGAACCAAGTAGACTTCCAGCAAAAAGGAGATTTCAAGCCGATAGAAGGCTACCATTCAAAAAACTCAAGGTGAATGAAGAGGGTTCTCCCGAATCAGAAGAAAATTTTGAGGAAGGCTCAAGCCCTACGCACCTTGATGCTGATTTTGCCGATTCTGATGTCAGTAAAGATGAATACAGTGAAATGGAAGAAGCAAGACCAAATAAAAAATTTAAATGCAAACACTGCCTTAAAATTTTCAGGTCAACAGCAGGTCTTCATCGTCATGTTAACATGTATCATAATCCAGAGAAGCCCTACGCTTGTGACATATGCCACAAGAGATTTCACACAAATTTCAAAGTGTGGACACACTGCCAGACACAACATGGAATTGTCAAGAATCCCTCACCAGCTTCCACTTCTCATGCTGTTTTGGATGAAAAATTCCAAAGAAAACTGATCGATATAGTGAGAGAGAGAGAAATTAAAAAAGCTCTAATAGTTAAACTAAGACGTGGCAAGCAAGGTTTTCAAGGACAGTCTACTTCACAAGCACAACAAGTCATCAAAAGGAATTTAAGATCAAGAACCAAAGGAGCCTATATTTGTGTCTACTGTGGAAAAGCTTATCGTTTCCTCTCACAGTTCAAACAACATATAAAAATGCATCCAGGGGAAAAACCAATTGGAGGAAATAAGGTTCCTAAGCAGAAAGACCATATTCATATTGAAAGTCCTGTAGAAAACAAGGAAGTTTATCAGTGCCGTCTCTGTAATGCCAAGCTCTCTTCACTTATTGAACAGGGAAATCATGAGCGACTCTGTAGAAACGCTACTGTCTGTCCTTACTGCAGCCTTAGATTTTCATCCCCAGAGCTGAAGCATGAGCATGAAAGCAAGTGTGAATACAAGAAGCTTACTTGTCTTGAGTGTATGCGCACCTTCAAATCGTCCTTTAGTATTTGGCGTCATCAAGTTGAAGTTCACAATCAGAACACTATGGCTCCGTCAGAGAATTTTTCTTTACCTATCCTGGATCACAATGGAGACATAACTAGTTCATCAAGATTGCCTCCTCAATCAGAATCCAATAAAATAAACAATTTTGCTGCAAAGGAAGACGGAGTATTCAGTGACTCGTCAGAACAGATTAATTTTGATTCTGAAGATTCCTCTTGCCTGCCTGAAGACTTAAGTGTTTCCAAGCAGTTTAAAATTCAAATCAAGGAAGAGCCTGCAGATGACATGGAGGATGAGGTCACTGAGACAAGCAGAGAACCAAAGGAAGTAGTCTCCAACAAAGATGCTGGTTTGTGGCCCTGTGAAAAGTGTGGGAAGATTTTCACTGTACGCAAACAACTGGAACGTCACCAAGAGCTCTTATGCTCTGTGAAGCCATTTATTTGTCATGTGTGCAACAAGGCCTTCCGAACCAATTTCCGGCTGTGGAGTCACTTCCAGTCCCACATGTCGCAGGCTGCAGAGGAGTCCACAAATAAGGAGCCTGAGGTATGTCCACCAGCTAATTCCCCATCACCACCACCTTTACCTCCGCCCCCGCCACTACCCAAAATCCAGCCTTTGGAGCCTGATAGTCCAACGGGCTTGTCTGAAAGCTCCACTACTACTGAAAAATTATTTGTACCGCAGGAGTCAGATACGCTCTTCTATCATGCTCCACCACTCTCAGCAATCACGTTCAAAAGACAGTACATGTGTAAACTCTGTCACAGGACTTTCAAGACGGCTTTTAGTCTTTGGAGCCATGAGCAGACACACAATTAGCTTTCAGAGATACCTTAAAAAGCTGATTTGATGGAGGCTGTTTTCAGGATCTCAGATGTATGCCATGTAAACTTGAAATTTAAGAGGATCGAAACAACAACGATGACAGAAGATTCTAAATTTGTGATGCTGCTTGGATTTGGAGATTAAGGTAAACTAACTTTGTTAGTAGGTAGAAAGCTGGGTAATTAGAGATAATATGGACTGGGATCTAATAGTAACAGAATAATTTTGATTTCATTTAACACTGAAATGCGATTGCATCTGGATTGTATGCATGGATCTTCATCCTGTGATGTTGGTGTGTGCGTGTGTATTATATATAGAGTTATATATTAAATGGAAGAGCAACAAAAATTTGGATTCTAACTGTGAGTTTATAGTGGTGAAATACTGTAACCAACTTCATTGTTTGTTTGTTTGTTTGTTTTTTCTTAAAGAAACCAACACAGAAGCTCCATATAAATAGCTGCCATGCACTTGCAGTTAGAGAGGAAGTGGATGGAGTGTCTTAATGTATTGACTTAGGTCTTAGAGATCTTTAGCAATAACGAATAAACCTCACGTTTCAGTAATCCCGATATTATTGGATACGAATGTTTGATATTTTAAGGGAACATAAAATTGTTTTGTTGTTATATGGAACTTGTGCAAATTAAAGTAGAATTTAAAATCAGCAATATTATTAATAAGATTTTATATTAAAAAAAAAAAATAGCAGCAAGCCTGCTTTCAGCCATTTAATTATAAGTTTCTAAGGAGAAGTGGGGGGAAAGGGTACATCGCTTTATATAACGTCCCAAAGACTAATTTACTATGAATATTTCAGTAACTAAAGTCATTGTATTGACAGCCATCATAATGCAAATGTTACTGTTTGTAATATGAACTAAGATTGAATGGATGTCAGATAAGTTTCATAATTTTGTTTCAGCTATTTGTACAACTGTTTGTAATTCTAACTGCAAAGGAATGTATAACTATTAAGAAAAAAAAAAAAGAGCTTGGTAAGGGATAGAATATGACTTGTGTTCCTACACTCAGTGATAAGCTTGGCCATGAGTACAAAGATAAGTTTTAACATAAAGTAAAAATGTAAATATTTATATAGACATCTGTATAAATGAAGAAGTATGTATTTGAAATTTGTATTAAGCGTGCATATCCAGCTCAAAGCAAAGGAAAAACCATCACATTGCTATCACTGTATTTTATGAATACAATGCTTAGAATATTTCTTTCTGTTGCTTCCTATCCTTTGTGGTACTGTGTTGCAGTTTTCATATCTGTTGAAAATCATGAGAATAATGTGCTGCAGATACTTTGTGCAGTTCCATTATTTTACCACAAGTCACAACTGGAGCATTTAGTAAAGGTAGAATCATAGATATTTACCAGAAACTACAGCAAGGGTCCAAAATTACTTTATTCAAGGAAATGTTTACCCAGAAGTTGTGGTAAATTAAGTGAAAAATTGTTCTGCTGGAATTTAAACTTCATGGAGTAGTGCAATGAACAGTGAGAACTTCAGTGATGCAAATGGTATTTATGATTCTGACTAACTTTACTCTGGAAGGTGAGGGACTGGGGTTGCAATCCACATTATCTAGTCAGAGCCCAGTCTTTGCTCGCTGAGAAGAGCAAGAGTTTGGTCACCAGTTTCAGTGGGAACAGGAGTGAGGCTTTCATTCTATTTGGCTGTAATAGTGCTTTTTTTTTTTTCAGCATCCTAAACTCAAAGTTAGAAAGTATTGCTTGCTCATACCAGCATTTAGCAAAAATAAAGCACCTGTGTAACTCTTCAGGATCTGAGGACGAGCACCCTCATTTAGGCACACACTGGAAAAGATTTTTCTCAATTGAAGTCCACGTGTGCCACTGTTAGTTTTTCCTAACAGAATTTTTTAGTGTTTTTCCTTTAATTAAGTTTAAAAATATAGGCTGTGTGGACCACCGACTTTCTTTTTTTAGCTACCAAAAAAAAATGCAGTGTTTATTTTCAAGCCTGTCAGTTCATTTTTTGATGGAAATATAAAATTGTTGCTAAACATTCTTTTTATTCACTTTCAGGCAAACTTGATCACAACTTAGTCATGTTAACCTGTCACTATCAGTTAAGTTCTTAAAAACCCTGATAAGACTAAATTTATTTCTTACAAGAAAAGTCAAATGCTTACTGCACTTAAGTAACCTGATTTAACAAAATGAGAAAAACATGTAGACTTGCTAGGTGTGCTTTAAATGTACTTAAGAAATGTGTGCATAGAAAATATGAAGATGTTCTTGCAAACTGATACCTAAATTTTCACCAGTTATTCCTCTTCCCAACAGCACAGTAGCTTATATCCAGCCTTTCAAAAATCAGGGTACTTTCTAAAAGAAAATGGCAACTAGTCAACTATGTTACATTCATTGAACTTCCAAATGGGAATCTGATACATGGTGTGATGATTAAAAAAACCCCACACTTCAAATCAAAAGCTCATACAGTATCTTTGAAGAAACGACCTTCTTCCTAGAACACTATGTATTATATTTAAAAAGAAAAAAAAGTTGGGTCTAAATAAGCGTTTCTTCAGATTTTCTTAAGTCTCTTTTTAACTTTAAGCGTGTTCTGTGTTTAGTTTTGTTTTTTAAATTCAGTTCTTGCTTCGTAAGGAATTAAGGATATCTGAAGTTTAAATATGAGATGTTTATATAGTAGTTCTGGTTTTCTATTAGCTTTTATACAGTACCTTAAAAAAACCCTTGATAGAAGTGTTTATTTTGGAGGATACGGAATAAATATGCTTCCACTTATATAACTTTAATATATGTTTAAAAAGTTAAATTATGGAAAAAAAATGTTAGTTGTTTGTTTATAAATATCTTCTGAAGAGTGTCTAGCTTGGCCACAGCCAAAATAAAAGGCAAATTTATTGATACAAATACCTGTCCTCATCATATTTTGTTTAATTTTGTAATTGTGTGCTGAAGTAATGCAAATATAGAGCTTTTGCTAAATACAAAAAGGGTTTTTTTCCTTTACATTTGTGACAGGAATGTGCAGATGTTTTAATATATATAGATTAGAATTTTTACTTCTTTCTTTTTTTTTTTTTTTTAATAGTTTGTCATATAAATCTCAGAGATCTATACTGCTTCAGTGGGACTACAGTGAAAACTTCTGTTGCATTTAAGAGAAGCAAGGTTGAGCCATAAAATGTATTTTGGTTTGGGACTTGCTTTCCTTTGAGGCACTGTGTTGGCAAAGGTCTCAGCATGTGATTAAGTTCCAAAGAGATCAGTCTTAACATTTTTCTTAAAAACGTGCTTAGGTTTTTTTGATAAATTGGGACCATGGTCACCCACTGAAAGTGAGAAATGACGTATAGGTTTATTTTTTATGTTCTAGAATGAAAAGTTAAAATGAGTTTTCCTCTGCATAAAAACAGCATGTACACCTAAAACATAATTCTGCAGTCTTACAAAAATGAAGGACATCAACCAGTAATAATCTACCTGAACTGCTGTAAGACCTTTTGATATGGTCCCCCACAATGTTCTTGCCGCTGAAGTGAAGAGGTATATATTTGAGGGTTGGACTGTTTGATGGGTAAAGAAATGGCTGCATGGCCATGTGCAGAGTTACAGTCAACAGCTCATTGCCCAAGTGTAAGCCAGAAACAAGTGGTGTCCCCTGAGGATCCATATTGGGACCAATGCTATATAGTATCTTCATGGATAGTGGGATTTCACAGGGATAGTGGGGTTGAGTGCACTCCCTGCAAGTTTGTGTATGATGCAAAGCTACTCAGCTTATTTGGTTGATAATTTAAGAGGGAAGAGACGCTATCCAGGGGGTCCTTGATAGGTTTGAGGAGTAGGCCCCCTCGTGAAGTTCAGCAGGCCAAAGCAAAGTCTACTTTTGAGTCAAGGCAGTTTTCAACTTCAGCATAGGCTGAGTGATGACTGGATTGAGAGCAGCTCTGAGAAGGACTTAGGGGTTCTAGTAGATGAAAAGCTTGACACAAGCCAGCAGTGGGCACTTACAGCCCAGAAGGCCAAGTGCATCTTGGGCTTCATCACGAGGTGGCTGACCAGCAGGGCAAAGGAGGATATTGTCTCCTTCTGCTCTGCCCTTTTGAGGTCCCACTTGCAGTACTGCATTCAGCTCTGGGACCCCCCAGAACAAAAGATTGGAGCTGTTGGAGCAAGTCCAGGGGAGGCTACATGGATGATTAGAGGGCTGGAGTGCCTCTCCTGTGAAGGCATGCCGAAGGTGGTGGGCTTGTTCCATCTGGAGAAGAGAAGGCTCTAGGGAATCCTTATTGCAGCCTTCTACTATTTAAAGGGGACCTACAAGAAAGCTGGAGAGGTATATGAGGCAACATAGTGATAGGACAAGGGGAAGGAACCTTAAACTAAAAGATGATTGATTTAGATTAGATATTAAGAGAAATTTCTTATTCAGAGGGCAGTGAGGCACTGGCACAGGCTGCCCAGAGAAGCTGTGGATGCCCCATCCCTGGCAGTGTTCTGGGTTGGATGGGGCTTTGGGCAACCTGGTCTAATGGGGAGTGTCCCTAACCATTGCAGGGGGGTTGGAACCAGGTCTTCATAGTCCCTTCCAACTCAAAACATTCTATGATGCTATGATACTTCTTGTATTTTATTATGTTTTATTTTGCGTAAGGAGAATAGAAACATCCTGACAGCTGAGAAGATAACCTACTGAAGGAGCAGGTGAACCTACTGACACTAGACTTTTTCTCACATCTTTCAGAATGGAAATGTAGCCTTATCCGTGAATCAAAACACACAGCTGTGAGATTTGTTCCTGCATTTCCTATTTAGGCAAGCATTCTGGTGACATCCAGTAGAATATGTCCTGTTTTATTTTACTACCTTTTTCCCTCCAAATAGCATGTGCAGGTTTGGTCTGAAGTTACACGTACTCTGTTTTTGTTCTAAACTTCAAGTGATAAAACTAGAAGTTCCACACATGGGATAAGGACAGGCTTATGCTGAACTTCTTGTCACTAACATTGAGGGTGCAAATATCTGGCATGAGCCTCTAGTCTGGCGTGTGCCTATACTGTTCAATAAAATTGTTTACATTTTCCTACCAGAAGATAGATTTTAGATAAAAATCACAGTAAGGTTAGGATTTTTTCAATGTTGCTGTTGATTAATCAGTGTTAATTTTTTTAATCTTTTTTTTTTTTTGGTTGAACGCAGCCTGATAGTATTTTTAATGTCATTGATTCTTGTTTATTTAAAACAATTTGTGAAAAACTGTACTATAACTGTTGTACATAAAGGGACACTATCAAGAGAAAGGGTGTATGCTATAAATATACTTAGCTGTATTAAAAATACTTGAGATGAATAAATTCAAAGAAAACGTGAGCTAACACTTGAGCTTGTTAGGCATGAAGATACCTATTAAAAGAATTTTCCTAAATTGTTGCAAAGGTGCCAGAAAAATAGATCTGAATTCTGTGGGTGGAGCTCACTTTCATGTTGCTTTTTCTCTAACCCAGAATAAAGGACGTGATCTATTTTTCCTTTGTTGTTTCTTTCAGTGATACGTGGTACCTTTTCAAGATGCACGCTTCTCGCTACTGCAGCGCCTTTAATTAAAGCATGTGTATAAAAGCAGGAAAAAAAAAATATCTTTTTGCAGAAAGTACACATTTTAAAGCTTATTCTTGACAGTGTCCCTTTTTAAAAAGCAGGAAAATGGAATCACTTGTAGTATTTGGGTGCGGGGAAATAGTTCGATGCAGTTTCTAGAAGTTGGAATTATCCAGTATATTTGCTATGGAATTTTCCAATTCGTTACACAAAATCACTTGTCATTTTAAAGTGTTATAGAGGTAAGGCAAAAGAAGCTGTTTTTTTAATCCTGTATACCTTACAGTTGTTGTATATCAATTCAATACACCAGTATTGGATTGTAATTAAGAATGGGTTTTTACTTTTTTAGGACAGAGACTTAATAGCTTAGGGTAACTTTTTCTTTAATGCAATGTAAATCCATTGCTGCTTTGTACAACTTTTTCTACTGTATGTTTTCTTTACTTAGAACTTGACTAAGAAATGTTGGCGTCCAATAAACTTACACTTTCTTTCTTTGGAATTACTGTGTTTTCTACTGAAATCTCTTGGCAAAATGTGTTGTTATTGTGCATACCATTGTGTCTGTGGGATGAGAATTTTGTTTACAAAAGAGCTTCTTTTGATCTATTTGCTGAAAGTAAATGATAGTTTTTACATTACTGAAATAATGGATCTTTGTTTTAGTAAGTGCCCCTGCAAATGTCTTGTTGGAAAATAGAAGGAAACCAACTGCTCTAGAAAGTCTGATAAGTGCTTGAGCAGCACTCACATTCTGCTTCCTCCTCAATCAGTGATTCAAATAGGATTTATGGAAGCAAGGTGACATCAACTGAGTGTCTCTTTCATCTAAAACTGAGCTGAACCAGAGTTCAGAGCTTGAATGGCAGGAATGCTTATGGTATTTCACAGTGCTGTCATCAAAAGCAGTTTTCCTGCATGTATTTCCTTCTCCAAAAACCTGTGGATGAGAGTGCACTGTGTGGATCCAGAAAATTGTATTTTTGGGGAACAGCGTTCCTCTCTTCAAAGTAGCAGGGACCTCTCTTTGGAAACTCATAAGGTTGTTTTCTGAATTTTCTCCATTCCCTGTCTTCTGTCCTTTACTGTTTTCCATTTATGCACTGAGGAATTTAAATCACATTTAATAAGAAGAGCCATGGTCTCAGAAGAGTTAATCTTTAACGTCTTTCCTTTGTGGGTGGGAAGGGTGAGGCTTGCAGTGAGAGCATGTGCCTAGCAGTTATCTGATATTTTCACCTGTGTGTATGTGGTCTTGTTGGGGGTTGGGAGGGGCAGTGGGTGAGGTGGAAAGCTCTGGAAGAGCTGAAGTATAGGGTCCACCAAATACTCAAATTGAAGGGTTGAAAAGACTCTCCAAGGTCAAGAGGATTTCTTTGGTAATCCCTAAATCTCTGTGAAAACAGAGGCAAAGAGCTGCTGGCCTGTTCCTCCACGGAGCTCCATCCTGCGTGTCAGAAAGTGAGTGAGCTGTGGAAACAAAGTGGGGAGGGCTGCTGTCTGACCCATTCAGACAGGGTAAGTTGCTGGGTGCTTGGCTCCCTCTTCTTTCTGCATAAGGAATTAACCTTCAGGGTTTATTTGGAACCACTCAAGATCTACACGCTGTCCCCCCTCTGTTACTTCTACTAACATCTGCTTAAATGTTTCACAGATGTCTGCTTTGGAGACCGTAGAACCTCTGTTTGACATGAAAGTCAAGAAGAAAGCTAAAATGATAAAAAGTTACTGATAATATATTGAACTTTGTGCGTGTTTTCAGGCACAACAGAAGATAACCTCACAGTTATCTTTTGTTCTAATTCCAGCGGTGTGTGTCTAAGACAATTGCTCTGCAGACATATCCAGCAACTTTTTCTTACTCTTATTACTCATAGGATATTTCCTGTTATCACCTTTTTCTTATTTCCAAACACTGGATACATTTTATTGTTAGACCCACATGGATAATGTTTCTACTTCCAGTTCTGAAATGCTCTGGCAATAGAAAATTTCAAGGTGTTGGCTGCAATGAAGCAACAAACGCAACTCTCCTCTTCTGTTTGCATGTGTTGAAGGAGTACATGAAAAGCAAAGCCAGCTTCTTTGTTTGACATTGTCTCTGCAGTTTTAATACAACCCTCAACCAAATCTTAATGCTGTGTTATTCAGAACCTAGGGTGGATACAGCTCTTCAAGTCATGGAGCCTTGGCTGCATGCATTAGTTTAAGCTGATACTTGAGGGCACAGGCTCTTAACTAGCAATGTACACAGTGAAGGGTGCTTGAAGCCAATGAAGGTGTTTAATACGAAACAGCGATGAGGCAGTGTAGGCTGGTGGGATTACTAGCATCCAGAGATGCTTCTGCTGGAAGGAAGAGACCGTGCTGGAGGTTTGCAGACACCACTGGCAGGTGTCTGTAGGAGCAAAGGCCAGTTGCAGAGGTGGGAGAGAGAAGGATGACAATAGCAGATCATGAGATGCAGAAGAGAGCTCACTGTGGCCCTACTGAAAACAAGAAATTGGCCTCAGTTCTAAGGTGTCATTTGTGGTGAATGGCTCCTTGGCTCCTGCCTTTTTTTTATTTCCTTAATGAACAGCTAGGAGTCCCTAGGGTTTGACACCTAACCCTTTTTGGTTGATGAGAAACTGCATTCATTCCTTTAACATATAAAGTCTATCAAAGAGCTTATGGAATAAAGAGTTTCCAAAAGATTGTATAATAATACTTCCCCTACAATACTGCATTGAAGAAGTCTGAATCCTTTTAGAACAAGCTTTAAAATCTGCACACCCTGCATCCCCAGGCATGGCAACTAAACCTGTGGAGATACATTAGCAGTTTCTCCACCTCACCACCTGTGCGTCCTGAAAAGATGGGGATCTAAAACCAGAGCAGATGTACAGAGCAGTAAACACAGTTCTGCTGGCCACCATCCCCCTTTCTCCTTTCACCTTGCCTTCAAGCCCATCACTTGCTGGGTGGGGCACCCTGTGTGGAGTCCAGTTAGTGTCAGGGAAGTTACCACTGCTCTGCCAGTATGGGGAAAGGTAAAGTCTTTCTCTTTGCATGGCAGCCCAGGGCAGTGATAGCAAGGCAGCTGCTGTTTGCTGCTGCCTCCTCTTCACTCATCAGTCAGCTGCAGCTAAATGCCACCAGAAGGAAACTTAGCTTAGTTAGTTTTTTTTCAGACTACTTGTTTCATCATCAGAAGAAACACAACTGAAGCATGCAAATGCTTTTTTAAAAAGAATAAGAAATCTGAAAAACAGCAAACTCACCGTTGCAGAATCACACCATAAATAAGTCTGGGGAATAATTACTGATAGAAATAATGACTTTTGAAATTAGATAGCTTTTTGGGAAGTATAATACAGTTCAGGAGGCTCAGGAGGAGAATTACATCAAGCCTTAGTTTTGCGGAAACAATCGTGTAATCTATTACATGCCTCTAACTCTGTATGGGCACTAGGAGGAGCCAGAAACTAAAGACTGCAACATCACATCCAGCAGAAGAGCCCCACCAGAACACACCACACAGGAGACCCTCTCTCTATATATGTATGTTTGTACATAAAAGCGTGAATATGTTTAAAATTGGTTCTGTTGCACAGCAATTGCTGAGTTTGGAAAAAATTCCTTCTTCGGTCAAATACTTTGTATTTAGACTTTCATTTAAAAGCCATCCTCTTCAGTACTTTTTCCACTAACCAAAACATTTTCTGCTCAAGTGACACCTGGGAGTGGAGAGAGGAAGAGCATCTCCAGACTCTTCAGTCTTTGTTCCCCATTGGGACTGCCAAGGCAGATGCCAGTTTACCTCAATGGCTTCTGCAGTGCAGACAGTCCTCTGAGAAAATACAAGGGGATGAGTTACAGTTTAACACCTATTGTGATAATGTATAGTTAACACACTTGCACAAGAGGTGAACTCATCAATGAAGATATCTATATATATATTTTTCCCTTAGAACCATAGAATATCCTGAGGTGGAAGGGGACCCACAAGGATCGAGACCAACTCCTGGCTCCACACCCAGTGTAAAGAGCAGTGCCGAAAAGCTCCTTATACTCCAGTCCCTCACCTTTGCCTATGCCATACACATAGAATCCTCATACATGAGCGTTGTGCAGCTGAGCCTCCTGTGAGGCAGCTCACAGTGCTGCAAGCGAGCAGCCATCTCCCACTGTCTGAGCCGGAGCTTCCCAGCCTCCGGTACTACTGGCGCTCTATGATGGATAGAATGTAATTGGCTCCAGCAGATGAAAATAAAGAAGAAAATTAAAAAGCTGATGGCATGTTTTAGTTTCTAAATGGTCAGGATGCTTTCATAGAATCATAGAATCATTAAGAAAGACCACCAAGATCATCTCATCCAACTTTACTGCTGCATCGTAGTAAACATCTTTCTGAAGGGTCAACATAATAGGAAAACAATATCTCAGAAATACTTTTCCTTACTGAATCTCCAGCTACAAATAGTGGCAAATTGGCAATTTGAGGCACAATGTCTGTCATCCACCTTTGCTCCTTTCACAGAGTCATGATCACTCTGGTACAGACTATGTACCCAGATGCGGGATCTGATATGATACCCAGATGATGGGAAGGTGCAACCCCACAAAGACAAGTTATAATACAATACAATTATAAGAGACTTCCACAAGTAATGGAGGAAATACTTACGCTTTGATGAATAAAGCAGGGCAGTGCATTATTTTTGTGGTTTTTTTCCACACCAGGTGTGGTTGTGTTGAGGCCCAACCACACCTCAACCTTCAAAGATCACATAGAATTGTATGAGTTGGAAGGAATACTTAAGGGTCATCTGGTCCAACTTCACTGTAATGAACAGGGACACCTACAGCTACATCAGAGCCCTGCCAGCCTGGCCTTGAGTGTCTCCAAAGATGGGGCATCCACTGCCTCCCTAGGCAACCTGTGCCAGTGCCTCACCATCCTTATTGTAAAATACCTTTTTCCTTATATCCAACCTAAATCTCCCCTCTCCGTTTGAAACCATTTCTCTTTGCCCTGTCATCATTCTTTGAGGGTGAATGGTTTCCAAAGAAAGAAAAAATATACAAAATGTACCAAGTTGGTTCCATCATTGGCTTTATAGCTTTGCTTTATATCTGAATACATATATTGAAAGGAATTATGTTTGGTCAAAAAATAACATTGTGACCATTTTGTTTTGAAACTTAGCCAGTTTGCTAACATTTAATAGGACATGGCTGTTTTTTCAATTTTTTATTTTTGTGACTATAGCTGTATATTAATAACATATGTAATAACGCATCTATAAAAGCAATTTCCTAATTAAATGAAAAACTCAGCTCCTGGCACAATGCCTTCTTAAGCACTTAGGAGATGTAGGCATTTGGGCAAAAAAGAACTAAATGACTTAAATGAAGTCTTTCTACTGAGGTCACAGTGGAAATATTACATTTTTGTCAGCAGAGATTGGTAAGCATCAATACATAATTGGCTATCTCCCGATCTCACAAAAGAACCAAAAATAAGAATAATTAGTCAAACTCAAGTTCTAATGATGTCACCATCTCATAGCCCTTCCGTATGGAGCATGATTCCTTTATTAAGAAGAGGATGTTCTCTGCAGGTCAAGAGGTGTGAGGAGCTGTTCCCAGACAACAGCTAGCCCCATGCTAGCCATGCTCCCATGCACCTAGCTATTAAAGCTTGTTTAGTCACACTTCCTTTGGTTGCAGACTGCTGACCATCTTCCAGCAAGGCTTCCCTGGGCATTTCACCTCATCCTTGTCCCAACCTTTTGCATAACCATCGCTCTTTCTCAGAGAGCTGTCACTAAGCAGGGGAAACATTTCTACTACGTCAAGCCATGTGAGACAAAACAGCTGAATCTCACCTTGAAGAAGGATGCAGAAAGCAGAATGGAGAGTACAAGTAAGGGTAGGTCAAAATGCATAGTGAGAAAATGCTAGTGAGCTCATCTAGCTTTAGGATCGTGCCTCTCCTTGCCTACAGCCCTTGAGCAGACTCGCTAGGTTCAGGCCTGTCACCTGGCCCTGGCACAGCTGGTAGAAGTATGGGAGAGAGGTTGAAATGTGAAAGGGATGATGGTCCCCTTCATACGAGACCAAGCAACCTGCCCAGAGGTCACATTTCATATGTGAAAATGGACGGGCCTACCTCTCTTAGTGGAGCTGTCAGTGGAAAACATGAAGTGGTCTCATTTCAGACTGACTGCTGGGCTAGCAAAATCTCCTAAGGAAGACATGGTTATAGGTGTGTCACACTGAGAATGGTATCCCACCACGTTCTGGGTTGCTGGAAAAAAGCCTTGCTGGGCAATGTGCAGCTTTGCCAAATAAGCTCCTCTTGCACTTGTACTGTCCAGACAAAACCCTTTGCTTCACATTTCATGTTAGACTGCAAGAGGAGCCTCATTTGAATTTTTTCTTTCTTACATCTGTGTAAAGATATTCTAGAGCTCAGAGACAGAGAATTAGTTGGAACTTTGAATTGTTTTTATCCCTCTTGTGTTGGTGGCAGTTGTATAAGTGGTCATTTAATTGCAGTAATTGAGCCTACAGTTTTGGTGGTGTTTTTTGATTGTTTTTGTTGTGGTTTTGTGTGCGTGCATGTTTTTGGTTTTTGTTGTTGTTGTTTGGTTTGTGGGTTGGGTTTTGTTTGTTGTTGGGTTTTTTTGTTCTACTTACAGATTTAAAAATGAGATTGACGAAAAAAACGATGATCTCATCTGCCCTCTGCTTACATCTGCACCACAGGACTCAGGGTCACCATCCAGGTCCTCCATCTGAGTGCATACTCTGCTGTATCCCAGTCTAAGGCAGGGCAGAACCCTGGCACGTGCCATTCCCACTTTTCCCCATGCCAGGCCCTAGCCACTGTTCCTTCCACCTGCAACAGGCCTGGAAATTTCAAGCAAATAGTCGAGTTGCTAAGATACTGCCTTTACTCTGTCTGTTGGAAGAAAACAGCATCTCTGGAAAGCCAGATGTACGGCGAATCCAGCAGGTAAAATATATTATTGTTGCTCATCTGCCTGGGGTAACTTTACTAGAAACCTGTTCTGGGTAGGCAGTTTTCTTCTTGCATTTCTAACAAAGTAAGCAAATTCATACCTCACATACCAAAATTGGATACGTGAGGGAATTGTGATGAATGATGCCTTTATAACTCTGTTTTTCCAGAATCCTTGTAAGATCAGGAAAAGGATCTGCACCAGAGGGCAGTGGGCGTGGAATGGGCTGCCCAGGGCTGTGGGCATGGCCCCAAGTGCCAGAGTTCAAAGGGCATCTGGACACCTTTTCAGACATAGGGTTTGAGTTTTGGTTGGTGCTGTGTGGAACCAGGAGCTGGATTCAATCACCCTTGTGGGTTCCTTCCAGCTCAGAATATTCTGTGATTCTACGATCAACTCTTTATCATTCTTACTCACTTCACATTATTTCAAGCTTGTTTTGACATAATCACTAACAAAGATGTGTTCTTTCTAATTAAAAGGAAAGCTGGGATTTGGGAAATACAAGGCTTGATTAATAGACAGCCTAGTAGCAAGTCAAAAATCACAGTTCCCAGCTTCAAAGTACAACTAATTGCTTCACTAATCACATCCCCAAAGCTATACTTTGATGAGTACGATTCCGGATGCTCAGAGAAGGCTATTCCAAGTTCACCAGTACATGGAAAAAGAAAGTAATTAAATATTAGCTAATGCATAGCTTTGCTATAGTTTCAAAGTGAAAAATGTAAAGTATTTCTAGTAACAAGATAGGGTCTGGAGAATCTCTTACATGAGAAGATAAAGCCAAGGTCTTTTCAGAACTGGAGCACAGGGGCTCCCCCTGAGCATCAGGCAGCACTGCTGTGTTGTGTGGGTGACGGAGCTCTGGCACGGGCTGCCCAGAGCCTGTGTGCTCTTCTCCTTGGAGACCTTCAAACCCCGATGGGACACGGAGCCGGACACCCTGCTCTGGGTGTCCCTTCTGAAGCCGGGGTTGGCCCAGATGGACCCAGAGGGCCCTTCCAGCCCCAACGGTGCGGTGCCTCTGTACCGTATTCCCCTTTTTCCTCCAACCTTTGCTTCTAGCTGTGAATCTGCTTGAAAGCGCCGAGCAAACAAGCACTTGCCGTCAGGTCTGCCCGCCCGCTCCGCTTCCGCACCCCGACATCCGCGGGCAGGCACCGGGCAGGTGAAGCCGTTCCCTGCGGCGCGGCGCGACGCCAGCTCCGGCCCGGGCCCCTGCCTCCCCGTCCGCCCGGCGGCGGCGTGGGCGGGGGCTGAGCTCGGCGGGGGCGGCGCGGCGCTGGGGCGCGTCCCCGTGCTGCCCGCCGGACGCGGCTGCCGGCTGGGCCCTGCGCGGGCTGCGGCTGCCGGAGCGGGGGGCTCCCATTATGGTCAGCCATGGCGTGGCCGGCGGGCGGGCTGGCCGAGCTGCGCTGGTACGCGCTGGTCACCCTCTTCGTGGCCGCGTTGGCCACGCTGGCCGTTTACCTGGTGCAGTACGCGCTGCTGGCCCTGCGGCGGAGGAGGGGGAAGCGGCGGCGACCCCCCCAGCAGCCCCCGGCGGCGCCGCGGGACGAGCTGCTGGAGGAGGGCGGCTCGGCGCTGGCCTGGGCGCTGTCGCTGGGCAGCTGGCGGCGGCAGTGGCGGCGGGCCTGGGTGGCGGCGCTGCGCGGCGAGGCGGCGGCGCGGGCGGTGAGTGCGGGGCCGCAGGTGAGGCGGCGGCGGGGAGGGGGCGGAGGACGGCGTGGGAGCGGGCCGTGGGCGGCGTGCTGCGGGCGGCGTGCTGCTGCCCCTCGGGGCGTCCGTGTGGGGGGAGCGCTGTGTGTGCCTCTCTAAGTCTGATAGAGCCGGTGGCTCCGGAGAGGAGGCTGGGGCAGGAGGAAGAGCCGGGCAGCGTGTGTGTGAGAGATAAGGACAGCGGCGCAGCCCGGCTCGCAACCAACGCTGGCTGCGGGCGGCCCGTGTCCCGGTCTGAGCGCTGGCCCGGCACACGCCCCGCCGCAGCCGCTCCTCGCCGCGAGCTCACAGCGTGGCACCGCGCTCCTCTCGAGGCGGCGTCAGGTCCCGGCCCGCAGCCCGAACGGCAGCGCCTGGCGCGCGGTCGCTGGTGGCTCTGGCAGCCTCACCTCGCCGCGCAAACTGCTGTGCGCCCCGAGCGGCTGTCAGCGCTGCCCGTGTCCCCTCACTCGTTCCCCACCTCGTCCAGCTGAGTGTTGGGGATTTGGTAGTTTTGGCATGGCCTGACGCAGCTGTGTGCCTAACGCGCTTTGTGTCCGCACAGCCCTGAAGGCCAGCCGTGTCCTGGGCTGCATCCAAAGAAGCATGGCCAGAAGGGCGAGGGAGGTGATCCTGCCCTTTTATTCTGTGCTGGTGAGACCTCAGCTGGAGCACTGCGTCCAGATGGAGAGTCCTCAGTACAGGAGAGACATGGAGCTGTTGGAGTGTGTCCAGAGGAGGGCCACAAAAATGATCCGAGGGATGGGACACCTCCCCTGTTGAAGACAGGCTGAGAGAGCTGGGGCTGTTCAACCTGGAGAAGAGAAGACTTGGGGAGAACAGAGAGTGGCCTTTCTGTATCTAAAGGGGAGCTGTAAGAAAGAAGAGACCAGACTCTTCAGCAGAGTCTGCTTGTGACAGGACAAGGGGAAATGGTTTCAGACTGAAAGAGGGGAGATTTAGGTTGGACATAAGGAAAAAGATTTGTACAGTGTGAGTGGTGAGGTGCTGGCACAGGTTACCCAAAGAGACAGTGGATGTCCCATCCCTGGAGACACTCAAGGTCAGGCTGGATGGGGCTCTGAGCAACCTGATGTAGCTGTAGGTGTCTGTGTTCATTGGAAGGGTAATTAAATCACACAGCCTTTATGCGACCCTTCCAACTCATACAATTCTATGTGTTCTGTGGAGGCTGAGGTACCACTGGGTCTAGATGTGAGTCCTAAGTGCAGGTTTTCAGGCTCTCCATTGTATTTTTATCCCTCATCTCCAGGGGGTAGGTTCACCACCTGACAGTGTTCCTCTTTTCCTCTCTAGGACTCACAGCTGCTGACATTTGAGGAAGATGACCCAGCAGAACCACTTGAGCTCACAGTTAAACAAGTTGTTAGCGTGGTGAAGTCTGTTCAAGAGAAGGTAAACTTCATCTATATTGTGCTTCAGGGTACTTTTAGTAGGAAATGCCAATTTTGTTTGAGTGTCAGCGGGAGTTTTATTCTTCAGTACCTAAGTTAGTGAAGGTTGGTTTCAGTCTGCCTCCAAGGGACCTCTTTGCATTGGTTCACTTCTTGAGCAAGCCACGACAAAGCACTGCAAGGTTTCTGCCAAATGAACAACAGCCAGGGCTGCACCGAGCTGTTAGAAGCGCTTCCATGTCCTCCTGCTGCCATTGCGGTTCCCAGTCCTGTTGTTGAAGTTGGTTGGAGATTCTTGCAGCAGGAAATGCCCTGGGGCTGAAAGACCTGCCTGCTGTGCTGTGGCTGAGGCAGGCCTGCTTCCTGGCTCCCAGCCACACAGGGTCAGTGTGGCAGATGCTAAGTATTCCAGGTGACTCCTGAGGAGGACTTGTCTTGTGGTTCCTCTCCCACCTCCACAGCACACATTGGGAAGTGCCCATGGTGAGTATGGGCAGTATTAGAACATGATGGAATGTAGCTCTTACATCAGTGTACAAATGCACTAAGAGGAAAGGAGTGTGTGTGTGCTGATAGCTCCTTTATTTCCATCTTGTTTTCACTAACTATTAGCCAATGACTGTTAGCTCAGCTTCAGGCCCCTGAATCAATTGAACCCATTATTTTTCTTCTAATTCTCCTTCTTTACGTTAGTTTGCTTGTCTCATTTAGATGTTAAGTAGCTCTGCTATGATTCCTTTGAAAATTATGCATGCTTATCTGTCTGATACCCAACTTATGGTCACACCCTGATTGGTGGCAGCTGGGGATTGCCAACATGTAAAGCTCTTTGTGCACTTGTTCTCCAGCCACAGTTCTGTTTTTTCTTTTTTCTTTTTTTTTTTTTTTCCAACGTTTCCCTTTCATACTAATGCTCCCTGCCCCAGTGGCTCTCTCCTGCCCATGGAGCCTGGTGCTGCTGTGGCAAAGCTGTGATAAAACGGGCAGCAGGAGCTGGGCAGCACCAGCAGTGGTGTGGCTGGGCTCTTGCTCTCCTCTATTGGGGGCTTTGTGTCCTGGCACCCTCCCTCCTGCCTTGTCTGACCTTGGGTTGAGCCATTTCAGTATGTTAATCAAGCTGTTAGTATTGCAGCCAGCAATCTGATGTGGTTTTGCAGCAGCTTAAAGCAATATAAGCACATTTAAAAACGTATTGGATTAAGAGAGTTTTGCTTACATAATTGGGTGGTTCTGAATTCCCCCAAAACCTGTTTCCATAATCTTGTGCACAGCTGTTGGGAAATATTCTCTGAATAATTCCTATTCCTTCAGTTAAGGTACAGCTGAATAATTTATTTCTATTTCAGTATGTAATAACCTCAGAGTGGCACTCTGGTGCATACCCGCCTCCAAATGCCCCAGGAGTTCTCTCATAGGCTCACTGTTTTGCTTACATAGTCCTCGGGTAATACTGAATATCTGAAGTGTTTCATATTTTTCTTTTTTTTGCCCTTCAAACCCTTAATCTGTGCAAGTATTTCCAAAAAAAGCAAAATGAAACTGAAATCTCCCTTATCAGCTTGTCTGGACACAATCTTCTCATGCATGTTAACCCTACCCACGGCAAGGGGGTTGGAGCTAGATCATCTTTAATGTCCCTTCCAACCCAAACCATTCTGTGATCCTATGTTGGTGGCTTACTATTGGTGCATCTGGCTCTGGATGTGGCTAGTGACTATATGCTGCTTGCTTACCAATCTTACAGCATCCCTTAGAGCTTGGCACATGCCTGGGCCATTGTCTGACATGGGACTGTTGTCTTGCAACTGGTTTGGCTTGCTTCTTCACTTGTGATCAGGGTGGCGAGTGTATGGGGACCCTGCTCAGCAGCCAAGGGAGATTTATTGCACTTTGCTTCAAATAAGTTTTTTTAAGACTTTATATTGGAGAGGTTGTGTGGTTATCAAAGGAAACAGGGAATTTAGGGTGAGGGATGAAAATAGCAGTAAATGTTGGAAGGACATGGTTAGTGGTTGTGGTGGTGATGGGTTGGTGACTGGACTAGGTGATCATAGTGGTCTTTTCCAACATCAATGATTCTATGGAGCGTAACACTTTAATGCAGGTGGGTGCGTGCTTATGGAGCCCTGTGGTACTTGTCCTTTGTGGAACAGTCTGTGTTCCTATGCACTGCATGGTGCTGGGAGCAGCCTCATGCCTGGCGCACACCCACACCAAGCTGACAGCAGATTGTCAACCTGCTGTAATTCTCCATTGCTGCTGACAGCCTTATTTGTGACCAGGACACATTCTGACACATGTGGCCCTTAGGTGTGTACAGCTGTGCTTCTGCTGAAGGAGCTGGAGGCTGTAAAAACGGCATGCATTCCACAGCACGCCAATGCAGACACGGTAGGGGAGCTGCTGGGTGTGAGCTTGGCAGGTGGCACTGCCTTCACAACAGAACTGCTCTGTTGGGAAGGTGGCATCACACTGCCCCTGGGCAGAGCCTCTGCTTGGTTTGTAGTCTTCGCTCCAGGTTTGGGTCAGAGCCTAAATACGTAGAATGGAGCAGGCTGTTTTCATTGTGTGGGGCTGACTGTTCTGTTTCAATAAAGTAAACATTCGCAATATTCTCAGCTATTTCTGCCAACCTTTCCGTTACCAGAATCTATTTCCAGAAGCTTTGAACTTCCCAGCAGCAATAAAAGGCAACAGAGGAGATGATTCTCTTGTTGGGAGCTTGGCACAGAGGGTTTTGGACAGAGCAAACTTGTCTGTTTCCCGACTGTTAAACTGCAGAAGTCCCCCCCTTCCTCCTGCTTCATGCTTAAACAAAGAGGGGAAGAAGCCCTCTGAGTGCCCACAGTTTGCTTTTCCTTTGATAAGCAGTAGTAAAGAGCTGCTGCACAAGGAGTGGCTGTCCTGCAGCACAACAGGCAAGAGCAGATAGTAGAGCTTTTGTGTCACTTTTTCTATTGTGGGGCAAATGGTGGAACAGAAGGAGGGCAGCTTTGTGGCCTTATGCAAGGTCTCATTTTGAGACAGGCTGTGCACTATGCCCAAAAAGACACTCATTCAGCTGTGTATCTTTGCTGCTTTGTTCCCATCCAGCATCACTCTGGGGTGCAGAGCCTCCCAGCTCCCCTCTTTTCAAAGCCCATGAGGGCAGTGTGGTGCAGTGGCTGCTTTCCTCTCCAGGAAAGTCTGCTTTCTCATCCTGAATGCTGCGGCATTAACTGGGATTCATCCCCAGTTATGTATGTGTGTTTATCTCTGATTGTTTGTGGTGGACTGCACTACCCTGACCATCACGTGCAGTCTGTATTGTTCTTTAACTCCTTTTGCTTGGGAAGCTGTCCCAGGGATTTGCTGCTCTAATGATTGTATTGTTTGTGTTTTTTTTTTCACAATCCTAAGTGGAATCATGGCCCACGCAGCTTTTTCATTTATTTATATTTTTTTCTTCCTGTACGAGCATGATCCTTTATCTTGAATGTATTCACTTTTTCCCTCAGCACTTGCTGTCCATGGGTATATCACAAGGGAGTTACATTTCCTTCCAGTCTTTGTTTGGCTGAGCTAAAGAAGTTGTTCCTCAGGTCTCCTTTCTCAGTGCAGCCTTGCCTGTCCCTCATGTGTATCCATCTCTGCAGCTGCTCCAGTTGGATTCATTCTTGAATGTGATACTGAAGTGGCAACAGTGCTACAGTAAAGTCTCACAGTATGTTGAGATATCTGCCTCTCGGTGCTTTTGGCAGTTCTCTTTCAATGCTTTTAAGGATGTTTTCCTGTATGACCTGCTGCAGGGAACCTGTTTTAGCAAGGGGCCAGTCTAGGTGGTCTCCAGAGGTCCCTTCCAACCCCTACAACACTGTGATTCTGACCTGCCTCTCCTTTGACTGCTTCACACTGTTGTTGACTTCATGCTTGCAGGTCATGGCTTTTTCTTAGAGATATACTGCTCCTATAAGGGGAGTTTTTCTTAATTCTTGCATGTACGCTTTGTATTTAGAGTTGCATTTCTTTCCTAGTCTTCAAGGTTTTCAGCTTTCTTTCCTTGCTTTCCCTCAGACCTTCTACTGTTGAATTTTGGAAATTGGTGTCCCAGTTAAAATAGGCAAGACAACATAGCTGATCTAACCTATTTTGAAACTGAGTATTTTGTCAAAGGGAGGCATCTGTGCTGGAATTTGTTTGCTTCAGTGCTGATAATTACTGGTTGGGCCCTGTCGGACAGCCTGCTGCAGGTGTGCATAGTCCTTCTTCAGGCGTTAGTCCCATTCACCAGCCTGGTTCAGGTGTTAGCAGTAACCCAGTGTCCACAGTGGCACTACATGCAAACTGGCAGACCTCTTGCATTTTACTGTCTTCGTTTGTTTCTGTCTCTTCATCTGTGCTGAATAAGCTCTTTGCAAAGACTTGCGTGTTAGTGAGGCCGAAGTACCAAGTCTTGTTCTGCGACTTGCTTTCCCCCTTCTTACATATAGGTACTGCTTCTTGTCCTCCCACCATCTGATACTTATGTGGCTTGGTAGACTCACTGAAAATTCTCCCTCTCCTGTCTGATTGTATTCCCTGATAGTTGCTTTTTTTAATCCTTCTTTTTTCTCTACTTCTTTGAATTTGCACGTCTATCAGTCGCAAAAGAATGACTGAAATCACTTAGTATATCTGGCTTTGTTTTTCTTCTGTTGCTTATGCAGGTAGCTCCTTTTTCTGTGCACCCATTCCATCACCCTGCCTTCACCCCAGAGCTTATTATCATTTTGAAGAACTGCCCTGAATTTGTCTCATTATATTTGCAGGCACGCTTGTTTTCATGCAAGCTTCTAAAAATCTTCAAGCAGTGCCTGGGTTAGATGTTGCCTTTTCTCCTCTTCCTTTCTCAATACTGGCTGTGTCACGTAGCAAACTACTTGGGTCGAAAGGGAGCTGTATAGGAGCTACAGAAAGCCCCTTAAGAAGCCAATGAGTAGGCTCAGGTTGCCAAAGCAGGTGGTATAATTCTTTTGAGTAGCTGAGTGTAATGATTGTGAAGAGACAGAAGTTTCTGACTGGAAAGTTTTCTCATGGAGAGATTCTACATTAAGCATACAAACTTATTCACGTGGACATTGACATGAGAAACTTCCTGTGCCAGAAAAGAACCTTCTCTTTCTCACAGTAATACTTCAGGGGAAAAAAAAAAATTGTGGAGCTTCCAAATCTTATAGCATCCTGATCCCTTCAGCTGAGGTTAAGGCAGCTTTTACTCTGTGGCTGCTTCATGGTATTGTATTTGTATTAATTTTTTATTACTTACATGCTTCTGATATATATTTTGCAACCTCAGGTAACTTTCTCCTTCTGGAAACAAAATGCAGTAAAGCTGATTTCTGTCCAAAAAGCGATTGAGCTGATAATGCTGGGAGATTTCCATACCCATGTGATACAGTCTGGCTTGAGGAAGGTGGAGGACTTCCTCTGTTAGACTCTAAGAACTTCCTTCTAAAATCACAGCCATTTAGCATTCCCTTTACCACAGAAGGGACTGTTGTCCTGCATAGAGAAATGGGGGAGAAAGTCTTCTGTGGAGGAGTAACAGGAAGGCTGTGCATAAAGAAAAGTTGTTTTACATTATGGGTGGTGAGGCATTGGCACAGGTTGCCCACAAAGGTGGTGGATGCCCCATCCCTGCAGACATTCAAGGTCAGGCTGAAGGGGGCTCTGAGTAACCTGATGTAGCTGTAGGTGTCCCTGTTCATTGTAAGGGGGTTGTATCAGATGGTCTTTATGGGTCCCTTAATCAAATGATTATGTGAGAGCATGAATCTGTGTGGTGCTACTTCCAAAAGTGAAACGTCTTAATCCTGTGTGACAAGCAGAGGTATTCTGATTCTTCTTGAACTGAAGTAGCTTTGCTGCCACTTCAGGGAGGAGAGCAAAAGTTTCAGTTCTGTCCAGAGGAACTGTGAAATCAAGATATAGAGAGGGAGGGCAGAGCAAGGGGACAGGTCTTCAACAGCTGTGAGGACACATGTCCAGACACTTCAGTTTCTTAGGAAAATATCTCTGTCTTTCTCCAACTATAATACTTTTCCAGTCGTATTCTTTTCTGAAGTTTACCTGGAACAGCATGTTTCGTTTTGTTTTTTTAGGATAACTGTACAGACAGTTTTAGAGAAAGGTCTGAGAACTTCTGCAGTGTATAAGATCCCAAGGGTGCACACTCTTGCTGGTGACAGGGTGCCTGTGAATGGGGAGATACTGTAGGGAGAAAGCGCCTCGGTCTTGCTGCTGGAAGAGTCCTGGTGTTGTACTGCTGCTGCTTCACTTCACTATTTCTGCTCATGTAGAAGCTTGTAGTTTGTCTAGCTACAACATAGCAGAGTGACATCTTGGTCTAGTATTAAATGTGGAGGTTGGTGGCCCTGCCTGTGGCAGGGGGGTTGGAGATTCATGATTCTTGAGGTCCCTCCCAACCCTGGCCATTCTGTGATTCTGTGACATCTAAACTCTCTGGGAGTCCACTTAGCCAGCAACAGCTGCTGTGTGGTGGTACAAAGTGCTTCATTTTGGAAGAAAGCTTGTCACAGAAACTATAGGTTTTCTAGCCTCCATTGAAAACAAAAGGTTTGATGAGGTGTCTCTTGCATGGAGTATTGGGAAAGAGAGACTAAGAAGATAAATGAAGTCGAAGGGCAGCTTACCAGTCCAGGTGCATCTATTTTCTCGTGAATGTTTGTCCTTTCTCAGCCAGAAAAGGGTGTTTCACTTGACATTCTCCTCTCCTGCTAGCAAATGCATTTTGTCTCTAATCAGAGCTTCACAGGATATGAATGAGCTTGGGTTTGTCGATGACTGCTCTTCACCTGCTCTGAGACAAAGAATCAGAGGAAGCAGGTTGGATAGGGCTGTGGGGGAAGAGGAGCCCAGCACAGGAAGCTTCAGTGTTTTTCTTCATGTTACTGTTTGGGGAGGGGCACACAAATGGCCTACGTATTTCTGCAGAGGTCTATCAGAAGCATCTGCTGCATTTCTAAAGGAACGTCACTTTAGAAGAAAAGTGGAAGTTGCAGACTCTCTGTTTCCATCTTTTACTTGAAAATAAACTCATCCTGAGGAAAAGAGTAGTGCGTGAATGTATCTGCCAACCCTCCTGCCAGGCTTGTGTTGTTTGTTTGTTTTTAAAGCAATAATTGCCTGTTTACGTGGCAACCCTGCCTCTTTGGCCTCCTGAAATTCCAGACGTATGGCTCTGCATCACATGTGCAGCCAGTCCAACTTGTTCCAAATCCATGCATGGATCAGATGCATATGGGTGGTAAAGCACTGTGCTTAGGATATGCAAGTGTTGGTGTTTTTTGTATCACACCTGTCTTCTTCCCTCTTTTTGAACTCAAAAAGATGAAAGAAACTGTCTACTTCTGCTGTACTTAAGGAAAAGCCACATCAATCCATTCTCTTTGTTAATAAATTGTATTCTGTATTTTGACTCAATTACAAGTAAAATGAGCAGTCAAGCTTTTTAACTTAAGTTAGTCGTTAACTAACTTCTGTTGTGTCCTAATTGTGGCTGCTTATGTTGATTATGTGGGATTAAGGAACATAAATCAACTTAGAGGGAATTTAGCTTTTGGGAAAGAGGTGAGGAAGGCAGACTTGTCCACCTCCCAACTGTGGTTTGCAAAAGACACACCTTCTGCAACTCTTGTTGCTCACAGGTGTGGTTGGGTTTGTTATTTGTCATGTCCACTCCATCTACTTGCTCCTTTGTAATTTCTGCCTTCACAGAAGTGCTCTGAAGCCCTCTGGTGCTGCTTACAGTGTGTAGAGTCCTGGGAGATGGACTGTATTTAAGGAGAGAATGATAAGGATCTTTCAGAGGGTACCTGACTCATGTTGAAGCCTTCAGCTTCCAATCCTGTGTGCATAAGTGAAGCAATAAGTGCACAAATATAATTTACTAGCATTTGCACAGAGTTTCTGTCAAACAGATCTTGCAGCAAATTATTTGTCTATGCATTGCATTAACATGGTTAACTTTGCCTGAGTCCATCTATGGAATGTTTAACTCACCTTTCCAGTGGTGGAGCTGTGGGGATGCTAACCATGGGGGAGCAGCAATGAGCAGGTGTCTTCAACCAGCAAAGCTGTTAGCAAAGCATCTCTCTTTGGCTTAATGCGTGATTTGTGGCTTCTGTACTTGGGCCTTTTCTCTGCTGCCAGGTGCTTTCTGCACCTTCTTTGGTTTTTGAACAGCTCCGCAACCTCAGTTGGCTTGTGAGGGGAGGGAGGAGAAAAATGCTCTGTGTTTGTAAACTCAATGTGATAACGAGTTAAATTGCTGCTTATAAAATTGAGGGTGTGTACTTAAGTAAGCATATAGCAGTCAAGTAGCAAATGAGCTTGTCCCACACATTTAGCTTCACCACCAAACTTTAGTGCTCTCCTGGGTTTGGTCAAAGACTTGAATAAACTTCAAGTCTTCTGCCTGTCACCACCCCCAGTGGAATTACTCAGTCAGTATTCTTACCAGAAGCAGCAGCCTTATGCCAAAGTTTCTCATTTGTAGAATACCACTAAAACAAATGTTGTACAGTTCATTTTTACAAGCCAAATGTTTGGTAAAACCAGCTATCCTGTGATAGGATGCTTGGTTTGTAGCAGGAGAAGAAGGAGAGAAAACTTAATTATATCCAGTCACACAAAAAATTCTTGGAAATCACCAGTATTACCAAGTATTAACCTCTGTGTCCAGAAGTGTAGCTGAAGTGCAGGTTTTAGAACTGAGCATGCAGAAGGGAGTGTAGGGGGTTAATGAAACTGACTGGAAATCTCCCATGTGCAGAATATAGCATAATTCTAGTAGCTTGAAGTCCTTCATTTTTCTTAGTTCCCTTCTTGCCTTCACCAAACATTCTACTGAAGACTGAATTGTTCTTCTCTTCCTTTTTTCCTCCCCTTTAATTTCTTCAGGTGGTTTCTTGTAATGTTGTGGGAGACTCTGTTACGTTTATTATCAGCATCTCAAGTTCTTCACCCACAGCTGCAGAAAGTCAGTCGTACAGCGTGAAACTGTCTCCGCTTCACTTGCAGGTAAAGCCTCTTAAGTATTATTCTCTCTTTTTTCTTTTGTTTCATCTCACCCCACAGCTCAGCTTAAAGGCCTGAAAGGTGGTGTCAGGTTTTCACTCCCTATTTGCAGAAATGCATACAAGCTTGTGTTAATTCTAGTAAAGCACTTAATAATGTTACAGTTCTATCTTCTGCTTTAGGAAGACTGTGGATAAATAAATCTTTTTAATAGTCTGCCCCAATGTGTAGAACAGCAGTACCCTTTTTGACTGGCATGCACTTTCACTTGGTATTTCGTTTGCTTTCTTACACTGTTGCTTGGATATATACCAACTCAGAAACTGTTGTTTTTCCTTTGGCAAGCGTTAGTGACTTAAAATTTCCTTGCAGGATATCAGAACACACTCCAATAACTGCTTTCCTATCCACAGCTTCACCTCTATGTGAAAGACAAAGGGGATGATGTCAAAGTGGAGTGGCTCCTCGTTAATGTCGATGAGACCAACTTTGAAATCCAGCCAACAGTGCAGGAGGTCAGTCAGTAAGTTTTACTTGTCATAGTGAAAGTTCAAATGTAAGGATACAGTTCAGACTGGGAGAAGACTTCTGCTGCTGCTCCCCCCATAGGCACTCTTATCCCTCTGCTCAAGGAATCAGAAAGCATTTCTCCAGTGCAAAACCCAATGCAGTGCATTAGATTAGCAGTAACAGTAGCTAGAGCTAAGATATTGGATGATGCTGGAACAACAGAAGCAAAAATGCCTGTTCCTTTCTGCTGACTGCATTTAGCAGTGGAATCAGGCAGTTATTTATTGGCAATGGTATCTTAAACTGCTTCAGTGAAACTTGCCATGGCTCATCCATCAAAATCCTGCATCTCTGAAGTCGAAGAGCAACTCTCAAGATTACTGAAGCATTAAAGATAAATCTGTATTTGACAGACAAGTGACCTGGCAAATATTTTTGACCAAATTCAAAGATGTGAAAAATGTCTGTTACTAAAAGCCTTCAGAGCACTTCTAATATAATGAAAAAGTTGTGATTATGTTCCCATCAAAGTCATTTACCCTGCCTTAACTTAATTAGTTTTGAAATCTGATAGCCCTCATTCAGAAACAGCTCTGAAAAAACACAAATTTAAGGAAATAAGTTATTTAGAAATATAGATTCTGAAGATCTCCAATGAGGAGACTCCATAGCCTCTCTAGGCAGTCTGTGCCAGAGCTCCATCACAATAAGTAATTTTTTCCTCATGTTTGTTTGGAACTGCCTGTTTCAGTTTATGACTTTTGCCTCTCATCTTTTTGCTGAGCACCACTGAGAAGCATCTGGCCCCATCCTCTTGCCAGCATGTTGATGAGATCCTCTGAGCCTTCTCTTCTCCAGGCTGAATGGCCCCAGCTCCCTTAGCCTTTCCTCGTAGGAGAGATGCACCAGTTCCTTCATCATTTTAGTAGCCCTTTGCTGGACTCTCTGTATCCCTCTTGTGCTGGGAAGCCCAGAACTGGAGCCAGTATTCCAGGTGGGGCTTCATCAGGGTAGAGTAGAGGGAAAGAATCACATCCCTTGGCCTCCTGGCAATGCTTTTTCTAATTCACCCCAGGATACCATTGCCCTTCTTGGTCACAAGGGTTTATCACTGGCTTGTGGTCAGCTTGTCCAGCAGGTCCTTCTCTGCAGAGAGCCTTCCCAGAAGCTCAGCCTTCAGTACTGGCTGTGATGGTAAAGCTTCTACTGAAGACTCATAGTTGAGTGACCTAGAATCATAAAAATTTATTACCACAGCTTTTGTACACAAAAATGTTAAGCTCATAACTAAAGACAGGCAAGTCTTTTGAAGTGTGTTTTAATGCTTTAATTAAAATGTAATATAATATTAATGTGCATGCAACTGACCTGCACGTGTTGGAGCAGCGTGCTGATTGTCTACTTACTGAACAAGCAGTGAGTGTTCACTGACACGTGCAAATGAGTCTGGCACTGTCTCAGGCCTTCAAAGCCTGTTTTTTGAAACGCCCAATGACAAAGCAGTTGAAACCTCCTGTGCTTTGCCTGTGATTTTAAAATGAGCCTGTTAAGTTTTTACTACTTAAGGGCTTCTTTTTCACTTTGAAGTTTGTGTTAGCATTCCAAGGAGTGAGGAGGTGACAAACAGAGCTGTTTAATGGATAAAACAAGGAGCAACCTACCCCTGGGTAATTCCTTCAGCTCTTAAACTTTTAACATCAGCTTTTGTGTCCTAGTTTGTAGTTCTTTTTTTCTCCTTTGGAGGAGATATTTTATATACAAATTGAGATCTTTAATTGTTGATGGTTATCATTGCAGTAGTTCTGTCATCAGTCGAACAAGGGGGTATAATAACCTATTTTCTGTTGATGGAAAAACATCAGAAAACATCTATCAATAGAAGCCAATGACAGCTGTTGCTGCTGTTATTACAAAACAACTAATACCAGTTTTTGGTTGGTGGCAGGGTGAGGGTTGGCTGGAATTTTGCAAATTGGCATCATTCTTCATCCAACAGTGTGTAGGTAAGGGCAGGGGAAGGAAATCACCCCCAAAACAGTGAGAATAACCAACAATTTATCTGCATATTTAAGTATCTCAGGAAAAGTAAGCTACTGAAACAAGTATATTTTCAGTATTTTTAAAAGCAAAAGCTTTGGAAGCTGCAGGAATGTGCCTCTGCCTCTTTCTTCAGCAGTTGCACTGGGGACCACAGTGTGAACAAAGCAAAGTTGCTGAGGAATTAGCCAGTATTGTTGCAGGTTTTCATCAGTAGCTGCATATCATCAAGGGGTGGGTGCAAAAGGATTTTTGTATGCAGCATTCCTGGGATTCTTATGAAACACTTGGGCTGTTTCTGTAACACTTGAGGAATCGGGAAAGGGGTGTTGCTCCAAATTGCTTTGACCTGCTGCACAAGCTTCAAGCATCCCTGTGGGAGTGCAGAAATGACTTCATGTGCATTAAAAGAGGACTAAGGGTTGCAAGTGAAAGAAAGGTAGTGGGCTCTGCATGCTCAGGGGTATGGCTCCAGCAGAGGAGGGTGATGCAGAATGTCCACTCTGCTGTGTTCACAGGGCTGTAGCTTGATACTTGAGCTGCTGCAGTCCTGTGGGTCTGCTTAAGCTGATGGGAATGCTGGAAGCTGATGCTGCGCAGCCTAAGCATTATCAAGATAATCTGCAGGAATTAGGCCTTCAGTTCCCTGCCTGATCTTCCCGCTGGTACAAACTGTGTGTCCTTGTCACCAGTGTACCTTGTCTTCTGCATCTGGGCCTGCTTTGTTGGCACTGGTTGCTGGAGGCCTGCTCTCATCTGACAGCAGCATGTGGAGAAGTACTTCTTTTTCTGCTTCGTATATTTATTGCACTTGCCTAGATATTCAGTATCTGTAAGTCAGTTCCCTTCATTTTAAAGCCTTGTTCTGTAACGCTGAAATTTCTCATTTATAGTTAGAAAGAATGGATGAGTCCCCTGTCATTCAAGTCAATCTTTTCCTTAGAAAACAAATCTCATGGAGACTTCTCCTGGGCTGCTTCCACAGCAAAGGTAGCGCCAAACTGCCCTTTCTTGACATCTTCATTTGAAGATTCATTCCTGTGTAGATAACAGAGCAAAGGAAAGCTTTCCAGCAGCGTGACACAAGGAACGTGGGGGTGGGTTGAATGGTTCACTCTCTTCAGATGCCTTACGGTTATTCCTGTGAAGCCACATGGAAGCAAGATATGTGACAAGTTCTGATGTTCCAGAGAGGAAGCATACAAGCAGGCAGTGTGTAATACAGATGCCCACAGGGTTTTTGAGTAGGCAAACAGGAGTCAGTCCCTCGGAGTGGCATGACTGTCCATCCATTCTGTGCACTTCTCAGCAAGGCTGAAGACCTCCAGGAGATGCTGTAATGACTCTTCAGTGCAGCAGAGGATTAGCACATTCTCAGCTGTCGCAGGCTGGCAGAATTCCCATTGAATCAGTGGAACAGTGCCTATCTGCTTATCTGGAGACCTGATCTGCTCTCTCAGCAGAGTGCAAAGCAGTTCAGCAACTTTAAAACAGCACCATTAAAGTGTTAGTGAAACACTTAGTTTTGTAGCTAAGAGTTCTGCCTTCCTGACTCTGAAGAACAGCATGCAGCTTTGTTAGTGTACTTTTTTAGTTTTTCTTTAGTGCGTAATGTAGAAATGCAAGTAATTATTTGCACGATCTCCTAGTACATTTTGTTGCTGGCAGCATAAACTGTTTCTCTCTGACAAAAGTAATTGGCAGTTGCTTTGGCAGTTTGGATATGCCAGGTTAACTTTTTTTTTTTTGCCTTAACTTGTAGTCTCCTGAATTTTGAGCAGCTTGATTGTTGGTTTCCTTTTAGGAGCAGGGAGAAGGGACTTGTGCAATATCTGAAACGCTCAGAGATGTTTTGAAGAACCTCTTTAGCTCAGTTACTCCATCTGTAGTGTTGAGTACGAGGCCTACAGACATAAAGGAGGTTCAGGTAAGTCCTATTCCTACCTGGATCTTTTGAGAAGTCTCCTTTGTAGTGTTTTTATTACCTGTTTAAGACCCAGAAACCAGTATGTTTAACACCACTCAGTGATCAGAACTTGCTTTAAAACAACGCAGCCTTTGGCTGTGAAGGTTTTCTGATTATAACTCCCATTTGTGGATGTTTCTCCACATCACATCTACTTCCTAATATTAATGTGACAGAAGTTAAGCATTTGTGTATGCTCCATCCCTCTTGTTTTCCTTTTCCCAGAATGTACAGAACACGAGCGCTATCCCTCAGGGCACCAGTCCGCCTAAACCTCCAAGGGCTCATGAACTGAAACTGCTGGTAAAGAACATCACAGTAAACCTCACTGATCACAGTGCTGCAGGTAGCGTAGCCCAAAGGGTGCCACTTGTTTTCAAGTAGGATGTTGGGGTTTTTTTCTTTTTTTTTTTTTTAATTCAGCTGAAATCATTAGGAAGTTCTAATCTACAAGCTTGGCTCAGAACACGATGCACAAAATTGCTGTTCTCCCAGAAACAAGCTTAGTCATGCTTGTACAAAACTGTGAATGTTTTGGTTTATTTAATCATTTAGACATCTTGATTTTCCTGGAAACAAACCCATAGTGTTTGAAAACAAACTGAAATGAGCATATTTCTGAAGTTGATTGTTTATTCTCTAGAGTTTGTTTTATTTTAGAAGTTATCACTTTGAGTGATATAACAACTTGGATTGGGCTCAGAACCAAATCTCCATTGACTGTTAGCAGTGGCATTGCTCTGGTTCAGCGTTGCCCTACTTTAAAAGCTGCTTTCCCTTATCTGGGGGCAATTTTCTGATTTATCTGTAACTCTCCTCCTTTATGTAAGCTCTCCTCAGAGGGTTTTGTTGTTTTATCCCTAGTAGAGCACCTCTGTGGGTAAGGGAATGTATACCTCTTACAGATGGAGGATAAAGCCAAAAGGAACACACAGCCTGGTGAAGCTGCACTGCTGGTTTAAGAAAGAAGCACCAAACCTGTCTGACAAGCATTCAGACTTCTTCAAGTGCAAACTTGCTTGCATCATTGCTTGAGGCATGAGTGAGCATATTTTGGGTTGCGTCAGAGAAAATACAAATTTAAATCCCTGTGACTTACGGTTGCTAGCAATTCTGGAACCATCCTTTCAGTGGAAGCTTCTAGCTGCTAAAATGGGCAAAGCACTGGTTTTGGATAACTATATTCTGCTTGCTTTACTCTTTTTCAGTTAGATGTAGTAAATTGCTGCCCCAGACTGTTGCATAGTGCTGCTTTACTCATCCTGACTGAAGTATTTCCCCTAAAACTTTCTGCAGACTGTTTTTATACATATATATGTGCGCTTGTGTGTGTATATATATTATATATGTATGTATGTATGTTATAGCATACATATATATTATAGCAGTTCTGGAACTCTTGGCAGTGAAATGTTGTCTATAAATAGGACTGTACTGGAAACTGTAGACTGCGACAGGAAAACTCATTGAGAATTCATTGCTACTCTACAATTTCATAGTGCAAACAAAGCTTTTCAGAAGAGCTGCCGTTAACAGTCATGAGATGAGATGCCTTTATAAGCACAGGATGCGTACAGCAGAGGGTTTGCTTTATGGCAAGCCCTTTTGTACCCTCCCTCAAAGCGTGAGGAAGAGGGAACTATTAATGCTATCTCCTTTGGAAACCCAGATACAGAGATCCTGAAACCACCACTTGCTTTTCTAACAGGAGGTGGAAGAAATTTTGCTTGTTCCCTAGCAACTCCTGGGGTGTAAATGATTTGAAACTGAGTATAAGAAATAAAGCCTTATAGCGGTGTTCAGTTCATCACTGTAAATCCAGTGGAAATAGTGGCACAATTGGGCAGATGCTGGCTTTTGGACAGAGCTTGCTGCCTTTTTGTTCCCTTCCCTTTTCCTGATCTTGTCTTGTACCAATAGTTAACCATCCCATTGCAGCTCCAAGCCTCCCTTATGGTGTGCGCTGTTGTAGGCTTATGTGCCAACAGAGTGGGCCGGGGGCTGGAGAGGGTTGTCTATCCTGACCATTGAGCTCAAGCATGGTTTGACAGCATAGTCTATAGAAGCCTGAGCTTTCCTATGAGTCTAGCTGGTGAGCAACCAGCAGCAGAACTGGACTCTGCCTATTTTTGTTTGCTTCCTTAGTTTGTGCATGTTATCACAGGTAGTCTTGGATTGGCGCTATGTAGCTCACAGCATGTTAGCTAGGGCAGAAGAGATTCCTGCTGTTAAAGAAAGAATTGTTAGCTGCGAGCACCAGAAGAAGAGCTGTTGGAATGCTGTGTTGCACTGTCAATCCCGGGGTGGCTCCAGTGCAGGGCTATATGCACGTTTCAACAGGGCCTGTGGGGGCATATGGCTGCTTTGACAACAAACCACCTGGGCCTCATTAACTCAGGCTCAGAGCATTGGGAAAGCAGCTAAACTGCTTACTGCAGGGTTAGCTTGGATCTCTATAAGCTGTGTGTCCGTAGTGCTTTGTCTCCTCTGATAACCTTTCCAGGCCCAAGCTGTTTCTGTGCACGAGATAGGGCTCCTTCACAGCCCACATACACCACCAGAGGACAACTGTGAGTTGGTGATAACAAATATAAGCCTGGATTCTTCTGGAGAACTGGAGGCAGCATGTCTGTTGTTGGCTGTGCACAAAGTCAACAGTGAACTTTTTGCTGCTGTACTTGCTCTTTCAGAACCCCAAAATGAAATGATTTCTATTGCTGTGGAAGAAATAGACAATTAAATGTTTGCAGAGTGACAGGTTGTGCAATTTGCATTTGGAGTAGTGATATAATTATTATGCTAATTAGTCACAAGTGGAGGGGAGAAATTTATTCTATGGGTGGGTGAGAAAGTGTTTTCAAATAGTTTATTCAAAAGAGCAGTATGTAAGGAAAGAGGTTCTTCACTTTCATTTGAATAAGTGTGTCTCCCTGTGATGGAAGATTAACAGCTTTCTTTTTGTTGTTCTCACAGGCAGCACAAACCTTGTGTGCATAGCTCAGCTGAATGACCCTATGCAGAAGTTCTCCAGCTCTGTAGCCAAAAATGCTGCAAATCCCTTTTGGAAGGAAGAGTTTGTCTTGTGAGTAACTCACCTACTGAGAATGTTTTGTAGTAAAGCAACTTCTTTCTTTTTTAACAAGCGCCGTGTGAGATTTCAGCAGAAGAACGATGTTTTGAAACATGGTTTGTCAGGTGGCCTCAGAAAAATCTGGAGCTGGTGGAGATTTTGGGGTATCTAATTACCCTTTGCGTGGATATGAGATCAAACGGGCCTCTAGATCTTTTTCCATGATAGGTATCTGATTTCAGTTTATGACAGCAGTAACCGGCATAATAAATTACCCTGTACTTTAAGTCAGTGCCAAAAATTGCTAGCAAGGTTTTGAAGTCACTTTACCTTGAAGACTGTATTTGAAAAAGTCCAGTGTCTAACCCTCCCTTCCTCCAAATGGGAAATGTGAATGTGCAACTAAGTTGACCATCTAAAAGAGTGATGGCTATTGTAAAAAGCACAGTGTAAAATTAAATAGGTTTTTCTTTTCTGTAGAACAAAAATGGCAATTTGAGGCAACCTACACAGTATTGTGTGATTTTCACAGCTTCTGTAAATGAGGTCAGAAGTGAGCTGTTCTTAAAGTGTTTTCATTTCCACTTTCTAGTGGCAGAGCAGAAAACATCAGGTAGGTTCTGTGTTGTATGAGGAAGGAATAGGGGGAGCAATTAATGATGTGGTCAGAGGTGCATTTCTCAACTGACTTTTGACACACACACACACAGGCAGAAGCAGCTTCCCAGGAAAATGGGGCAGTGCTGCTGCCATGCAACATGCTGCAGGTGCTATATTTTTTCCTGCTACTGGCTTAATAATATGAGAGGCACTTGGTTCATAGTAGTTCTCATTGTAGCTTTCCAGTCCCTTCTCAGTTCCATTTGTGGAATCATCTACGTTGGAAAAGACCTTCAAGATCATCAAGACAAAGTCCATCTGTTTTTTGTGACATTTTTCTTCACTGTCTAGTCACAGCCTGGCATCCACTACTTCTCTTTGTAAAGCAGAAACTCGGCTTGCAAGGAACTGAGTGAGTGTTCAGACCTGTGTCTGTCAGTGCTGAGTGCCCCTCCTTGGAAGCACTGAAGGCCAGGCTGGATGGGGCTGTGAGCAACCTGGGCTATGGGAGGTGGCCCTGCCTGTAGCAGGGGTTGGAACTAGATGATCTTAAAGGTCCCTTCCAACCCAAACCACTCTATGGTTCTATGATTCTATGAGTGCTGCCTTTATTGAGGAGTGGTGTGTGTGCTTCTGTGTGTTTCTCCTCAGCTCCAAGGGGCAGGGAGTGTGCAGTGCACAAATCTTCTCCTGCCTCCCCATTGCAGACAACTGGTCTGTGCCCATGCCTTCTATAGGATTGTGCTCCACGGAAGCAGGAGAATTGAGGGAAGAAGCAACAATTTGCTTGATGTAAATTTCATCAGAAGCTGGACAGGATGTGGAAAACGCTGGACCTCTCAGTGTGTGTAGGGATGGAGATGAGAAGTGACCATAGTCAGAACAGAAAACATGATGATGTAGAACAACACTGAGAAGTCCTATGTTTCTCTGCAGTCTGATGGAGAAATACATTCTGTGTCTCATCCTGCTGGCAACTGGACAACCAGCTAGGAAACTCTTCCTCGAGACATGAATGGCTCAAGACATTTTGTCTTTTAATGTCTGGTTTTAGTTGGAGGAGCTCCAGCTTTTGTGGGAAGCCACAGAGCAGGCAGCGTTCTTATGTGACGGTGCACTGTGTTGCTATTGCAGCTTAGCAATTAAAGTCATGTGATTTCTTCTCTGCAGAAAGACAAACAATGCACTAGTGTAGCAGCTTTCTTTTCTGAGCATCTCAAAATATTTCATCCCTTGTGTACGTGAACCACTTCAGCCATCTATTGGTGGAGCAGCACCAGTGCTGTTGCAGAGCAGACACATACCCAGCACTTTTGGACAGGAAGTTCATGAGAATGAGCCCCTTTTGAACTGAAAGTGCAGAAGGAGGGTAGGCAGGATATGATTAAGTGGACTGGAATTTAGCCTAGACACTAGGGATAATGCTGGGTTTTCCACTGCGTTGGCTGTTATTCAGAAGTACATGAGGTGAGCTTGGGAACTTTGAAAGACAAGTGGTCAGGATTTGTCTGCATACTTTCTTTCAAGTCCATTCCTTCCTGCCTTTTTTAGAATTAAGAAATGAAAATATCTGTCACTCTGAAGAGCAGTGTACTGACTGCTGTGTCAGGCTTTGCTTTAGTTTAGCTTTGCAGGAAGAGCAGCAATAGGCAGCCTCAAGGTGCATGCTTGCAAGTTTTGGAGGTGTAAGATGGGGAATTATAATGGTAGAACAAAGATTTAAACTTGCTGCAGAGATAATGTCCCAGAGCATCTGATGGAAGTGGAGCATCTGCAGCCAAAATAACACCATCCTGAAAAGGATACATGGAAAAACGCACAAGTTGAACTGGAAGATTTCTCAGTAGATACCAGCTTACTTCACTGGAGAGAAGGCTTTGTACCTGTCTGGTACATCTTACGGACTACTACAAATGCCAGTAATTCTGCTAATAGTGCACATAAGTTTGTCACAGAGAAATTAGTTCTTATTTTGCAGCATCCTTGAGTCTTATTTTGAAAAAGTCATACTGACCCTTCTGATTTGAGCCTGTGACTGTTTGCTTGCTTCTCTCCTGCCTCGCAGGGCACTCTCCTGCTTGGACAAAACTCTGAGCAGCTCTGAATAGGCAGTCGATTGGATCTGTTCCAGCATCTTAACTTAAAAATTTCAACAATGTTCACTGTTGATCCTGCCAAGGAAGAAATGGCTTCTTAGTGCTGCTGTTAGCAGTCAGACTAGGGGACCAACATCACCCTGAAAGGCAGTGTTTGCAAACTGCTGGGGAGAAGAAAAGCCTCTGAAATATTTAGGCTTTTGAAATGAGAGCTGGGGGAGAGCCAAACTGTGGTTTTCTGGCTGAGATTCCTCTAGTTGCTCTCACAGGTCAAAAAGAAGCTATTCACCCTGGCAGGTCGGCCAAATGAGGTTGTGCTTTTTGTGTGATGAGGGAAGCAGTGGGGCTGGGGACCAGAGCTGGACAGGGAAAACCTACGTGGGAATGAAGACCCACCTGCATGCACAGACCTAACACACTTTTGTTTATTTTACAGTGAACTAAGTGCCAAATCAAAAACACTGCTACTGCAAATAGCAGAAGACGGAAAGTTGGATAGTAAGTATTTAAACTGAAATATTTGGCGTGATCACCTCATGAATATTGCTAGATGGTGACATGAGTCCTCTTTCAGTTCTGCAGTATAGCAGTATAAGATCATATTCCGTTCCCAAACCTGTTGAAGTTTAGTTGTCTGATGCTGCCTTGTCCTGGTTGTCCCATTGGATGTGTCTTCGGAACGGCCCTGCAAGGGCGAACAGCAGAAGGAGATCATCTGAGAATAGCCAGCTAAGCATATATGAAACAGGCAGTTTGGGGAAAATGCATTAGCTCAGTTTGTGTTTTAAAACTCTGTAAGTCTGTCCTCAAATTTAGCTCTTAGTGTTGAAATTCATAGAAAACTATGAAGTTCTTGAGCGACAGTGGTTTGTTCGCCTGGTTCATCCGCTGCCTATGTACTTTGTTAGTTCTACCAGTAAGCCTGGACAGAAGAGAAATACACTGTTAGAGTCTCTGACTTCCTCAAAGTTAAGGTTACAAAGAAACCTTAAGTCAGCCTTTGCTTTGGGGGTTGTCAACAGTTGTGGAGAACTCCTTTGGCCTTTTAAACTTCTAACAGATCATGTGAGTACTGTTGCTATGCTTTCCCTGTCTTTGAGGGGAATCATGTTTTCTAATCCTAAATTCTTCCTTCCCAAGCCCTATAGTCTGCCTAGCAATTACCAGCTATAAAGCCACTTAAGTCTGGTTACATCGGATTAAATATAAAACATGAGGAATATAATATTTTTAATAATTGATTCTGTTGCAGTTTGCAGTTAGCCTTCAGTGGCAAAGAAAATCCTGCCACTGAACTATTGCATTTTGGTTATTTGGAGAATTACTGCCTCGCTGGTGTGAGGATAACAGATAGACAGGCTTTGAGGCCAAGGAGCACATTGAGCTGTTTGCATAAGCTTTGTAAACTTACTCCAAATACTTCACTACCTGGGCTTTATTGAAGTGATGCCACTTCATAAATCATGGTCTGATTTTTGGGTGGTCCTGTGTTAAGCCAGGATTTGGACTCAGTGATCCTTGGCCCCTTTCAACTTGGGATATTCTATGATTCTATGAAATTCTTCTCATCTGTACTTATCCTTTTGCTGATGAGTTTTGCTTTAGCTGGAAGTAGTAACCTTATTTCACCTCTTGGTTCCATTTGCTTTTTCCTTTTTATGCCAGATTTCAGATATAAAGAAATCAGAAAACAAAAGTTTGATTATATGAAGGATTAGGAAGTAAAGTGTAGGCAAATACTAAAAAATAATTTCTCCAGGGATGCTGCTTTTCTATTTAAAAAAAAAAAAAAAAAAGGAGAGGAGAGATATGAGACCCATGTGCAGTCAGCACATGCATATTGTTTCTTACACAAACTCTGTTCCTGCCAATTCTCAATCACCTTTCATAACATGTCTTTCAAACAGTACCAGCAGCATTCCAGCTGTTCTCCAAAAAATTTAAATGGAAAACTCAAAGTAGAATCACATTAGTGATGGGAGAGCTGAGTAATGTGAATATAATGTAGAACTGTATTTGCATTTGTATTTTGCAGAATATTGGGATTTAATCCCTGAAATCTGCAGTAATTTTGCTGGTAGTTTGCTTCAGTCTAACGTAGCTTACATTAGACATTAGGTAAGGAGAGGAACAAGAGAACCACTCAGCTTGCACTAAAGATCAAATAAAGGGATATTCTTAATGATGGTCCAGTTTACCAGGAACCCAGGGAGTATTCTCTGAAAAGACACAATTAACCAATTAAGGAGATAGTACAAGAATATAGTTGTAATATTTCTAGGTATTTTTCTTTTCCTTTAAGCATTTGGCATATATAGAGGAAAAAGTGGCTGGAAATAGTGGCAAGTAAGTAGGGTTTCACCTCCATTCTTTCCTGTTGCTCAGTATTTGGGCCAGGCTGAGGAATAGTGGTAAAATGGAAAGAAGGCTCTGACCACTGCCATGTTTCTGCCCTTGCTGCCCCATGGTGTATAACCAGGTATTGTAATTAGCTGCTGTTGTTCTTTTGCTGCCTTTGTGTTTTCTCAGCCTTTTTATTTCTTCTAGGTTCTTCATCCGCAAGGGCAATTGTACCTCTAGACTTGTTCAGGAAGCAGCCTTCTGGCCACCAAAGCTTTGCACTGAGCAGCAGGGCCAGTGATGGTAGCCCAGAGCTGAGGCCTGGGCTAGGATCAATTACTGCAGAGGTATGGCATAGGGATGTTCTTATGGTGGGTCCTTTAGTTCTGGACATCCTTGTGAGTACTCATCTGTGAGTTCACAGTGCAACGTGTGGCCATGTTTCCGTGTTACATTCATAATTTATGATAACACATCATGCTGTATTTGTATGTATCAAAAGCTTTAGCTGGCCCTTGAATGTTAATAAAAATGTTAAAGCAGCACTAGTTAGAAATATTAACACCCTTGAAATATTTTTTTGTCTTCCTAGTTCTTGTTTATTGAACCTAGCGAGTTAAAGACTTGGCAAGCTTCTTCTCCAGTGCCAAGCACTAAGGTAGAAAAGGATCGAACTGTGATGCCCTGTGGGACTGTGGTCACTACTGTAACTGCTGTGAAAACCAAACCTCGACTAGAAGGGAGGTCATCCCCATTGAGCACAGGTGAGGAAGTCTGCTTTGTTCTGTGTACACTCTTACTGTTGTCTGTGGGGGGGCAAGAGAAGCTGGTGGAAGGAGGAACAGAGATGGATGGAGAGGTATCATCCAGATTTCTGAGGCATTGATGGTGGTGTTGTTTTGGATTCTTCAAAATCATGTTTTTAATTTTCATGAAACCTTGTTGCTACAAGAGGAATGGCCCATGTTATCTTTTGTACGCATATTTAAATTTCATGCTGGAGTGCCAGTGCTGAACAGCTTGGTTTGAGTGGGTGTTTTTCCACATGACAGAAGTATCAAACACATGAGTGCTTGCTGATGGCAGTCTTGTGCTGTGCCTTCTAACCTCAATGTGTATTATAATCTCAGATGAGGATGAGTGTCATCCTGTGGCAATCTTTTCAGCATACCTTTCTGGAATAGACTGATTCTTCTTGGGATAAGCATGAGAGTAAAACCTCTTCAGTCTTTGTGTGCAGTCTCACAAAGAGCTGTGTTCTTTCAAGCTCTCGATGCTGATCTTTTACTGAAGCATATATTGTCTAATATATTACAGGAGATGTTTAAAAATAATGACTTCCTGTGTTTCGCAGGTCCTTTGGGGTCACGTTACCACAGAGAGCATGCCCTGAGAATTTCTATAAACAACTTTCTCAAACATTTATGATTTGAACAGCCTTTTAAATTGATTCAACAAATTCTTGTTATTTTCATAGTGAGTGTCTTAAATAGTTCAAATAACAAAGAAGCTTGGTTTTCAGGTTCTCCTTTGAAAACTCCAGTCAAAGTCAAAGTGATTGAAAAGGATTTTTCTGTTCAAGCTCTCCATTCTCACGGTGCTCCAGTCAGCAAAAATTTATCGTCTTCAGATACAGGTAATAGAACCTTTTGAAGCTTCAAATCAGAAAACATCTCTCTAGACTGCACATGGGATTAATGTAACCCTGCTAGAATAGCAGCAAACCCGCTACTGGCTTTCAACAGGCACTGAGATGTTTATATTAGCAAGTACTGTGGTTAGGGGTATAGCAGTCTTGCAGTAGAAATCTGTTTTTAACTGGTGATTAGAATAACTAATTTTGAAAAAGCAACAATGAGCTGTGGTTTGGAAAGGGGGGGTGACTGTGGAAAAGCCAGGCTGACTTTCCTCTTGCTTTTGAAAGAAAAACTTCTCCCTTGTAAAAGCATGAGGTACACTGCACAAAGTGAAAACTCTCCAAAATTTAACCTTAAGGCCATTATGAAATCTCCTGTCTGAAGAAAAGGCAGGTAAGGAAGATTGAATTCTCTTCCTAGCTCTGCCACTGCTATTCTGCACTGTTGTTGTTTTATTTTTATGCTCATGCAAATACATAATCTGGCTGAGCCTGTTCATCTACTTTCCTAAGTCACCTGGCATACAGTTGAAGAGACTTCAGAGCCCCAGGTAGCTTCAATAACACCTTTAATTACAAACTCACTTTGACTGAATTAAACTCGGTTTTGACTCTGTGGCATTTTACCTTTTTGAGGTGCAGCTCTGAATCTTCAGCACGTTCTTCCATCATTTGTGGCTTCACCATTTGTTCCTTAGATCTATAGGCAGCAATGATGAAAGATGTGGTGTGGTATAGCTTCAAATGGCACATGATCTGGAGTTCTGTTTACTTTGTACTGGTTCGGGTGCATATGGGGCAATCCGGAGATGATCTAGAGTGCTCCTGAAACAGTCAGAAGGCTTACTGAGAGACACAGATGTGTTATCCGAAAAGCTGGGCAAGAGCGTGAACCAATAACCATGAATACCTTTAAATAACTCCTGACTCTTCCTCCAACAGTAAATCAGTGATACCATGAAGCAGGGTGGTATTACTGAGCCAATTTGGAAAGCCCTAAGCTTCTGAGTTTTCCATCATAACTGATTCTGATATCGAAAATGCAAAGTGCTTACTGGAAAACTCGTCTGATTAAAGCTCAGAGCACACTGAGATGGACAATGTTTTCCCTTCTGTGGGAGTGCAGGGGAATTCCTGTGCAATGTTAATACACTATTGCAGGAAGAATTACTCATTAGAACAAAACCTTGAGGCAAATGGGAGAAATGCAAAGAAGCATCGGTGGTAGTTATTGCAGACAGCATGCCAAACTAGCTACAAGTTCTGTGGAAAAGATCCTGTGGCCTTTCTATGGTTCTAAGTAAGGGCAACAGTAAGAATTAGCAAGTCCCTCTGATGCAGTGCTGGGCGCTCAGAGGTTTCTGGAGGCCTTCAAGTGGCTCTGAAGATGGAAAAGTGGGGTTTGTCATGAGTGTGAATGCATGTGGGAGAGCATACCACTTGTGCATATGTACTGCTGAGTTCCAAAAGTATCTAAGGTACTTGGTACAGTATTATTCAGGCCTTATCTTTCAGTCCCTTAATGTCACAACAACGAAAGACACTGCTTAGTTTAATTCATGCTATTCCTTATTGTATTCCTTTGTTGTTAAATCTCTTTCTGAAGAGCCTATCTCCAACAATTAAATCTGTGAATATTTTTGTTTATTAACTTTATTAGTTCTGTTTTTCTAAGCTTAATGAATTTGATTAGTGTGTACTTGCTGTGCCAGAATTTACCACAGTGTAGCAACTGAAATAACTGGCTGCTTGGTCTGGGTTTCCAAAGTCTTACGAGTGTAAAAGGGCATGGGTTTGTAAGTGCAACTTCCGTACCACTTCTGTGTAGGATGGATAATGTACACCATATTGAGAAGAATGGAAAGACAACCAGTAGCTTGGTGGTGGATTGGAAAATGTTTTGTTATATGTGGTGTTTATATCATTCCTTGTAATTTCTTTACATTTCAAATTTAGAACAAGCTTTGCCTTTTTTTTTTTTTTCACTCTGAAATAATGCTTTCTTTTCAGAGCTGCTGATACTGAATGGCAGTGATCCTGTTGCAGAAGCAGCCATTCGACAGTTAAGTGAGTCTGCCAAGCAGAAGCTGAAGTCTCCCAGAAAGAAAAGCACCATTATCATATCAGGGGTGTCCAAGGTAAAGCAGAAAACAGCAGGTTTACTTCTTAGTACTGTAAAGTCTTTGCTCCTCTGTGCGTGGTGCGAATGTGCATTCTGTAGCATCCTGCTTATCAGTCTCTGCAGGGCATAGGTTTGCCTGTTTCAATAATGTTTGGAGTTGAACCAAATCAGGGTGGGCTTACTGGAGAGTGGGTTATTTTTTTATACTTTGATTTGAAAGCCTAACTAAAAATGCATGGTGTCTTTGGCCAGGAGTTATGGTTAGGCATTTGGGAAAACTAGCCTAGGTAAGGATGAAAATTAGTCTTTCTCTGTTTCTGCTGATGGAGGAAACATGCACACAAATAATATCAGTGATTTTTCCACATGTCAAAGTTGCTTAAACAAAACCCTTTGGAAAAGCCCTCCCTCTGGGCTTTATTCTAGAGTAAGAGAAACAAGACTGCTCCTCACTTGGCATACAGCATTCTTCCAGGCTTTCATTATCCATAGCCTCCATCTGACTCTTGGTCCCTGCCTGCAGTCCTTTCCCTGCAGGCTGCTCTATGGACATTTGCTGTGGTCTTGCTGTTCTGCACAGGTTTCCTAATGAGCTCTGAGAGAAAGTTGAGCCACTGAGCCTTGTCATTGCTGTGCTGTGTAGTATTTAAGTATTAAATGCTAGTACTTAAGTATTTTTCTTCCATTCTCTTGGCTTTAGCAGGACAATTAGATGGTGTGACTGTCAGTTCTTCTTAGAACTTGGCTATATGCGCTTCTCCTTTAGTGGAGCTTAGGGAGCCTCATGATGGCTTTCTGATAGCCCTGAGCAGTGCAAATGAAAGTGTAAGGAGAAAAAAAGGACATATTTTTGTGGGGCTTGTTTTGGTTTTGTTTCTGTTTTTGGGTTTTTGTTTGTTTTTTTTTTCTATCAGAGTGGCTTGTGTCAGCATTGTCTATTTTTTTTTTTTTAATTTTTTCCCCTTCTGGTCAGACCTCTTTATCTCAGGACAGTGAAACTGCACTGATGATGGACTACGCTGCAGCCATGGACAGTTCCCGCAAAGAATCAGATCTACCACCTGCTGGAGAGGAAGTGATTGCAAAAGTCACTTCTGATGAAAAGCTATCATCAGGTGCTTCAGAAACAGTACCTGATACTGATGCACAGCAAAATGCCCATAAGGCTTGGGCTTTGGAGAATGGCAGCCAGCAGTGGGACTCCAACACACTCTTAGACCAGAGCTGTGAAGAAATGTCTGGGAGCTCATTAAGTGTTTCAGAAACTGGGAGTGTGAAAAAGTCTAAAGGTACGTGATCCTTACCTCTTCTCTGGGAAATAACTGTAGTCTATACATCATTGGCAGTGTCATGCAACAGTGTATAGTAGTTTATCCTAGGTACTGATTTTTTCTCGTTAAACTGTGTAATTGTGGTGTTGGTGGAAGCTGTCTTGCTAAAAGCCACAAAGAGTGCAGTTCTTGGGCTCTCAGAGATGTGGCAGGATCTCTTCTCCATCAGTATATGGAAGGACTCACCCTTGGAAGTTAAAAGGCAGATCATTAAGCCCAACTCATATCTGGGAGGGTAAAGCGAATGAAGAATCAGATCATTTTGCTTTATGGAGTTACACACCCGGATAGCCTCAGCTTGAAAATGCTGTAGGATTCTTTGTGTTTCCTTTATAAACCCAGTAACCTCTGAGGCTGTTGTGCTGGTTTGTGGCTGCGAGGTGGCTGTTAGGAAGTCTGGGAGAAAATCCAGTGCAGTGGTCATCCACCTGTTCAGGGCACAGGTGGCACACCTGTTACATGGGATGCATGTTGAAGTTGGAAAAACTGTTGTATTTCTCACCCATCTCCATCCCTCTTTTACTTTATTCTTTTCTGTGCATTTCTTATCCAGAGACTTCTGTACTTACTCAGAGACAGTATAAAGTGGCATACTACAAAACCTCAGTACATTACTAGAGTACTGTGAGGCTGCCCAGGGAGGTGGTAGGGTCACTATCCCTGGAGGTGTTTAAGAGCTGTGTGGATGTGGCACTGAGGGACATGGTGGGCATGGTGGGTGTGGGCTAATGGTTGGACTAGGGGATCTTAGAGGTCTTTTCCAACCTTAGTGATTCTGTGCACCTCACATAGCTATACTCTAGACCTCTTCACCAAGGCTTGATGTCTTCTTGTCTTTTCACAAGTCTGTTTTCCCATCTGATAGTTCAGGGTGGCACAGCAACCGTCAGTTTGGCCCAGATGGTCAGGCATTAGACAGTTTGGAATGGATTTAGGTGACTGAGCACTAAATGATTTTACTTGTTCGGAGCCTGGAGAAGTTTAGGGAGCTCTGTGAGATTCTGCAAAACCTCTGGACTCTTTAATGTTTTACTCTGAAGCAAGCAAGTGGAAGCTTGTAGATGAACTGTTGTTTACTTTTGCTTTTCTATGTGCAGTGTGTTGCAGAGGTCAGGCTTCTGAAAGTTCTCTTTGCACAGTGTAGGGCAGGATTGCTAGAAAGGACAGATTGTCTCTAATATTGAGACAGTTGTCTCAGCTTTAAAAATGTTTTCTAAAACTGTCTAAAATCCCTTATACACAGATCTCTCTGTGGAAGTCTTGAACCTCTGCTCACAGCTGAGTAAGCTCAATGGAGTGAGATAGGAAAACTTTTCTACCTCCTTTCCCTTGGTTAGCTTTGAGTACTTCAATTTATTTTTTTGTCAAAATAATTCCCTTTCCCTTTCAAAAAGAAGAACAGCAACAACAACAATAAAAAAAACAAACAACCACTTTTCTGCTTTGAAAAGCTTCCTGAATGGTATGAATGTCTTAAAGTTAGCATTGTCTTTCACTATACTTTCTACTCTTGAATACCTTTGTTTTTCACTTTTCTGACTTCCTGTTTCTTACCCGTTCCCTTTTATAAACTAAGAGGACCACTGTGCCAACCAGAATTAATTACCTACACAGTAAGTTGCTTTTGTCTTATCTTGTAAAGAAAACGTAGCTTTACAATGGTGCGCTCATTGTAAAAATCGGAGCAAAATGTAGTTTGGCACCTGTTTTCTTCCCTCATCCATTTCTTTCCTCCTCCAAACTGCCTTCCTGTGCTCAAATGCCTTAGCAGCTTTGTCTGCCCAGACAAATCATTCCACTGGTGGATGTGTTGTCTAAGTGGGTCATGCAGAACAGGCTTCAAGGAAGGCTTGGAGGAGTGCTGTGTGCTCCTGCTCTCTCTCCATCATGCCCATTCCTGTTGAACATCTGCTCATGCAAACCCATGTGTGACCTCATAACTGGACATGCATACACAGAATACTTATTTTAAAAACTGCTGCTTACAGGTATATAGATTTCCTTTTTAGCTGAACTCCTAGAGATACAAGTACTTCACAGACACCAATTAAAAACTGTTTTGGAGCTAGGAAGGAATGGAAAGAAGCAGTCTCTATTCATGTCCTTGTAGATGTAGAAGGAAATCGTCCTTCAATTAAAAAAAAAGAGTTTCAGAAGTGACCCTAGCTCTAGCAGCCTGTTAGAACAGCCTGAGCTGGCCCTCGGGAGCCTGTGAAGACCAGCCAGTCTGTACAGCATTCTTGAGGTGCTCTCTGCTTACCTGCTGGTGTTGGAGGCTGAGTTTGGCACATGGATCCTGTTGAACTCAAGAAGTAAGCATGTAAACAGCACAAGCATGGCTGAGTTTGTTATTTGCCTTGTAGCATGCCTCCACAGAGCTGGAGCCACTGTCAAGCAGCACGCATCCACCTGGCAGTGGGGGGGTGGCAGTGGGAGTGATACAAGCTTCCAGCTACCAGTAATCTCAGTACCTCTGAAAACACAAGGAGCTTTCACCTTGGGGGCTGCTGCTATTGATGAGGCTGTGCCATTCTCAGGGAATGCAGCCTGCATTTTTTTTTTCAGCTGCAACAAGTTGTCCTAGGCTACCAGCACAAGTTTTGCAGCATTCTTGGTTTGGTTCTGTTCCTCAGGATGGGAAATCAGTCTGAAGCGATAGGACAAAATATCTGTTTACGGATAAGCTCCTTTGTCCTGCTCCTCCTGCTGGCACAGCTTCAGCTGCAGCTGCCAAGGCTGCTGGGCAGAGCAGCTGAGGGCTAAAACAAAAGCTGCACAGCAGTAGTGCCTCAGCAACCTCCCCAGCCTCTGCATATTAACAACTGTCAGTATCAGGGCAAAACACTGTTCCTTTTATGCTGTTGACAACAGCTTGAAGTGGTGCTGCCTTGCCAAAATGATCAGTCAGAGGGTGATGGGAGAGCAGACAAGATTCAAATCTGTGTGTTCCAGTTGCTTTCAGCTGACTCCTGCATCAATCCCATTGTGCCCGGTGAGCCATGTCTTGGCCACAGCAAGACAAAATGCGCTAGAGTATCTTCCCAGATGCTGAGTGCTCAGTCCTTAAAATAAAAAAGTAATAATGCTGAGCATATGTCTGTAACTGTTCCAGTCTGAACAGAGCAGCTTCTGGCTGCATGAAACAGGGCTGCCGTGAATTGCCTATTCTGCAGCTGTTGCTGTGCAAAATGACACGCAGCCTATGTCCAGTCCTTAGATGGCAATGACAGCCACGTGCAAGAATTGGTCTGCATGTTGCTTTCTGTATCTGTTTACAATGGGAGGATAAGCAGAGCTGAGACTGTGCAATGACAGGACCTAATAGTTGAACAGAGGAAGAGTAAGGAAAGCTGATGGTTGAGCAGAAACAAGTTGTGGACACTTAGCCAGGAAGATGGCTCTCCTCATGTACTTGTCTGACTGCCGGAAGGCTCCCCCTGCTGGCTTGCTACCTGGGTCCTCCTTCGTTCAAACTGGCTTGTGTCACTGCAACAGCAGCGCTGCCCAGTTCTGCACTGAACTCTTGCTATTTTGGCATTGGGCTGTTGTACCAAGAGCAGGCAGGCTTCCTTGTGCCTCGCGCACACAGAATGCATGGGAGAAGGGAAGGTGGGAACTGGCAGAATGCTGGCTGCAAAGTCAACCAGGACTTGCAAAGAGGAAAGACCATCGGCAGCTTGTGTTGCCAACATGAGTCTATGGTGAAGAGATATGCAGCCAAAGCAATGGCAGCTAGATTTAATGTGGAATCAAGAGGAAGGGTATGAAAAAATAAAGGAATCTGGACTAATTTGCCACAGAAGGGATTTGGGCAAAATTTCTGAGCTTTTTGGAAGCAGATGTAATACTATATGCTTGAGGTGAATTGTTATTCCCAATGGTGTTTTAAACCAGCAAATGACTGCTGCTCTAGGTGATGCTGCCAAATTCATGTAGAAGATGGGCAGCCTGACTGAGCCTGCTGCATGTGGGCTGACATACAGCTACTGACCTCAGGGACCAACAGGATCCTCCATGTCAAAATGCCTCCTTCACTTTGTGTATAATGGGCTAATCTTTTCAACTCCATTAATTGCTGAAACTACAGAGAGTAACATTTCTTCCTCTATCTCTTGTTCAATAAAATACTTTGTACTTTTATTGCACTGGAAGGATGAAATATGCTTGTTTAGTATTTGAGAATATCCAGTGTACGACCCACGCTAAGAGCTGTGCATGTGTACGTGTGAACACTATTGTAGTTTTCAGAAGAGCATTAGAAACAAAGTAGAAGGAAGGTGACTTCCACAAGATGTGTGAATTCAAAGTTGAAATCGGAGGATTAACATTTGATTCCTCATAGTTGCATGGTCATTTTCCTTCCTTTTCAACTGTATCATTTCAGAGAGAATGGAAGGAAAAAACTTCTTTAGTGCTCCTCTAGCAATATATGTGAGCTCTTCTGCTAACTGTAAGAGCATGGACATATGCGTAGATCTAGAACTACTGTGGTCTGTCATGAATCCAAGTGATTCAGTTTGCATGATACTTGCATGGAACGAGGAGAAGCAGAAAAATGCATAATTTCACGAAGCCTGAATTTCTCAGTGGTGTTTGCTTGGGAAAGAGCTGGGTCAGGGGTAGGGGAAGGTGGATTCAGCAGCATGCAGTGTGTGTGTGAGTGCTTGAAAGCATAGTGACTGCTCACCTTTGCCAGTATCCGAAATCCCTTCATTCCAGCACGGGACTCGTATCCTTACACCCTCTCAGTTATAGATCATCAACACCGTGGCTCTGAATGCACCATTCTCTTAGCTTTCTAACGTAGTTTAATTAGTTATGAGAGTGGTGCTTAAGCTCGAAATGCTGAGACGAAGGCTTTTTTCAGTAGTGATGCAGTTATAGCTGAAGCTGCAGTCTAGAAGAAAGCAGTCTGGTTTGTCTAAAGTGCCTTTGCCTCTGCTCTTTGCTTTCGCAGGTGGGATTTTGAGAAAGAGTGCAAAGCTATTTTTCCGTCGACGACATCATCAGAAGGATCCAGGAATGAGTCAGTCGCACAACGATCTCATCTACCTGCAGCAGCCCCTGTCAGAGGAAACGCGCAAGAAGGGAGGCACTCTTTCACGTATTCTTAACAGAAAGTTGCTTTCCAAGAACAAAAGCAAGAGCAAACTGAATGGTGCTTCGGCAGAACCGTTTGCGTAAGGCTGAATGAACGCTCTCTGATGGGATGCTTGCACATCAGTTGTTTACAGAGCAGTACCAGAGAACACAGATACAGCTGATGACTTGCATAACGTGATGCTCGCTAATACAGTGGTGCAGGAAGGAACAGAAGGATTGTATTTTCTGTTTATTTTTCCAGAACAGCTTTCTGTCTGATTACTGTGAAGGTGCTCCTCTGAATACAAGCACCACTACTTGCATCGTAACAGCTTTTGGAGGACTACGTGGTGGTGTTGTACAAGGTGAGGGAGAGCAGGGAATGGTGCAGGTAGAGAGAAGCTGCACATGAGCACCTAGTTGACTGAAGCAGGGAGCTGAGAACTGAAGAACCGTACCTGCTCTATGATTGAACCACTGTCAGGAGAGGAGATACCACTGTGCTTCCATGCTGTGGCATGGAGCAGTAGCAATGCAAGTCTCAGCTTGTGTTTCTGGTCAGGCTGAAAGGGAAAACAGACCCAGACCTACTTTATATTGTGATTTGAAAACGGGTAAGTTTTCAGAAACAGAGCTGAACCGCTGATTAAGAGAGCCTACTGTAATAACTGTAGCCTGCTATAAACACTGCTCAGTCCATGTAGGTGGAGAGAGGCCTTTTATATTAGCCATAAATCAATAAATTATGCAAATACTTACACTAGCATATTGTTTAATGTTCTGTATGTAAGTTATACTCTAAAAAAACAGAACTTTTTAAAGAATTTACTTGAGTCTACTTGCAAACATTTACAACTTCTCCTCTGTAGCTTTTCTTCCCTGTGTGAGAAGCTGTTGCTGCTAATACAAAAACATGTTGTAGGGGCTCTATTTCCTTCTCCCAAGTACTTGTTAGACAAGCATATATATATACCATCATATCAAATGGCAAAGCTAGGAGCAATAAGTCTTGAATAGAGCATATTTAACCCTATATAAGCTTTTCATTAGACAGCTTGTTTTACTTGCCAAATATTTACTGAGATCTTAGAAAATGCAGTTGTGAAGAGAGCTTTTTAAAACATAATGATCACAGTTCCCTCAGTCTTTCAGTTTCTAGCTCCACCAGTGTTGTTGCGTGCTGAGTGGTTGGTTGAGTTTTGTGATTTATTTTCCTCATTAAATTAGAAAGAAAAACTGGTGAAAGTAAAGGCATAGTTCTTGTTTTAGCTGCTGAGAAGAGCAGAAGACAGGATTTTACAGGTGCCACCTTGTAGTTTGCCTTCCTGTACATTCCTCCTGAGGACAAAGGACCAAGCCTGTTTTCTTTAGCTAAGGAAAACATCCATTCCATTAGAGCTACTGACATGAATGAATGATGGGTTTGTGTTGCTTTGTCAGCAGTGATTCACACCCCCTCACCTCACCCCTTAAAAGAGATACAAGGCTTTTGCCTTCAACTTTTCTTCAAAAATAGAAAGTCACTGAGGAACAGAAACACGTTTTGAAACTTCAGATGGACTTCAGATTCCATGATAAATTCTTCTACAAAGAAAATCTAGATGCTTGTTGGTTGTTTTTTTACCAACAGATTAGTAAATAAACGAACTGTCAAAATCTTTTAACTGAGTCTATAGTTTAAAAATACCACTTGTATGTAAAAAAATCACTGTAGTACAGCAGTCCAGCCTATCAAACAGCTGTACCTCTAAGCATGCTGCTTATTATGAAAACATTTGAAGGCATTTGTATGTTTTATGTTTTGGAAATTTGTTACAAATGACCGTCCTGGAGCTGTAATGTGCTTAAAAATCCCAGTTCAGTAATATGGATTTGTCCTGCCTGAATGTGCTTGAGCACTTGTGTTTGTTGTTAGTTTAACACAAAGTAGAACTCTTCATTCGTACTACAGTGACTCGTGATCCAAGCATTCAGAACACTGAATCTTGATTCCCTCAACATGTACTTTTTCCATGCAAAGGATGTCTTTGCATGATGGAGCAGGGTGGGAGGTGAGATCCTTCTAGTGTTCTACATGGTCAATTTTGTTTACCGAAGGAAAAAATCTAACCACAAATTCAAGCAATCAAAGCAAGACTGAGCTCCGTTGGTAGCATCATCTCTGTACGCTGAGAGCAGAGGGAGCACGTAACAATACTTGAGATCTGTTCACATTACTGAAGTGGGATTTATCTTACGGAAGTCTTATCATTTACTGTAGAATACGGTGAAAATAACACTAAATAATGTGCTGGCTGCAGGAGAAGGGTTTGCTTGTGTGTTATTTTGAAGAACAAATAGACCCTGAAGTTTTGGGTTGGTTTCTTTTTTGGTTGATCCGTCTTAAGGTCTTGGTTATTGCCTAAGCCCACGTCTTGACGGTGGGATATATATATATATATAAACATACTGCAAATTGTGTGAAGGTTTAGGCTTGCCTATATTGAGAGAATTGACCATTAAGATGAGGAAAGCAAGGCAACTTGTGTTAAGAGGGAATCTTTGTCTTTAATTGCCTTCACTCCTCAGGAAAATAAATAGTGTTTGGTTTGATGTGTGACCTCTACACGTGGCTGGTTGTTCTTCACAGAATCACAGAATTGCCAGGGTTGGAAGGGACCTCAAGGATCATGAATCTCCAACCCCCACCTCTTCCTACAAATACTTTGTGTTGCATTATAAAAACAAGCTGAACTACCAAACCCAAGGGACAGCTACGTTTCTCACTGATGGCAACCTTAAAGGCCCATGACATTCAGTGCTATTTTCCCTTCCTATATGATTTTTGCCTTTTAAGATCAGATCTGAGCAGGTGGGTTTTTTGCCTCTTAGTGGCTGTGTCAGTTGTCTGCTGACTACCAGAAGGAGCTGAGCTTCTGTTCCATGAAGGGAGGGCAGGATCTGTGAGCTGACAGTGCTATTGCTGCACCTTGTACTCTTGGGCACAGATCATGCCCTGTGCAGTTGTGTGAAGGATGCCAGAGAGAATCATTTAGCTCTACTTTTTGCAGTCTTCATGACTTTAACAACCGCGCATTTGAAGAGCAGAACAAATCTCAGCATGGTGTTACATAGAAAACTTCATGTTTTCTGCCTTCCAAGTTAATTACCTCAGAACAGCAGTTTGGAAACGATTTGTGAAATCTTTCTTCCTTTCTGTCCTTTTTCTTATACTTTTGTGTTTCTGGATCTTCTGTACAGCACTATAAAGACAGTATTTCATAAGAGCTATGCTGTGACACTTCCTTTTTTCCTTTCTGAAGCATCATGTAATGCTTTGGTGTTCTTGGCATGTGAAATTTCTTAGGAGAAAGTAGCAATGACTACATAAACTGCTGTCAAATTTGTAAAGGGAAACAAAAACATTGTTTTAACAGCTCTTTTAGTTCTGGTAATTCTAGGTGTTACAAGGCGCAAGAGCTCTATACAAGGTGGGAGTCTATTTCTTTTTATTCTATTGCAGCATTCTAAGTGTAGAGCTGAAGTTAGAGCTAAGTGCTTATCATGGTACAGAATGAAGCACAGCAGGCTCCAGGCTAAGGCATTCCTGCTGTGAGAGGGAACAACCAACCTCCTGTTCTGACCTCCGCAGGACATAAGTGGATTTATTCCTGTGTTTCAAGTTAGCATATGCTTCAGCATCTCGCTGAGCCACAGCCTCAGTGACAAACAATTGAAACAATTCAAAGTTAACTACATCACCAGGGTGATTACTCGAAGCTGAGAGTGAATAATGTCATTTCACTCTGGATATCCAAATTGCTACCATGCAAGGTGCTGGCACGGTGTGGAGGTAACTGGGAAGGATGGATGTGAGGTGTTTCCAATCCTGTAGCTTTGTATTTCCCACTAATGCAGTACGCTCTGATATTCCAGATGGGTAACACTTTTGTTTTCTAGTACACAACTGTGACAGTCATTTCTTCCACTGTGTTTTTTTCTTGTTTTTTTTGCTTTATTTTGCGCGTGTGTAAAAATGAAGTTGGTACAGTTACAAAGCCTACGATGTACAGATTTATTACATCACTAAAAAGTGTGTGGATTTTTAAAAGAAACACTACTGCTGTACAATAAACGCCCGTTGTCTCCGTGCCGTGTGCTGTCCTACATACCCAGCCAGCCGCTCTAGGCAGCTTTCTGCTCTCCTTCACGAACGTGGCCCGTTTGCCCGTGCTTACCTCACGTTTATTGCTTAGCTGAAATCCCCTACTGCTCTCCCAACAGGCTTTCTTCATTTTATCTCCTGCTTTCATCTTGAGCGGTTTAACTTCTGCGCCGTGACCAGAATCACACAATCATTAAGGCTGGAAAAGATCCAGCGCAGCCACCGGCCCAACGAGCCCGCTACCCACGCTCAGACTGCCCTCGCTGCAAAAAAGAAGGGCTTCCCCGGGCTCCCCGAAGCCCGCTTTCCCTTCTCTTCCAATTCCCAGGTGCTCTCGCAGCTCGCGAGCTCCCTACCCGAGCCCGTTCCCCGCCCTGGGGCCGCCGGCGGCGCGGCGGGCAGGGCGCAGGGCCGGGCTACGGAAGCGCCGACCAGCGTGGCGGCGGCTGCCGGCGGCAGTGGGCCCGGCGCACGCCGATCCGGGCACGGCTCCCGCCCCGACGGCCTCCCGTCAGGGTCAGCGTCCGCGCGCCGCCCCGTCCCGCTACCGACGGCCGCCCTCGCTCCCCGCGGCGGCGGCGGACTACGCCTCCCAGCACGCTCCGCGCACGGCGCGGCTTCCGCTGGCGCGTGGTTTCCGGAGCGGATCGGAACCCGGAGTCCGGATCCGATCCGGCTCGGGCCATTCCCAGGGCAGGTAACGCCGGCTCCCCGCGCCTCCCCCCGCGCCCGCGCCCCGTCCTCGCGGATCTCCCCCCCCCAGGCGCTCCGCTCCCCGTTCCCCCCCCTCTCTCCCCGGTGCCGCCGTCCCTCCGCTCCCCGGGGCTCGCGGGGCCGGGCCGGGCCGGGGGCGGCGGCGGCGAGGGCTCCCGGTGCGGGAGGGCGGCCCCGCCGCCTCCTCCTCCTCCTCCGCCGCCGCCTTCTCCATGCCGCCTGTTCTTTGTTACAGGGCCGCGCCGCGCCGCGCGGAGGGAGGGCGGTAGGGAGGGGGGCGAGGCGGGTCCGAGGCAAAACCCGGCGGAGCCGCTCCCGGATCCCGGGCCCCGCCGCCCGTCGGGCTCCGGGCGGTCGCTTCCCGCCGCCGGCCGTTCCCCGCCGTCGGCGCCGCGCTTAAACTCGGCCCGGCCGCCTCTCCCCTCGGCCCGCGAGGCTCCGGGACCCCCCGGTGCCCCTCGGTACCGCCGGCGGCAGCGCTCGCCACGCCGCCGGGCGCCGGCCTCGGCGGGGCGGGGTGCCGAGCGGGAGGGGCGGCGCCGCGCGCTTCGTAACGGCCGCTCCGCAACGGCCGCCCCGCGGCGCGGGGGGCGGAGGGGCTGCCCCGCACTGAGCGGGCGCGCGGTGCTTTGGTGCGCCGAGGGTCGTGGTGCGCCGTGAGGGAAAGCCGGTGAGCTTCGGCCTGCGCGGGGCGGGCAGCGCCGCCCGCCTGCGTGCTGCGGCCCCCTCAGGCACCGCCGCGCTGGGTTGTGCGGGCAGAAAATCCTGTTCTCGCGCTGTTGTTGGCTTAACGATGGCTGTCGGTTTATATAAAGATTCTGGAGTTTCCCCAGAAGCTCGGATTGTCTCTGCGAAATGGGAACGTAATTACGTGCGGTGGCTTAATGGAGTATTTTTCTGACACAAATACATGGAAAAAAATAGTGAGATATGGCCCTGAACAGCGGCAGGTGAAAATAAAAGCCCCGAAGTCTGTCCTCGGTGTTCGATCTGCCCTTTCTTATGCTCTCCATAAAGTAGGAAGGGAGGAGAGATGGACAGCCTCTCAGGAACCGGTGGCCGGGCGCAGAGCGAGGCACAAGGCAGTCATAGAATCATAGAATGGCCCAGGTTGAAAAGGACCACAATGACCGTCTAGTTTCAACCCGCCTGCTGTCTGCAGGGTTTCCAACCACCAGACCGGGCTGCCCAGAGCCACATCCAGCCTGGCCTTGAATGCCCCGTGTGATGAGGGATAGATGCATCTGATACACATTTTCCTTTCCTGCCTTTTTCAAAGCCCAACAGGTCACAGGAACCGTGGATGGTGAATCTGAAATGCTGAGATGTGGAAAATGCATGTTCTGGCTCCAAAAATGAAAATTAAGCTAACACAGATAACCGACATACAATGCCTAGTCAGCTGAGTGGCGTATAGTTGAGTGACTCTTCGTCACCTTGACCAGTGTCTATTCTCTTCAGATTCCTCCTCCCCTTTATTGCTGTTCTCTGTCTATGGCTACCAGAACAAGATCGACCTTGCTGCCTCAGTGATGCTGAAGGTCGTCAATCTGCTGCTTGGGAAGCGTGACAGAGAGGAGGAGGAAAGGACATGTGCCTCTGAAGAGCAGCTTGCACAGCAGCAGTGCTGATCTGCTGCACTCTGTCCCCTGTGTATCGACACCATTGTCTGAAGAGAGGATTTGTTAACTTAGTCGTGCTTAGGGTGAGTCTTGTCAGGGCACAAACTACATAATAATAACTAGGTGTGCATCTCTTGAAATAGCACAGACCATCCACAGAGCAAAAGTTAGAAAGCAAAGCAAGCCATGTTTGCCTTCAGTCTGTGGTTCACCCTGTTTTGTACTCGTTTGCTTTGGGTTTCCAATTCATTGTGTGCAACGCTTTCAGAAAAAGAGGTTTTAGGAATTTCCCTGGATTGCTGTTTCTGCTTAAATGTTTTGTTAGGTATGTTTAGTCCCCAGAAACCATAGCCAGGAGAGACTTGTGCCTCAGAAGCAGTCCCAGCCACTTACCAGCAGGCAGTTGTTAGGAAGGGCTGTGCTGCTGTAGGGTTTGGGAAAGCTCTATGGGGATCATAGCCCTACAGCAAACCCCTGGCTAGAGCCCTCCTTGGGCTGCTGCCCAGACAATTGACAGCAGAATCCCTGCACCACAGCACCTGTGAGTCTCTGCTGCCTTGGTTTGTCTTTGGTCTTGTTTCCTCTTATCTGTCTGCCCTCTCACAGGTACAGGCTCTTACTTTCTCCTGTTTTCTTCTTGACCAACGTCCCTACTGTTTCTGCAGCCTCGTTCTCTATACATTCTTGTTCTTGACTGTACACCTGCAGTAACACAGCAGTTACTGGGGCATTTTTAGCAACTTAGATTTTTGTTTAACTTTCCATTTGTACCCCTGCAGGGGCCAGCAGTATATTTGGATATGCTCTGTGTCAGTCAGCATCATCACTCTGTAAAGGGATGTTTCAATAGTATGTTGAAGGTAAAACTAACTCAGGCAGAACTAACATCACCTTTTGTGTTTTGGCAGGTTTAAAAGATGGCTGAAGATGGCAGTGATGAGACTATGTTTGTTTGTAAGTATTAAAAAGAAGGTTATTTACTTCTCCTTATGTGATTTGTCTGTGCAGGATTTTGGAAATTCAAGACCGAAACAGACTCAGTTTTTATTTAGAAAAGTATTTATGTAAAGGAAGCTGAAACAGCTTGTGGAGGAGTAGAGACAAGGTTGCTAATTTTAAGCATGCCCATATTCCTGTTTTCAGTGGCAACAAACAAGTGAAGAGCTCTGTAGATGTGACTTAGCAGAACAGCTTCTTCGTGGCTGAAATAAGTGTAGAGCTAGAGCTTGCCAGTGACTAGTCTATGTCCTATCCTTGTACTGCTGGCTTTAGCAGCCAGGGGTTGCTCCATGTGGATCTCAGACCTCTAGCTTGAGTTAAACATCTGCACCTCTATGGGAGGAGTCTGCAGACTTGTTCTTTCAGGACAAACCCCATGTGAGATGTGCTGCCCGACCTGGCAGGTCTTGCTCATGCTGTACACTGTTTTCTTGTTGCCCTTATGGCTAAGCCAGCATTGGAAAGAAGTAAACACACTTACTTGTGTGAGCAGAGGGAACTCGGATACTGCGAATCTGATCTGGGAAGAGCAGAATGGAGCCTATGTCCTTGATGGTATTCATCCATAGTCTTTTGCTCTTGATGGCCCTACAGCTGCATGTCAGCCTTATGGCAACTGTATGGGAAAGAAAATTTTCCCGCTACCACAGATTTATTAGAGTTCATATAACCCACCCTAGTGGGTGCCAATAAGGATGGGGATGTGATGTCATTCCCTAATTGCAGATGGAAGGTGGCACACGACCTTTTTACTCTTCCAGTAAGTTACAATCACAGAATTTCTCATGCCTTCTTCTATTCTATGTAAGATTTTACCATGGAATATAGGAACTGCTTAAGTTCTGAAAAAGTGAGTTGTTGTAAATGACATTGTGCATTCCCATGGTTAACATCATTGAGTATCTATTTCATAGACATAGGAGAGTTTTGGAATATTTTCATAAAAGTCTGTGCATATACGCCCTGCAGGGTATTTTGCCATTTATGCAAAATGCATGGTTTAGCTTAGTTGTGTATTTTTCCTGTGACTGTATTGTCTTGAAGGTGTCACATATGGAGAGCGTACCACCAGCTTTGGGGGTGGCTGCTCTAAGGCATCTCTTAGATTTTGAGAGCCGTGCCACACACTGTTGGTCTCATATTCCCTCTGCTTTGATTATTCATCCACGATGCAGTGAGAACCACATATAATTTATTCCCACATGTAGTTTGGAACGATGCTTGCTGAGCCTGTACAGCAGCTATTTTTGTAGAAGTAGAGGGTGCATAAGTGTAGTCAAAAGATAGGAGGAATAGAGAAGTAAGTGTTTTGTTTCCTTTGGCAGCAAAGCCAGTTTGAGAAGCTGTCCTTCTGGCAATTTCTTCCAGGTCTCATTGGTGGTGACAACCTCTGCGGGTGATAATCTAATTCCTTTCAGCAATCTGTTTTACACAATCCTTCGTGGCTCCTCCACCCTCGTTGGAGTTGGAAATTTATATTTAACCCAGATTATATCAAGTGCGATGTGAACTACAAGTAATTGAATTTGATACATGTCAAACGTGGGGGAGTTGTGGTATGTTAAACTGCACCATAGGGGGGGGGGGAGGTGGCTTGGCTGTAGGCTTGAGGTTTGATGGCGGTGTGTGAGTAACACCTCCCCACTTGTCCTTCCCTCTGATCCATCTGTCTGTTGCTGTACAGCAAACTGGGCTGGGAAATTCATTCATCTGGAAAAGGCACTGATGGGAAAAAATGGTTATTTCGTGACTTGGTTCACCAAGGACACCACAAGCTGCAGGAACCCCGCAGATATTGTTAGTTCGCTGAGATAAACTTGCAGGGAGAGGTTTCCAGTCAAGAACGCAGAGCATTTTCAGCAGAGGGGCATACCTGGAATAAAACTGCTTTATTTCTTGTTCTTATTCCAAACAAGCTGTAGCCACCCTCTGTTTTGCAGCCTTACTGGGGTTAACTGACTTGCCCTTGTGAATGTGGAGCTCTGAGAGGATAACCTGTGTGTGATCATCTCTTATGCAGCGTCAGCTGCTGACCAGGCAGGGCAGTTCGACTGCTGTTTTTCACAGCAAAGCAATGTGAATGCATTTGAAATCCTGCTAAGCTGGCTTATTTTAGAAAGTTTCAAATTATCCTACTCTGAAAATTATTTTGTAGAGGCCTTTCCGCTCTGGGTAATTTACACTTATGCTAACGCTTAATTTAGTGAACTGAAAGTGAGTTAAGGAGTAGTTTGCTTAGCTGACTTGTTTGGGAAGACACCAGAAGCTGTCTCCAGGCACTGCTAACTCAGTACTGGCTGCTGCCCACACCATACCTGAGAAGTGTGACTGCATCAGCTGTGGCTCTAGGCCAAGTTTGGCTCCTGCTCTGCCCTCATGTCTTGCACAAGATCCCCTGGTTTTGCCCAGGGATGGGGTTTGTGTCTCTTATTTCTAAAAGGACTACACCATCCAAGCTGTTTCCAAAAGCCTTTAGGTGTATTTTACTTTGTGATAGATCTTGTACTTGACTCTTGAGAAAGAGGCAGCTGTTCTACAGCAGTGTTTTCCATGAACTCTGTTTGCTGTCTGCTTCCTTGCAGGGTGCGAGGATTGTGGGCAGTACCATGATTCAGAGTGCCCTGAGCTGGGCCCGGTGGTGACAGTCAAAGATTCCTTTGTGTTGAGCAGGGCCAGGTAAGGAGCATTTGTGTTAGAGCTGATTAACTGATGCTCACATTAGTTCTTTAAGTCGTGTTTGCTCTTTATTGGGTATTATCACTGTTTCGCTGACAGCTGAGAAGCGAAGCCTCAGTCTGTGAAAAGGACACAGCCTTTATTAAATAGAAAACTGATGCATGCACTTAATTGCTCTTCTGAATCAAAGCCAAAAAATAACTCTCTGCTCATCAGGATTTGGCTTCTTTGCTTAAGTTTCTGGCAAAAAGTCAGATAGCTCCAGATGGGGGGATGACTTCTGCCTTGGTCACGTATCTGCAGCTCCTTCCTCTCCTCAAATGCAACATGCTGGCTTGAGACAAGCGTATACAGATTTCCCAGTGCTGTGAATGGTTGTATCTTTCTGCATGATATTCTCTCTGTAATTTCTCCACAGAGAAGCAAAACGAGTTGTTCTCATTATTGTGATTCTTTACAAATGATTATGGATAATGCTCCTGTCAGGAAATCTACAACAGCGCAACAGAAACAGCCATGCTTGCTAAAAGAAACAAATAGACTAAATCTCATTAGAAGAAAACAGCACTGAAGTAGCATATTATTTTTACTTTTGGCATTGTAAGCAAAATTCATTAAAAGGTGTAAAATGTGGGACTTTTGCTAAGGAGAAAAAACAGCTATGACGAAGATGTAGTACAAATCCAAAAAGGGAAGGGAGTTTGTGTGTCTTTATGTGCTTCTTGTTAGGAATAGTAAAAACTGGTGATGGAGGTGCTTTTCTAATGCGCAGAAAGTGGCCAGTGCAGTAAGTCTCCTACCCATCCCAAAAAGATTCAGTGACAAGCTAAACTGTTATTTTTTACCTTTTATGGTGGGGTGTGTTTTTATTGCCTTGTGATTTAATACTCTTGTTTATTTGTATGGTGGAGGACTGTAGTAATGTCCAGATGTTCCAGCTGTGAGTGTTTGTGAATGTGATGTGTGCACTGGTTTTCAGCTGCTTTTAGCAGATGCGTAGGAAGTTCCCTAGTTCCCTAGTGGAAGTGCTGGCTGCTGGATAGTGGATTTGAAAGCAGAGTTTAAAAATGACCATATTACTGAGAAAAAAAAAATATATGTATTTTCTTGAAGAGTTTACAGCCTAAAACAGGTAGGATAAGAAATGGAAACGAGAAATGTAATTGAAACAAGATGTAATTTATTTTACATCAGTAGCTGAGAGAGTGATTTGTCTGAGGTTGAGGGCAAGTTTAACCACAAACCTGGATATGGATCTCTTAAAACCCAGTCTATTTGTGTAACCACATGGTAGTTGTTTTCCTCTGTTCTGCTGAAAAGTTAAAATTGTTCCTATATGGTTAGAAAAAAGTGTGAAGAAATATCTTCTGAACTTCAGCAACTCTACTACTGTATACTTCTTTTATTAAAACCAAAAAAAATTTTTTTTTCTTTTTTTCAGTTCATTTGCTTATCACTAAGATTGTAATCTTTTTGTATTTCTCTTCACATGGACAGGAAAGTGGATGAGGCAGTGTCAGCCTTTATAGAATAATCAGTAGCCTGTCCGATTAGATTTTGACCCATAAGCACAGAGCTGAAAAACCAGGGTTGTACTTGGTGTCTGACAAAGGCATCCCAATGTGCATACAGCAATGTGGTCAGAGAGACTGGAAAGCCTTGCTAAAGTCAAGGGAAATTGTATCCACCGCCCTTCCCTCATCCACAAACCTCTGTGGCAGTGAGTGTATCAGGCGTACTGTTTCCAGTCCCTTGTTCCTCGAGTGCCCATACCTCACAGATGGTCTTGCTCCACAGTTTTCCCAAAGACTGAAGCAGGGCTAACCAACCTGTCCTTCCTTTTGGCTCTTTCCTGAAGATGAGTGCAACGTTTGTTTTTCTGTAATCATCAGGGACCTTTCCTAATGCCACGATATTTTAAAGATGATACAGAGTAGCTTCAATATGGTGCTGGACCATCCCCTTCCAGCCACAGACTCAACCTGCTGAGTCTCTGGACTTAGGTGGGTAGAGTGCTCTTTAGAAACTGCTGATCTGGCTCTTTTCCACTGCTGTTAGTTTTTCTCTTCTGTTTATGAATTCTCATAGAAATAAAGGTATTTTGACAGAAAACAGTTTTCTTCACTGGAGAGCGGAGGAGTGAATGCTGACATCTTTCTTCCCTGGATTCCTGCAGTTTTGTCCCATATATGTCTCAATTCTTTATTCAATTCTTAGATCATCTCTCCCTTCTAATTTGGAGATAAGACAATTGGAAGATGGGACTGAAGGAGTATTTGCTTTGACTCAGCTAGTGAAACGTACCCAATTTGGCCCATTTGAATCCAAGAGAGTTGCCAAGCTTGAAAAAGAAACAGTTTTTCCCCTAAAGGTAAGGTGTGGCACGTGAAAAGCAATAAAAGGGAATCAGCTTTACCCATGATGGTTTTATGCTATCTGCCACTGTGGAAAAAAATGGGCAAAGAATGTTACTGGGATATCTTTTAAGCATATACTATAACAATTTATCTACAGAAGCCTTCTGTGGGCAGCATGCAGAAGAACTGATCTAGGGGCTTGTTCTACATGATTCCTTAATCATGTAGTTAATGTCCTTACAGGAGATAAGAGCTAGGATATAATCCAATCACACAATTGCTTGTCTGTCACTTACATGTGATAATACAGGAAGTGTTGGGCACATGGCAGTTCATTTCAGGGTTTTTTAACCAGTCTCTTCACTTTTATCTTGTTTGCTTAATCAGCGGCACGTTCATTAGTCTTATGGAACATGCAGAATAAGTCTTGCATTTGCTTTGTTTTTCTCTTGACAAGTTGTGGTGGGAGAAATACCGTGGTAAAAATTTGATTCATCCTTATCTTTTCAAAAGTACATGACTCAGAAGCATAGAAATGTGATGCAGGGGCTGATGGGTGTTTCACAGTGTTGTTAAGGTTTCAATCTGTTCTCTATAGAGTCATTCACATTTTGTGAAAAACTACTGGCTATACCAAGACTTTTGGGATGGGGGTCCTCTTTGTTCCCATCCTGCCCCTGGTAGCCTGTTTCAGACTTACTCATCTGAGGATGTGACTGATTCCTGATATGTACCTGATGCAAACATTGAGGCTTGTTCAGTGAACCTGATGAACCTTGAATGAAAACCACTGCAAAAGCAGCAAATAAAAATTATTTTTAACTTTGCATTTTTTGTTATGGCTTTATCACATGTATAATTTGCTTGGCAGGTGTTCCAGAAAGATGGGCCCTTGTTATACTTTGACACCTCAAATGAAGATGATTGCAACTGGATGATGATGGTGCGACCAGCTACTGAACATGAGCATCAAAACTTAACTGCCTTCCAGCATGACAATGATATTTATTTCACCACCTCCCGGGACATCCCACCAGGAACTGAGCTGCGAGTGTGGTATGCGGCTTTTTACGCCAAAAAAATGGAAAAGCCAATGCTGAAGCAGGTCACTAGTATTTCCAATGGTATGTGTGGGGGCCTTTTTTCCTTCTTAAGGACCCAAATCTGTTAGGGGCTGCTAGTTATAATTGATAGTGCTGTTTATCGGTTAGGCTCTGACCATGAATGTGTTAGTCAGAGTCAGGCTAACCTGTATACATGGTTACCTTACAAGAAGAAAGCACAGATTCTTCACCATGATATATCTCAGCTTTTGAAAGCAGACGGATTACCTACTTGATGATTCAGCCTCTTCAGGCTCAAGAATCTGGATAATTAGTTCTTAATTGAAGAACTGGTAGCTGCATCAAAAACACTTGAGGATACAAGAGCAAAGGGGCTCAGTTGTCAATGTATGTCTAAATGTATACGCAGATTTGGTAAAGAAACCACGTTTTTTCAGTTGTAGTGAAAATGTTTTGGTTTTGCTTAAAAACTGCTGTACAGTTCTGAAAAATTTTTACCTTATGCAGCTTTACATGGAACCCACTAGAATGACATAAGCTCAGAAGTAAGCCTCCATTCCACTTGATTGCCTGTGCATTGGCAAAAAAGGCAGAAGATTTACTGGAGTCCAAATTAGAATTGCCAGAGGTCTTTTATCCCTCTGCCACTCTATTTTTTTTCTATATTTGCATTTCTTTAGCTAAAAAGCATGATCCTTCAGCATTGCAATGTCAGTTTCTGTTGTTGAGTTGGGTGTTCTCCCATCTGGTGTTATTGCTACGCTGAGTATAATTTGGGGTGACAAATGGCCTGCAGAGAGGCAATACTAATAACATACAGCTGATCTTGGTGGTAAGCACAGTCTGGAATACTGAATCAATCCTGTTAACTTGTTTCTGAATTTAAGATTTTTCCAAGTGGTATTAATGGAAGGGTTTCATCTTCTTCCTCTTTAGTTTAAACCATTCATGTATTTTCACATTCAAGAAGGTGTTTAAAAATATTGTTAAGGTATGTCCTGCTTTCTCTCTTCAGCACTTTCACTATATACCCCAGAATATGAGAAGTACATTGTATAAAATTCGGGAGCAAGAATGTGCTGGTTAGGATTTTGCATGATAATGTTTTCTGCAGGCTTGCTATAAGGCAAAACTTTTTGATTATAATTGCTGCCATCAGCAAAGAGCAAGAAAATCAAAGGGTTTGGAAAGTAAAGAAATGGAACTGTTTTTCCTCTCCGTAGATATGTGCTTGGTAGTGATGGAATGTGATAAAGAGGGGAACAAAGTCTCTTCAAAGCCCTCAACTGTTGTCTTCCCCCATAAAAAAACGAAGAAATCCAGCATACCAGTAGCTGATCCAACAGGTATGCAAAGTTATGGTAGTTTTAAGAGAGAGAGAGGGTAGGTGTAAATCTAAAAATCTTCTAGGTATAGCACTTCATCATAGTTACTACAGTTATATATTCAGCAAGTATTTCAGAAAGTATTTAAAAGCCTAGATTTTTCTTGGCCTTTTCACAGTTGCACATGCGAAGGTTAAAAAGTGACAAAAGGGACAAAAATTCCTTTAGCCAGATGATTTTCATGAAAACTGCATCTGACTTCGGAGGTGATATGGGCTGGGTGGGGGGAGGTGCAAAGAAAATCTTTAGACTTTCTGTGCAAAGTGCAATTGTTCAAATGGTCAGGATCTAGAAGAAAACATGAGAATGTGAGTGTAAGAATAGTGCTGTTTGGAAACAACAGGAATGCTGGCCATCCCCACATTACAGTAATGCTAAAAGTCTAGAACAGTTCAGATCACACTGAGTAGAACATGAACTCAAATTTAGTTAAATATATAAGCAATATGGATATTATTGGCAAAGAATATGGAGGTCAGGACATAACTGGTGGTGTCACAGACGATCAGTCCCTGAGGCTGATTATGAAGCAATCTGCATGTAAATGGAACAGTGGAGTTAGAGTCCTTTTAACAAAAGTCACCATGTCTAAAAGTAAACTCAGAGTATATAGCAGTATATAGTATATATAGGGTATATAGTATACATGGAGTTCAGGATCAAAAGAAAGCATTCTGTGTCTGTTCTTTGAAAAAGTTGGTTAAATTTTACTTACCAGTATTAAAAATAGTCAGGAGAAAAGCAGAAGAAGGTTGCAGATGTGTAACAGAGAACTTCGTCAGAAGAGGTCTATTCATTTTACATGGATACTGCCACAGTCTAAATATGAAGCTGGCCAGACAGCTGCTTTTCAGTTTAGCATGCTAATTTTTCCAGGAAAATAAATGATGAAGAATTTGAACAACGCTTTCTACATCCTTTACTCTACTGTCTGAAAGCCCAGCTTTAACAGAAACAAAATGCTGTTGTTATACTTTGGGAACCCTGATGTATTCCCACTGTTTGTAGTGTTGTCGTGTTTCCACAACAAAATATGCCTTTTTTTGAATCTTATACTGACCCTAAGTCCTGCAAAGCTATTGCAAACTGACAGATCTTTGCTTCACCCTGGAAGCCTGACAAAGTGGGAAGCTAAGCAGAACATGGCTCTTCCTGGCTAACCAGTGCACAACTGGGGTCTCTAGGTTCAAGGCAGGTAAGGAGCAAGGGAGACACAGAATGAGGGACAGTTTTCAAAAACGGACTTCAGTTTTGCAGATTGCAAATTGTCATTTTTACTAGCCATAGCAACTTCATGACATTGATCTAATACCTTATGTGTTGCTTAATAGGTTGACTTTTTTTTTTAATTATGCAGAATTTTGCTGTTCAGGTTTGCTGTCTTTGGTCTCCTATACAAATCTCTCAAGATAGTTTTTTTTTTTCATAGCCTTCGAAGAAGAAATTCCTGTTTTTGAATTATTGGGAATCATTCAGACTGGAGAACCTAATGAGGTTCAACAAGGCCAAGTGCAACGTATTGCACTTGGGCCGGGACAATCCCATGTGTTTTATACAGACTGGGCGAAGAACCCCTTGAAAGCAGCCCCATGGAGAAGGACCTGTGGGTCCTGGTAGACAAGAAGCTGGATGTGAGCCAGCAGTGTGCGCTTGCAGCCTGGAAGGCCAGCTGTTTTCTGGGCTGCATTAAAAAAGGGGTGGCCAGCAGGGAGAGGGGGGTGATTGTCCCCCTCTATTTGGCTCTTGTGAGGCCCCATCTGGAGCATTGTGTCCAGGCCTGGGGCCCCCAGTATAGAAAGGACATGGAGTTCTTGGAGTGGGGCCACAGTAGGGCCATTAAGATGATCAGAGGGCTGGAGCACCTCTCCTGTGAAGAAAGGTTGAGGGAACTGGGCTTTTTAGCTTGGAGAAGAGAAGGCTCCAGGGAGATGGTTCCAATATTTGAAAGGAGCATATAAACAGGAGGGAGAATGGCTGTTTACAAGGGTGGATAGTGAAAGGACAAGGGGGAATGGTTTTAAACTGAGACAGAGGAGGTTTAGGTTAAATATTAGGAGGAAGTTTTTCACACAGAGGGTGATGACGCACTGGAACAGGTTGCCTAAGGAAGCTGTGGATGCCCCATCCCTGGAGGCATTCAAGGCCAGGCTGGATGTGGCTCTGGGCAGCCTGGTCTGGTAGCTGGCGACCCTGCACATAGCAGGGAGATTGAAACTAGATGATCATTGTGGTCCTTTTCTACCCAGGCTATTCTATGATTCTGTGATTTTTATATATATTTTTACAGTGTGGATGAGATCTGATATAGTGTAGAACATTGAACATGCTTGTAGTAGCCTCAGAGAGCCTTTTGTTTTGGCTTAAGACCCAAGAACAAGAAGGAAGAAGTATGTTTATCGTCCCATTACAGATGGGGTACAGATTAGGCAGAGAGAGATTAACTGACTTGCTTACTGTCATATAGGAAATCTGTGGCAGAAACTGAGGTACAGTTTGAATCTTTTGTGCCAGTGTTCACTTAATCTAATTACAGCGTCATCCTCCTTTTCTGGGGGATTCTTGTATGCTGTGGAATGTTCTGTTTTGTGTCTACCAAAAAATCTGTGAACTGGTCTAGATTTATGAGATGCTCCTCACAAATGTAGACAGATCATCCAAGGACTGAAAGACAATGGACTGTGCACAAAGTAATCATTTTCCTTTGTTTTTAACTCCAGATCCATTTTCCTCTCTATTTCTTCTTGTACGCCAGCTGATAGGCTAATTAAAATCCTAATACAGTAGACTGGTAGAATATCCAATTAACAAAACTAGTCAAAACCAGCTTTTCATTATTCTCACCCATACATCTGTTCATCCAAATGTTTTTAATCTGTGATGCTCTGCAGAGAGAGCAAAGATGATTTTTTTGCTTCTGCCCTCAGCTCACCCAGTAGAGTACTGGTAGCTCCAATTTTAATGGTGCAAAAAAATTCTTTTTATTGTGCCTTTGATCATCACAGCTCTTCAGAAGGTGATAAAGGGATCCTTAGGATCCCTTTACAAAAGCACCAGTGTTCTCCCCTGCAACCATTTAGAGTCTTCTCTGACTTCAGGTGTTCACGTCTGCAACATCCTGAAGTGGCCCCAGAGAATAAATCAAACTTCATTTTCTTTTGAATTAAACATGTACAGGCATCTGATTACATTGGTGGAATATAGCTGGGAAGTCAAAAATTAAGCAGCTGCCTTTGTGAGCCTCTTATTGCTTAAATCATCGTTTGTGGTATGCAGGGAGTCCCTGTAAGCTGAATAAGACTACAAGGATTTACTACTTTCCCATATTCAAAGCTTTAGAGTATTTCTTCTTGTGATTTAGCGAGTGCTCCAGAAGGCAGTGGAGCTGCAGAAGCAGAGCCCAGCCAGTGGACGTGTAAAGTGTGTTCATCTGCTTTCCAGGAGCCTCAGCTTTTGACAGGTAAGGAGTGTTAAAAATTGATGATGGTACTGCAAAGTGTTAGGAGAGTTCCATTCTTCCAGACTGTAAAGCTATATCCTTGTCCATGATGTAGTAAGATAAAGGTTTTATGGTTGTGTTCCTTTGACAAAGAGGCTAGAGGTGAGGGGTAGGTAAAATAATGTTATCAATATGGCAGCAAGCAATCTCTGGGCAAACAGCTGAGATATTGAATCTAGAAGGAAGAAAATCATTATCAAGAAAATGATAGGAATATTAGGAATATCAAGGACAGGGAACTGCATAAACAGAGTATAAGATCAGTGAGTGATCCCAGCTTACACTTAATGATACTGTCTGGTGTTTGTAACAGATATAATAACAGTAATTAAATATGTTTTTTCTGCATTTCATTTGCAGCTATTTTATTCAGTTGAAAAAATAAAAAAACACCTTAAAAGGTTTAAGAGCTCTCACCATTTGAATCATTTTTGGAAAGGACACCTGGGTAGCTAAATAACTTGGGTATTTGAAAAAATGTACCCATTATCATAGAATCGTAGAATCATTAGGGTTGGAAGGGACCTTTAAATGTCATCTATCCAGCTCACCTGCAGTGAACAGGGACACCACAGCTACATCAGGTTGCTTAGGGTGTTATCCAGCCTCATCTTGAAAGTCTCCAGGGATGGGACATCAACTACATCTCTAAGCAACCTGTTCCAGTGCCTCACCACCCTCACTGTAAAAGACTTTTTCCTCATGTCCAACCTAAATTTACTCTCTTTAAGCCTGAAATTATCAGGGGCGCAACCTGTTTCCGGTTGCATCTAACAGACCTCTTAAAAATTGCAGTCACTGTTAGTAATTGTGTGAATGTTTATCAGACTGTTTTAGTTAGGATGGTATTGTGACTGCTTTTGAAATAATTTGAAGGGAGTCACTGTTAAATGAGTTTGACCTGTTCAATAGGCTTCAGATCAATCTATCCCTTAGTATATTTCATGGCAACCTCTTTATACTCTTGCTCTTTCCATCCATTCAGAGCACTTGATGAGTCACCTGGAACAAGCTAAATGTGCCCCCCAAACCAGCCAAAGTGAGGCTGTTGCAGAGAAAGTAACAGAGGCTCCTCCTGCGGATCCACCAGTGGGTTGTGATGCTGCCAGTGCCAGTACAGACTCAAGGAGAAAGGCCAGGCGGGGAAGAAAGATCAAAACAGCAAAAGCAGAAACAGAAGCACCCCTTGCTGTTGCTGAAGAGAAAGATCCTGCAGGTAAAACAAAACTGTAGAAAACGCTAAGTACATACCCCCCTTCGTGTGTCTTTATTTCTTGAAAAGGCCTACAAAGTAGCACAGAGACAGGGTGAGGTTTTTAGGACCATCTCTAAAGGAGATAAGTACAAAGCTATTGTTCTGTCAGTTCCAGGTCTGCAATAAAGGTTGCAACGTCTATAGTTAGATTACTTGCATTCTCCTGCAAAAGTATTAGGAATAAAAAGGGCCAGAGAAATGCAGGATGGTGATTATGAGAGACCTGCCTAGCTTCCTTCAGGAATCACAGAATCACAGAATGGTTGGAAGGGACCTCAAGGATCATGAATCTCCAACCCCCCTCCCACATGCAGGGCCACCAACCTCCACATTTAATACTAGACCAGGCTGCCCCATCCAATCTGGCCTTGAACACCTCCAGGGACGGGGCATCACAACCTCTCTGGGCAGCCTCTTCCAGCATCTCACACTTTCACAGTAAAGAACTTCCCCCTGACATCCAACCTAAATCTTCCCTCCCTCAACTTAAAACCATCTCCCCTTGTCCTGCTGTTATCTGATCTTCCAAAGGAAGGAACAGGAGAAAAAAGCATCTTCCCTCAAGAAGAGATACCTTCCTTTCTCTGACATAAGGTGTGTTCCTGGAAGGGGCTTTCTTCAGGATCTTGCTGTTCTTTAAGGGAAAGTCACGTAGAATATTTCACCTTGCATATAGTCAACTGGCCCCTTAGTAGTAGGCTGTGGAAAGGTGAGATATTGCACTTTGACCTGCGATTTAGTAACCCCTTTTTGTATCTTGCAAGTCATGCTTACTCATTAGCAATCTGTTATTTGTTATGTACATATCATTACAAAAGAAAATTCCTGCATTTAAGGTTTTCTTTCTAGCTATTACATTAATACTGTATTTCTATGATATGTTTGCAGTGGAACGTGTAGCTGACACTGCAGCTGAAGTCCCACCAGAAGAAGTGGCTCTGCCATCAGCTGCAGAAGAGAGGATAATGGAATTGGTTTTAGGAAAGATGCCTAGCACCACAAATAGCATCAGTTCAGTCACAAAGTAAGTGTTCTGGAATGTAGAATTTCCTCTCAGGCTTAATCAAGATTAAGTAGCATGCAACAGTTCTTCTACTGGGCCCATAGGTACTCTTTTTCATTACTATAAAAAATGTGATGCTGCTGCTAGAAGAGACACAAAGATGGCTCATATACTGTAGGATGACGTATGGTTGGTGAGATATTGGTGCTAGAAGGCTGGAATGATACGAAAATTTCATTTTCTGTCATGTGACAGGTTTGATTCAATGTGATCCCAAAGTCTCTTGCAGTTTCACAATGAAATATTGTGCAATTGAATATACTCCTGTTGAATGTTGGTGATAAAACAGGCAAACAGATTTTTGCTTTAAAAGAAAGCTAACAGTTATTATTCAGTCTGATTTGTATTTTAACTTTTATTTTAACTCTGACTTGTATTTTAACTTTAACATAAATCACTTATATTGATTTGAGTGTGTTACTTCAGACTTAGAGCAGTAGAAAGTGAAAATGTAAGTATGCCAGAACCTCAAGGAGACTTTTAAATATCACGGACTTTTAAAATTCTTTTTTGTCTTTCTGACTTGGTAAAATTGGCTTCTTGATTTTTATTTTTATTTTTTGCATAATAAAGTGCTTGTTAGATACTTCAGAATTAGCTAGTAATGCTATATACTAAAGTCCTTAGCAGATACGGAGCCATCAAAAATGCATTCCAACTGGTGGTGGTGCTGGGAAATAGAAGTGTTGCTTCTTGGTGCCCCTGCTGCCTTTTTTACCATACATGCTTTTTGCATGAAAACTGCCAAGATTTCTAAGCTGAAAGCATGCTGATGGTATTTTTTCAGAGGAGCAGAACAGATCCTTTGTGCTCCTCTGAGAGGCCTGAAAAGACAATCTGTGGGGTTGGTGGCTCCTGCTTTCTTTCTTTTTTGTCTTGGGTGAAGTTAATTTGAAGCAAGCTGCTTTCCAACATCTGCTGCTTCAAGCAGGTGGCCAGAAGGTCGTCTGGCAATGACTCCCTCTCCTGTCAGAAGCTGAGCATAACATCTTCTAGCTTTCGCCATCTGATGGGACTTTCTTGCAACCTGTGGGATACCTTTCAGTCCCTGCCTTTCTTTCTCTGATCCAGTAGGTTTGCTCATCACCAAAACAGCATGTCCCTCAAAAGAAGTTTAATTCTCTCCAGTAGACATGGTATACGGCGGAAGCTGATAAAACAACTTGGGGAGCACAAAAGAGTCTATCAGTGCAGTATCTGCAGTAAGATCTTCCAGAACAGCAGCAACCTCAGCAGGCACATCCGTTCTCATGGTAGGTTTGCTTCTGCCTTGCTTGTGCTCATTGGTTCCACTTTTGAGTAAAACATCTTAAGGTATTCTTAGATATTGGTATGCATTGTTTTAATAGAGCTCTTCCTTTTCTTTTTTTTCTTTTTTAAGTTATGCAGACAATTGAAACTGAAATTATTTAAAATTTGAATCTAGGTACATATTTTAAGCAGGGGGAAGGATGTGATGACTTTTCCAAAACTATTCTTCCCTTTACAGATATATTTCCCCATCTTAACAGTCTCATGATCAACACTGCTATGAAAATATCACCAAAGTGCTTTCCCTTCTGTGATCTGCAGTTGCAGGAGTCCTCTTGATCTGCTTCTAAAGATTTTGCAAAAAACAGAAATTCAGAAAAGGGTGGGGGGGAATCAAACAAAATTGTCACGAGTTAAACTTGACTAGAATGAAAAAGGTTAAGATCTACTATCTAGATCTCCTGAATTACTAAAGCTTCTAATCACTAGCCCGTTTGTTTTGCTTGTGCTTTGATTTCCCCTGTCTTGTCTAGAGTTGATTACTATCAGTTTCTGACTACTTTTTTTTTTTTTAATCTTGATTGATGTCCTCAGGTGACAAACTATTTAAATGTGAGGAATGCGCAAAGCTGTTCAGCCGTAAAGAGAGCTTAAAGCAGCATGTTTCATACAAGCACAGCAGGAATGAAGTGAGTGGAAATGACCAGTGGGATTTTTTTTGAGGTTATGTGAAAATGTGCAGTGAGCTTCCAGGTGCTCACTGGGGAGTTTGGGTCAATTATGCTTGAGCAGTTATCTCTGTGAATTTCTTGTAAGTGAGGTAAGACTGACAAGGAAAGGTAACATCTTCTGTTAGAACAGCTGATCAGTTTGGAAAGCGTGGGCTTACTTAAGGCCATAAAGTTCTTTTTTGTGTCTGAATTTCCTGTAGAAGGTTGTTTTCAGACATGAGTTACAGTAAGACAAGCTGAAATTAGCTGCACCTACATGACCCAGAGGTGAGATTGGATTTCAGTTTATTGTACCAAGCAGTATTGCTCTAGTTTTGTTTGCCTGTCTTCGTTTATTTATCTCTGCCTGTTGCAGAGATAGTGTATGAATACTCTGAGTAAAGGCTGCGTTAGTGAGCGCTATGAGCCCATGTGTAAACTTACAGAGCTTATACTGAGTGCTGTGCCTGCTGACGAGGGCTTTTTAGTTCTACTGCCACCATATAAGTATTAAACATCCCAGTGGTGGGGTCTTATCATTGAAAATTTGTTGTTGCTTGACATCAAGACCCCAGGCTCTCATATTTCTGGCATCTGTCTGGGAGCTAGAGGATGAGTCAGGTTACGTCTTGCTTTTCAAAATTTCTCTGTCAGACTCAGGGTAATCAGGAAGACAGTTAGATGGACACAGGTGCATGGCCTATTGGTCTACAGTTGTTTTTTTGTTGTTGTTTTGTTTTTTTAGTAGAGATCAAATGTAGGAACATAGCATGATAATATAGCGTTAGAATTTTGCACCAGTGTATATTTAAACATCATGTTGAAGGCAGAAAAATTGGTCAAGATAAAAAGCAGAAAAAGTAATTGAGATTTGTCTGTCAATCATGACTCAGCGTTTTCCCCTCTTAAATAATCTTTGTAATCCTCAGGTTGACAGTGAGTACAGATACAAGTGCACAACATGTGAAAAGGCTTTTCGAATAGAGAGTGCCTTGGAATTCCATAACTGCAGGACAGGTGAGCATGGCTAACACTTCAGCTTTCTCTCATCCTTATGGGTATGCCTACAAATCCACCTCAGCATGATAACTACAAAGGGAAAGTACGCATTTGGATTTTTTCATTATCACAAGCAACCTGCCACTCTCCTTTCTTCTTTCCCTTATAAAACTTCTTGCAATAATCAAAGTAGAATCAATAATCTGTAGAATAATACATCCACTTATGTGTTGCTTTTTTTCTTTTCCCTGCTCTCCCACAAAATATCCTCACTGGTATTTCACTTGTATTTCACAGATACCCTGTCACTGTCTCCGTTTAACTTTCTTTCCTGAAACTAAGTTTCAACTAATTTCTCTGAGAAAGAGGAACTGGAAAAGAGGTCGCTACCTCTGATAGTTTGCAATTTTCAGATATTAGTTTTCTTCTGCTTTTTTGTGCTTTCTTTATACTTAAAATAATCTCCCCATATGTTTCCTTCTTGCTATCACTAGAGCCTGTCCTTTCCTTCCAAAGCCTTCCCTTCTTATTATTCCTATTAGATGTTCTGAGTGATCTTATGCTTAGAAAATGACAGCCTGATTACTTTTACAGACACATGATAACTGCCTGTTCAGAATCACCTGGGTCACTGCCGCCTCAAGCACCATTCAAAATAGATTTTCTGATTTCCTTTGTAACAGTACAGCTTGAATAAAATCTCAGCCTTATGAAGAATGGGAAGCAAAGCTGAATGACCTCAGTATTCAAAGAGACCAGTTCATTTTCTTTGAGTTGACTGCTACCATAATGAGCAGCAGTTTTTGCTCTCCGATTTGACAAATCAAGCAGTTAGCATCTTTGTGATTGCTGCAGCGTTGGCAAATTCCACCTAAAGGACCATGCTTTCATTTTCTGAAAGAAGTCTCAACTACTGAATACAAAACAAATTTCCCATACACCTGTTATCATGTAATGTTCCTCTTCTGAGATTTTGTACTTTCTTCTGAAGTATACTGTATTGGCTGACGTTAGGAGCCAATGCTGGCAGTAATCTGATGTTTAGATACGGCTGTCAGTGTTATGATGTGTTGCCATACACACAACTATTTTACCATCACTGAAAACTTGAATCAACTATAACTGAATCTACTTTGAACGATATTTCAATGTATGCTAGATCATGATAGAAATAGACAAGGTAAGGAAGATGTGATGGTAGAGTCAGTATCAAACTTACATATGTTGTTACTGCTTTTGAAGAAATACTCTCCAGGGATTGTTAACTTCATAGGTAGCAAAAATGCATTTGATGTATTGTTTGTGTTTATTATACTTTTAATGGGAAGACAGATTTTAGAGTTAAAAAAAGTACATACTTCATTTCCTTCTTCAATCTATATACAATGATTGATTACTTATATGTTATAACTCAGGTTTCACAAAAGAACTACATATGTCACAAACACAGAAAACTTGCTTTCCTTTTTAAAAAGCTGCCTGGTTTCTCTTGCTTACAGATGATAAGACATTCCAATGTGAGATGTGTTTCAGATTCTTTTCTACAAACAGTAATCTTTCCAAACACAAGAAAAAGCATGGAGATAAGAAGTTTGCATGTGAAATCTGCAATAAGATGTTCTACAGGAAGGATGTCATGCTGGACCATCAAAGGCGACACCTGGAAGGTAAGCTTACCACCTATGAATCTAGTTATTATGGTAGGTGTCATTTTTAGTCAGTGTCTTGCTTTAAAGTTGCAGGTTTCAGCAATATGTGAAGTTTATGAAGAATAACAGTAATGAATCCTGGAGGGGAGTTAATCTGAGGAACCTTTCTAGGAGCTGCACCCTTTTTTTCAACTTCACATGATTGGATGCAGTGCTGCTGACAGTCAAATGAAAGCTGCTTGGCTCATTATGTATCTGAGACTACCTAGTTTTATCAGTCTTTTTTTTTTTTTTTTTTTTTTTTTTTTTTTTTTTTTTTTTTTTTTTTTTTTTTTTTTTTTTTTTAGTTTCTTTGATTTTTATTGTTTTCTATTTTAAATATGTGGTAACTAGAAAATTTGAGAGCAGAGAATTAACTGAAAGTGACTGCTGTATAAATACAAACCTGTTCTATAGGCTGCTACCTGACCAATACTGTATAAATGGAATGCTGAATGATGTACTCTAGGGAATATATGACGATGAGATTATGAGATTTCAAAATTTCAAACATCTAAGGATGTTATGTTCCAGGCTGGACGTGGCTCTGGGCAGCCTGGTCTGGTGGTTGGCAATGCTGCACATAGCAGGGGGGGTTGAAACTAGATGATCTTTGTGGTCCTTTTCAACCCAGGCCATTCTATGATATGATTCTGTGTTATAGATACTCCTCAAAGAGTCTGGAAAAACTTGGATGATGACAGCTTACCAAATTATACGTTAAAATACCACTAGTGGTGTAGAAGATAAGAACAAAGGTGATATATACATAAAATAATAATGAAGAGGTTAAATTATGTAATTTGTCATTTTGGGCATAGCCAGCCATCACTGGACTTTCGTGATTCAGCCCTCTGTGTCCTGCACTAGAGGACAAGGTTTTGAGTAGCAATGGCAAGAAGTTTCACGTTCAGTTGTCACAGAACAGTAGCAGCCCTTTTCTTCATGGAAAGTAGTAAAGAAAGAGGTCTGTAATCTTCCTTGAACAACAGAAGTGATGCTGGGTTATTCTCTCTCCCCTTAGAGACTGACAGAGGGATTTCTAGTCTAGATATCTGATGAAAATACCAAGGCCTACTACATCTGCCTGTTTTCTGTTACTGACAATAAATTCCTGTTTTCAGACACATTACAGTTGGTGTAATATCCAACAGGCCACAGTACTTCCCTTTGGCAGAATTCTTCTATATTCTTAAGATGGCATTTTAACTAAGAAATTATCCTTTTGCTAGCAATTAAATTCTATATTGAGGCTCTTCCCAGTGTTTCACTCTTCTTTACAGTATTCACCTGAGAGGGCATGCAGATTGGAATGGAAAGCCATGGTTTATTTTTTTTGTTTTGTTTTTTTGATGGGGACTGTTCTGTAAAGGGGTGAGGCGTGTGAAAAGAGAAGACTTTGAACACAGCACGGAAAACATGGTTCGCTACAAGAAGGAGCCTTCGGGATGCCCTGTGTGTGGGAAGGTAGGCTGCTTTGCCAGCATGTGCCCCGTGAAGCTATGTATTGTAGTTCCAGGAACATGCTGAGGGTACAGTGCCTCAGCTCTGAGTCTCCAAGTGAATTATCGTGGCATAGAACATGTTACCAGCCATGCATTAAGCCACAGTAGCTATCTACTTGAATAGACGCAGTGTCTGCCAAAAGATGAGGTAAATGACATTTAGTGCAGTATGTGCCACATCAGACTGCCTCACAACTTACACAGATGCGTAGTCAGTTAGCAGCAAGTCCTGAGGCCCAGCCAAGATGTTCCTCTTTCAGCTGCATAAGCTCTATTATATGTCCAAGCCCACTATGGCCAATGATTGTGGAAGCTGTTATGACAAAAATAAGAACAAAACTGAAGTTCAGACTAGACTTTTTTCAGGACGTGTAACGTGGCCACTGTGTCTGCCAGTGAAACCTCATGGCTTACACTGTTTAGAGTGAAAATTTTCTTCCAGAATGAAAATGGTTAGAGCTGACTGTGTGTATTGGAAATTTGTTAGAATTCCAAGTGCATTCATTGTGTGATCGTGCCATTTGTTGTGGTTTGGAGCTTAATATTCATGAAGTTGCTACTGTCACCAGTGCAAAGACTGTGGATTTTACTAGTGATTTTATAAATGTTTAATGTTTCACGGTGGAAGATGTACTCAAGCAATGCTTAAATTGGGGTGTAAGCTTTTGATTTTGATGCTTTCAGTATGTTAATTTCAGCAAAAATAGATTTTGCACATGTATCTTTTTATAGACACATGCAACATTCTTGGTTCAAAAGGCATTGTCTAAATGAATTTACCCTATGTAATTCTGCTGCATCTATTTGTAAGCCCACCTCTGATAAGCAGGCAATTTCAGTAAGTTCTTTGGGGCTGCATATATGTTTTGCTTTGTCACCAGTTTCCGAGGTCATCTGCTGGCTAGATAACAGATGTTCCTATGTGTTTCTGGCCTGAATAAATAAAAAAGGACAGGAGGTACGTTCTTTGCTATCTGTTGGGTAACTTGTAAAGAACTGTAGCCATGCTGGATGTGATACAAAAGCCCATCCTTCTTTCTTTTAGGTGTTTTCATGTAGGAGCAATATGAACAAACACCTTCTAACGCATGGAGACAAGAAATACACCTGTGAAATCTGTGGACGTAAATTTTTTAGAGTGGATGTGTTGAGAGATCACATTCATGTCCATTTTAAGGTATTGTGTTAATTGTTTGGTAGAAAAGTTGTTATTTAGCAAACATTAACAAACATATCGATGAATATGTTGAGACTGTTACAGCTGTGTGTTTGTACTGGCAACACAAGTGACTGTGTATCCTGTGTGGTGATGTTTCTGCTGCAGTCTAGCAAGCACTGTGTTCTGATTTACCTATGGCTCTGTGTTTCCGCATGTGTTATTTCAGGTATCACTGCAGAATGCTCTTCTAAACTTGTGACTTTGCATGAATCATTGAGATTGATTGGTTTAAAGCAGAAAGAATAACTACCTAACAAGATAGCTGCTAACAGACGTATTATTCCAGCTGTAGTTTGGCTGAGATGAGGGTTTACTGTCATCCTCTCTCTGTACTGAAAAAAACTTCACCAACCAACAAGAAAAATAACTGTTCCTGCTCTTTTTCATGCCAGTGATTGTGATTCTCTTGTATATACCAGCATAACTGGCTGCGTGCTCAGTTCCTAACCTGGTTTTGTCAAAATGATTCAAATCATTTAAAGAGGAAAAAAGAAAAAAAGAGACCAGCAGTGTCTAAACAGATGCTGATTATTTTTGCATCACTTGGTTAACCTGAAATCTAAAGGAATTGTATCACTCAGTGATATTTCTAAAGACTCTTATGTGGATGTAATACTGAACCACTTGAGTCTGTTTACACTAAAATTCATTCTATACACAAAATCTGGTATTATCTGTTCAGATAAATGGTTGTTTCTTGTTTAATCATGGATAGAGTGAATTTGTTTATCTTAATTGAATGAAATGGGACAATAATCTAGATGATGTTGATAAATAGCGCTACAGCAGCTGATAATGTGAGGCAGTCAGTGTGGTAAAAATGCTGTCGAGGTATTACATTTTGAAATAGATGTTTAATCTATTAAAACATAATATTCTTTCCTACTTTACACAGGATATAGCACTAATGGACGATCACCAGAGGGAAGAGTTCATTGGTAAAATTGGAATCTCATCAGAGGAAAATGATGACAATTCTGATGAAAGTGCAGATTCTGAGCCTCACAAGTATAGCTGCAAAAGGTGCCAGGTAGCTTTAAATACTTTCAAATTAATTTGATGGGAGGGAAAGAATGGAGATGACTATCAATTATTTATAACTTTAAGTAATGTTGAAAATTAGGAAAGAGAAGGCCAGTTGACAAGTCTGCTCTCCTCTGCAGTGCTCTAATCTACAAAGTGATGTCATTCCATAAGACACCAGGTGGTATTCTGCAAGGTGAATGCCAGACACTTAAAAAGATAAATGCGTATGTTTCCCTGTATGCAAGGCAGCAAGCAAGCAAAACTGGAGGAAGAAACAGTAAAGGAACATCCAATTCTTAGTCTACCTTTTAATTATGTGCAAATTAAAAATATATATATGTTAAAGTAGTATTTCTGAATGATAGCATCCACAATTTGATTCATTTCAGAAAGATCACATGCTCTCTTGTGGGTATCCATTTTGGGGGATTAACACTCCTGTTAGTGTCCAACATGAATGCTTGTTCTTGGCCTACTCTATTACTACCAGGATGGTACTGCTGGAATATACTTTGCTTGCTTGTCAGCAAGAAGAGGAAGAGTCTTTCAGCCTTTAATTGCATGGCTTTTGCCATTTTGTAAAGAAGTAATGAGGAAGAATGGGATCTTTGGGTTCTATATCTTTATGGGGAGCACACTGTGCAGGGGTGAGAGGGTTGCAAAAAATGATCTGTGAGAACAGCAGAACTGGACAAACTGGCAGTGGAGCAGGGAATCTTGGGAGTTAAATCACTGCCTTGCCCTCTGGAAATCAGAATTTATATCACAGTTAAACATAATGGGGTGAAAGCACTTAGCCTACCTTCTCATGTAAAAGACTTGGAGATAATAGTACTTCAGTTTTCTGTTCTTATCTGCAAACTGATTTTAAGCTTATGTCAGTAAGCATAAGATGTGGTCTCACCATTTAATCATATACTTGCTAATTTTAACGTCTGGCACTTAATGGGTACATAAACTGTATAAAATACATGCTTCTAAATGAGGGAAATTTTGCTATTTCAAATTAGAAGGATGTTTCTGGAAGCTGGTCTCTTTTTAGTGCTTTTGCAGGTGTTTGTGAAGCTTGTGAACTGTAAGGCGATGGAAGATGAGTGTAAGCTGTTGTGAGATAGGGAGGCTCTTTTTGGCTGAAAACTCATGCACTCCTAAAGGAGAACTACATACAAATGAGTATTAATGAAATACAAGTTCCAAGATTTTGGGAGTCTCTCACTTAGTTGCCTTTTCCCAGAGGGCATCTTCACCAAGTTGTACAGTGCTGTCAGCCATGCCCTGAAGAGGCCCAAAATTAGAGCAAAAGAACACACTGTCATGGCACTTTGCCCTGATACATAGGAGCATATAAGAATATGCAACTTTACTTAGCCCTGTTGGAGCTCCTGTCTGTTGTAGCTGTAGTGCTTCCAAGAGTGGAGCTGGAATCTCTGCTCTGCAAATGCCAAGAAATACAAATTCCCTGAAGCTAGTGCTGATGCTTTCTCTGCAGAATAGAATAGTATGCCTTAGAGCTCAAAAAACATTTATCTCTGTCTGTGGCATCCTTGCTTAAACAGCTAGTGAAGATTGTATGTGGCTCTCTTCAAATCTGTTCCTTGGTGCACAAATAATTGGAGGTCTTCTACTAGTGTAGTGCAAGAAGCACTTCTCTGTCTAAAAATAAGTGGACTGTTCTCATTATGCTCTTCTGCCCTCTGTCAGCAAGGAGCCAGAGATACCATATTGATCTGGTTTTCTGAGTGAGTTAATTGATGTCCTGTAGCAGAGTGCTTGTAATGGCCAAACAGGTTCAGTCCGAATCTAGCTTTCAAAGATATTTCATCTAGTGATAAGCAGAATATTTCTAACTGCTGCTTCTGACTGTAGATCCCAATAATGTGTTACTAAATCGCAGCTGTTCGCAAGGAACTTCTTCCCCTTTCATTCACTATTGGTTCATTTCACAGTTAACTTTCGGCCGAGGAAAGGAGTACTTGAAGCATATAATGGACGTGCACAAGGAGAAAGGCTATGGCTGTAGCATTTGTAATCGACGTTTTGCCTTGAAGGCTACTTACCATGCACACATGGTCATTCACCGGGAGAACCTACCTGATCCTAATGTGCAGAAGTAAGATGACTTGTTGGACTGCTAAGAGGAGCTGTTTTTTTGTAGTAACGGTGGCTCTATCATCCGATGCTTTAGGAGAACTGGGCTATACTAAAATATATAACATTAGTAATTCACTTAGTGTTATTAATCAACAGCTTCCCAGTTCAGGCTTTGTTAAGTATAAATCTGTGCTTTTTAATAAGAATTTAAAAAACAACAATGCAATTACGATTTGAGGGCATAGCAGTACCAAACTGCTCCAAGCTTACGTTCACAATTCAAGGAATTTGTCTAGTAATTAGTACTACCAAATAAAGTTACTGACAGAAATGTCTGACAATCATCTCTGTCTCAAGAAAAGCGTGACCGTTTTGGTCTTTTTGGTTTCAGATACATCCATCCATGTGAAATCTGTGGAAGGATTTTTAACAGTATAGGGAATCTGGAAAGACACAAGCTTATACATACAGGTAAAAGTGCTGTGTTTCTTTATAATTATCAATATTCAAAAAAAATTTCTGTTGCCAGTGCCTGCCTTTTTTTTTTTCCCCAAGAAAAAAGCTTCTGGGTTTTTATTCTAAGTTGCAATAAGATAAATTATCTATTTATGCTTTAAGGTAGACCAGTTTTCTAAAGCAGAAAGTGTTAATGAAGATATTTGGTCAAAGCCCACAGTGCAGAAGATCCTTAGTTAATCCCATGCAGGATTCATCTGCTAAAAAACCTAATTCTGTATTCCGTTCTTCCTCAAATTCTTATCCATGTCACCTTCTCACCATTACACAGGCTGAAAACTGCTACTGCAAAATCATTTTTAACAATTCATTATTATTTCATGCTATACAGTATTGCCCTACTTCAGGCTTTGTCTTTTTTCAAATCATGCACTAAAAAAAAAAAGCAGCTTTTCTTTCTCTAACGTCTCCTAAGGCAGTGTGCATGAAAGATGTGGCTGACAACACAGATGGACTGTCGCCCTCTAATTCACCAATCTAGTCAGTTTTGAGGGGATGCACATTTTTCATTAACATTTTTTTTTTGTTTATGTTGTCTTTTACATTTATTTTTAAGGTGTAAAAAGTCATGCTTGTGAGCAATGTGGCAAATCATTTGCTAGGAAAGACATGTTAAAAGAACACATGCGGGTCCATGATAATATCCGAGAATACTTGTGTGCAGAATGTGGCAAAGGTATGTCTAAAGCCTTGTTTTCCATTAATTGTGGTACTGAATAGCAGATGAATATCTGAATTCATATTCTACTCTTAGAATATTGGGAAGGTCCTTCGAATGTAAATTTCTTTACATGTGAGTGTTAGTAACTATTAATTGGGAGCTTGACAGATATATAAAACACTTCTAAATTTATGAACTGCTTCCATGACCTGTAAAATGCATCGAATTTTAATAAAATTTGCCTCTGTTCTGTTCAATTGAGAAGTGCTTCTCTGACTGAATTCTGCTGCGTTTGCAGCACCAAAGTGAACAAAAATCTTGGTTGTTTGCTTTTTTTTCATTCTAAGTTGTTTTCAGACATAAACTTAGAGTGATTTCTCTCTCTAAGAGCCTTAAGTGTCAAAAGTTGTTTCTACTTTTTGAGTTATTTGTTACAATCTGAGCTATTACCAAACTGGCATTGTAGTAAAGGCATCAAATGTGATATCTCTGATGATGTTTTTTCTTCTGTTTTCCTTGCTGTTTTGCTTCTTCCTCGGTGATTCTTCGGATGTTTTCCAGAGCTTTTGCCTGGATCTAAAAGAATAGTGATAAATTGCTATTGGCTAACAATGTATGAGTTCTTCCTTGAAGGTGGGAGAAATGGAGAAAATAATCATACCAGACTTTTAGCTGTGTCTGTTTGTCTCATAGGAATGAAGACAAAACATGCACTTCGTCATCACATGAAACTTCATAAAGGGATAAAAGAATATGAATGCAAGGAATGTCACCGAAAATTTGCACAGAAAGTCAACATGCTGAAGCATTACAAAAGACACACGGGTGAGGTCTCTAAAGATGTGCAAAATCAACTAAATGCTTCTTGGGAAAACTCGTATCTAGCAGAGGGAGAGAGTGTGAGAATAGAAATACACATATGGTGCTTTTTGAAAAGTGGGGTTTTGACCTCTTGTCAGCCAGAACCACTATTATATTATACAACTAAGATACATCGGTTGGTTGGTTTCATGTTTTCCTTTTTTAAGGGAGGTTGGTTTGGTCTCAGGTGGGCCTAGAGTGTTGCTTCCATTTTAAATTAGTCTTTTCTTTTGGGAAATAAGAAACTAAATGTTATTTTCTGACTGATAAGAGTGGCACGGTTCAGATAAAAAATAGCTGGTGATGCTGGGCTTCCCCTACTTGTTTGGCTGTGTGATGGGGTTTTTGGTAACACGAGATTTAGAATTATCCCAGATGCCTTAAACTATTAATGCTCTTATGCTAAATGTGCTCTTATGCTAAATGTACTCTTCATACAGGAATCAAAGATTTCATGTGTGAGCTCTGTGGGAAGACTTTTAGTGAGAGAAATACAATGGAGACTCATAAGTTGATTCATACAGGTAAATCCTCCAAGAAATAATAGCCTAGTATTATAGCTTAATTTTTTCCCTAGTTCCTCTTGAGCTACTGGCAGTATGATACTCACCTTTCGGGGCTGTTGCTAACAGATCTTCCTTCCATCTGCCACCAGTAGGAAAACAGTGGACATGTTCAGTCTGTGATAAGAAGTATGTCACTGATTACATGCTCCAGAAACACATACAGCTCACTCACGATAAGGTGGAAGCCCAGAGCTGTCAGCTGTGTGGGACAAAGGTTTCTACCAGAGCATCCATGAGTCGACATATGAGGCGTAAACATCCAGAGGTAAGTTAGTTTGGCAAGTAGCTCATGGAGTGCTTCGGTATTTTGACTTTTGTTTTGTTTTGTTTTGGAAACTTAATGGCCCTCAGTGATATAGAAGGAGTTCCTCCCCCAACTCTTTTTTTATCCCTGTTCTTTTGAGGCAAATTTTGGTTAAGGGTAAATTAACCTTAGCTTGGGCACTATCTCTTAAGCTTGCACTTAACTGAATGAGCTCTTGTGTTGTATTTCAGCAGTAAACACATCTGGTTGTCACTCCCTAAAAATGATTTTCTTCTGATTGTTTAAATCCTTTTTTTGCCTTTGCTTATATGTATGATTCTTTCATATTTTGTATTCATCTGTTAGTGAGCATAATTCACTTTTTTTTCTTCATTATGTTTTCTATATTCAGAAGTGATCTGAAAGAAATGGTGAATAGAGGTGACAGCAGCATCTGATGATGATACAAAATAATAAAGATAAATGCTAACTCTGGAGAATTTGGATTAGAGGGTTGTTTTGTCTGACTCTAGTGGAGCTTTTTCTGTGTTCTAAATTTCTGAACAGATAATGTATGTGCTTTTTTTTCTCAGCAGTTTCTTCTTTAGGTTGTTTAAGGCTTGTTCTTTCCATTTGAGCCTTTATTTTACAACCAAATTATCATCAGTGTTGCTTTGCCTTAAATTATACCTACTTTTCATCACAGTGACAGGGAAAGATGCCAGCAAAAAACTTTCGTTCATTGATTTTTGAACTAAAAATGCAGCTAGCTGTCTGCAGTTTAGAGGCAATTTGTTCCTGTTTTTTGATAAGCTGAGCTGCATAGATTCTGCTGGGGACAGTAGAGTAGGACACAGTTAATGTGTTTATTATTAATAGTAATAAAATAAGTTTTTATAAAGTAATTTTTAGCCAACTACATTTTACAAAATATTATATTTCTTTTCTACAGAATTCTTCACTTCTTAGTGGGTTGTGGGTTGTCTGGAATACGAGAAAAAACACATTCTTCTAGTGTTGTCTTTAAACTTTGCTTTTTAGTGAAAAGGAAAAGATTTTTGTGCCATAAGATAAAGGCTATTTAAAACAAAACAAGCTGTGGTTATATTAAATTAAACCATTACATTAAATGGTTTCTATGAAATGTTGGATGCAACGTTTTTCTCTGTGATTAGGTAGGGTAATACTGTACTGTTTGGCTGCAGTTTGTTCTGGTGCAGTTCACCAGGCTGAATACCTCTTTGTCCACAGATTCTTTCAGTGAAGATTGATGATTTAGAGCAGCTGCCAGAGACTACAACCATTGATGCCTCTTCAATTGGGATTGTTCAGGTAAATTTACCATTGCCAAATTCTGGTGGCAACAAGATTTTCAGACCTACTGGGGATGTTGCGTTTTTGGTATGTATCATAGCCAAGCGTGGGCTGATAGGCAAGGAATATGGGTTTTTTTTTTTTTAGAGAATCAGTCCCAGGTTAAGGTGTGGTATGCTGTCTTCTAAGCAGTACAAGCAGATTCAAGATCAGTCTGTTTTGTTATATAACATGTGCTTATAAAATGGAGGTAATTATAGGGTGAATTCTCAATTCCCTGAAATCAAGTTTTGGCTGAAGTTTGATTCTTTACTTGAAAATCAACGTAAACCAACTACAGGTGATAATAGTCTTACTTGGAACGTCATCAAGTCATTTTGTTTAGTGTTTCATTTGGAAATTTGTTGCTTCAGCCTGAATTAGCCTTGGAACAGGGAGAATTACCAGAAGGAAAACAGCATATGAAAGCTCCTAAGCGTGGCCAGAAACGAAAGCAGAAGTCAGGTGAGGAGGAGGAAACTCAAGTGCCTGAGGACCCTGCCTTCAGTGAATACACAGAGAAGGAAGCTGAATTTACAGGAAATGTTGGAGATGAGACTAATTCAGCTGTACAGAGCATTCAACAGGTAAGCTCCAGTAAAATGGGTGGGCAGCTGGCATTGCCTACTGGGATAATACTTACGGTTTCCTTGTGGCAAACACAGAAGAATCATCAAAAATTTAGGGCTAGTTTGATAAACTTCAGTAAGATGAAGATAAATAGGGGGAAAAAAAGGTGTTGGTCCATGCAACTCCTCATGTTTGTTTCTATTTTCTTTGATGTTACCATCTCCTTGTTTGCCAAATACCACTAACTGGCTGAAGCTGTGACTGCAAGTGTGACAGTTAATTTGACTAATGGTTTTGAACGTTACATATGCTCCCCTCTCACTATCTTCTTCCTTCTACACTTGGAAGTTATTTCAAGCTCTCTATACTGCCCTCTCACAGAATCACAGAAACACCAAGGTTGGAAAAGACCTACAGATCATCCAGTCCAACAATCCACCAATCACCAATAGTTCTCACTAAACCATGTCCCTTAACACAAAATCCAAGCGTTCCTTGAATGCCACCAGGGGTCGGTGACTCCACCACCTCCCTGGGCAGCCCATTCCAGTGCCTGACCACTCTTTCAGAAAAGTAGTATTTCCTGACGTCCAGCCTAAATCTCCCCTGGCACAGCTTGAAGCCATTCCCTCTAGTCCTATCACTGGTTACATGAGAGAAGAGGCTGACCCCCAGCTCACTACAACCTCCCTTCAGGTAGTTATAGAGAGCAATAAGGTCTCCCCTGAGCCTCCTCTTCTGCAGACTGAACAATCCCAGCTCCTTCAGCTGCTCCTCATAAAGCTTGTGCACCAGCTGTGTTTGCCCTCTATTTGTATGAATTCTTTTACTGGCGGTAGCACCATGTGAGCCCATCAGCACTCAGCTGGTCTTTCTCAGTGCTAGATACTTGACAGTCAGCTGTGCAATATAAGGTTGAAGTTACTTTCTGTTTTTCCCCAGGTGGTGGTGACCCTTGGTGACCCAAATGTCACAGCGCCATCCAGTTCTGTTGGACTGACAAATATCACTGTTACCCCCATAACAACGGCAGCTGGAACGCAATTCACAAACCTCCAACCAGTGGCTGTGGGCCACCTGACTGCACCGGAGCGCCAGTTGCAGCTGGACAACTCCATTCTCACTGTAACATTTGATACAGTCAGTGGTTCCGCCATGCTGCACAACCGCCAGAATGACATTCAGATCCAGCCGCAGCCAGAGGCAGCCAATCCTCACTCGGTGGCGCATTTTATAAACCTAACCACCTTGGTGAACTCCATTGCTCCTCTAGGAAACCAGATAACAGAACAGCATCCTCTGACGTGGAGGTCGGTGCCTCAAACTGATGTCTTACAGCCCCCGGCACAGCCAGCGCAGCAGCAGTCAGGACAGCAACAGGTTCAAGCAGAGCAGCAGCAACAGATGTATAGCTACTAATTTATAATTTGAAAATTTGAAGTGGACAGTAGAGACAAAAACACACGGATGTTTGGAAAATTTCTGATAGGATTATTTGCTGGATACCAAACAGAGATGGGAAAGTATTTGTACAATGAAATGTAAGCTAAAATTGGCATCGCACCCTGCAACATCTGTGAGAATCTTGAGGTTCTCACATCATCTCTAAACATTGCAATGTTTTTTTAAAAAAAAAAAATCAAAACCAAAACCATCACAAATTTAGTACCCCTGCTAAATTGTACTGTGTATTTTGCACTGTGAATTTGGGGCAGTAAGATTGAGATTTGAGAGGAAGCATCATAATACACCTTAACCAAAGCAGGGAAATTATATGGCACTGGAAAATCAGAAAACCTTTTAGCTATAACATGACACTTCCTTCCAGTCTGTAAACTTTTTATGAAGACCTCATTGACAGTGAGCTGGAATACACTTGTGGTCAGCTGATAGAGACTGAAATGTACACAGAAATGGGCAAAACAATAATTGTTTTCTTTCTCCTTTTGGTCCTTCTAACAACATTGGTATAATAGGTTGAGGCTGGGACATGGGGGTGGGGCTGAGTGTGGTGTGGAAGAAAATAGATCATTTTCACAAGTATTTCCATTTTAGTGATGGGAAGAGCCCTGTACCCCTAATGATGTTAGTGCTACTTGAATCACATAGCTGGTCTAATACTAAAGAACTTCTATGGTCTTCTAGTCAAGTCAGAATCAAACCAGTTATGAACTGAAACAAGAATGTGATACAGTTTTATGTAATTTTAAAAAAACTGCTCTTTCAAACTTGCTTTTAGCTAATAGATCCGAAGAGTAATTGGTCCTCTTTGATCAAGTTCAGGATGTGAATTTTTTTTCAATTAGTCTTCTTTCATCGTGTAATAAACATTTGAGAAAGTATTCTTTTTATATATATATACATATATATATATATATATGCCTTTGTACTTTACTGTGCATTTCTGGTGAATATTTGTGTGAAAGACACTGTTATCAATATAAGTCATTAATTTTTTCATCCTCCTATTGCCCTGTCTCACAGAAATAATGCATGAATTCTAGTCCGTTCTATTTCCAACTTTCAGAGCCACACACAGTTGTGTGAAATGCAAGACAAAAGAAAGTCTGAAGCATGCTTGGCCACGTGGAGGCAGCATGCCCTAGTGTAGAAGGGGCAAGGTTTGCCTGAATATTGGAGCTGTAAACTAGGGGGTTGGGCAGTCAGTGAGTGACAAACCCGCCCACAGCAGAGGGTTGGAACTGGATGGGCTTTAAAGGTCCCTTCCGACCCAAGCCATTCTGTGGTTGTGATTCTATGAAATACATCAATGCTGATACAACACTTTTGATTCCATTCTCCACATATTGATGTGCATTCTGGTCAGTTGCACGTCAAAAAGACGGTATCTCTTCCACAGATAAGAACGGCTGCTATGGAAAAGAAATTAACTAAAAATGAACAATAACAAAAAATAAATAAAAATAAACAGGTGCTGTCTGGAATCCTGACATCCAAAATTGTCCTACCAGCTGCAGCTGAAGAACAAGTCCTTTCAGGGCTGCAAATTGAGCCAGCCTCAGAACCTTAAGTTTTTTGCCAGGTATAAAGCATCTGCTGTGTTTAACAGTGAAGATAGATTGATGGTTGTAAAAATCCTGTCTGTGCCTATCCTATTTATGAAAATGTTGTATGTATTAGCAAAAATATGAGTAGGACTGAGTTTGTCTTTGAAAGTCTGTATTAACATGGACTACCTGACCCCTAAATGATGCCTTAGAATCTCTGCAACAAATCCTTCCAAAGTATAAATGACTGGAAATTAAAGTTAACCTTCCATGGCTTTCCTTGTGCCATATCAACATCTAGAAGCAACACTATGCAAGGCTCTGTGTAAAGCCTAATTGCAACAGAATATGTTGCAATTAGGAAAGGATGTAACAAAGGAGTTTCTGGTGACAGATTTGGTGTCAGAGGAGCAGAGCTACTTTTCTGCAAATATCAACGAGTCTATAAATGTCTCTATGAGAGAGATCTACGTTTGATGGGACAAGAATGCATATCAGAAAACGTCTCTTAGCAGTGCAGAAACAAAAGAATCTTCCATTCCTTAGCCCTTTATATGTCTTCCCCAAATCCTTTTCAAACAACACTCTATAATCGTGTTTTGTTTTTTTTTTTTATCTCACAAAAACTAGAGATTGATGCCCCTGTATCATCTGGATTATTCCACCACTGGCTCAGGCCAGGTAACCTTCTCCTCAGCTGTCTTCCCCACAAGCGCAAAATCTATTGGTCATGAGGAAGCTATCTTTTATTTATAAAATGAGTTCCTTATGTACTTGAAACTTTTTTCCTTTTGCTGAGTTTGGTGTGTAATTGGGAAAAGCACATTATAATTTGGAAGGTTGAATGAAAAAAAGAAATGTAGAGGTCCTGGATCGAGTTATTTGTGTAAATAAAAGATGGCTATGATCTTAAAAAAAAAAAACAATACATAAATATATACAAACACGGAGGGTTACAGTACTCCATGTAGTGTTTCTGGAAGATTGGTTTTTTTGTCCATAGATAATTATGCTTTTTTTTGCCTCAGCTGCAGTGATTACAACTATTCTATGTGAATACCACTGACAGTAGTATTCAGAAAGCACTGAAACAGTCTGAGCCATTTTAACATGTAATTGCCTGATTATTTGAAAATGAATGGTGAGTGCAGGTCATCAGATACCTCTCTGATTTCACAAAACCCCTTTATCCCAATATGTGATCCTCTGGTTTTCTGTAGTCTTATACTGACTGTGTCATCCCTCCTGCTCTTCCACAGAATCTGACCCAGGCAAAGCAAAATCTTGCACTTCTGACAGTGAATTAACTAATTATAAAAGGAACAATCTGATTGCACAATAAATGCTTGCATGTTGATGATCATGTGGAAAAGAAATTTCTCTCTTCAGTTTTCTGCTATCCTCAGAATATCTTAAATGATATTCTCCTTAAGGAGAAAAAAAAATGAAGCTCACCTCAAGTAGGCCAGGCAGTAGAAAGTTTTCAAAAAGCTGAGCCTTCCAGAACACTCCTTTCAGAAATAACTTTGACTGCAACCTTTGCTGTGATATCTTACCATCTCTCAGTGTGACTTCATTATTACTACTATTATTAACATCCCTATGAGAACAAAACTGTATGTGGAGTGTGCTGCAACAAGAAAAGTTTCAAAAGAAATAATATTTTTGGAGAAGTTGGAAATTAATTTCTTTTCAGATGGCACTTCCCTTGGAGAACTAGTGAATGCCAGCTGCTCTCCCAGCTAAGCCTTTTGCAAATGAATACCAAAGTTCTACTGACGCTATTTCAACCTGCACAACAAATAAAAATATGTAAGGGATTTGCAATCTAAATTTCATTTGCCAATTTGTTACTAGCCTTTTCATCTATAGGATATGAAGGTTACTTTTTTCAGCCATGTGTTGGAGATTTTGCATAATGACTGTTCAGTAACAAACTGGAATTATTTTGAGCCAAAGGAGTGATGTGTAGTGCTGTGTACTGTCTTTGTTTATTGGTAAGACTATTATTTAATTGAATGCTGTCTGTGGCACATGGGCTCTGAAGTAAAGGAGCAACAAGGTGCAGAACCCTTCTCTACTAGCGTTTTTCTTCTTTTCTGGTCCTCAATTAACGTATCAGACTTTTTTCCTTGAATCACCTAGATATGCTTCAAAAGCAGTAAGATTAGTACTTACCTCATAGAACTTTGTAACCAAACTATCCCAAAATACACAGGAAAACGGGGTAGCATCCTGAATACATATTCTATAGCTTCTTACTATACTAAATAAAAAACAGAGGAGATTGCATCTTTCTCAGCAGCGGTCTGTGATGAATTTTGTCAGGAAAAGCTACTGTATTAAGTGCCTATAAACTTTTATTTTGAGATGTGTCAATGGAAAAGTATTTTTGCAGAACAGTAGCAGTCAGTTTCTGCATAGACAGCTAAGTTTCTGCACCTTTTTACTGTTTCAGAAATCCTCTGAAATTAAGAACTGGAAAACAGATGAATTTATTTCTAGAACTGATTTTCTTATCAATTTGTCAGAATGATTTACTAGTGCTCTGCACACAAGAAGATGCCTGAATTTCTCACCCAGAAAATTAGGACTGGAAGAAATACTATACAGCCAGGTGATAGTCACGTAAAAACTGTGTAAGTATTACCTGAAAATAGATAAGGAAAATAGCTTTATTGGTATTGCTTTGTGAATTCTTTTTCAGGAATGATATTTCCTTGGTGCTGTTTAGGCTCTTTAAAGTAATACTGTCACTCCTCGTAATTACTGCTGGCCTTTTATGTGTTATCAGTATAGGTATGCATCTTGGATAATCCTTAACCTTTTGTATTTTTGGCATATCTGTTCATGGTGGTTGTGAGTGCATTGGCTTAATGTAGTATAAAGGCAGAAGGAAACATACTGGAGGAGGATACTGCTGATCTGCACCATAATTCACAGCAAAGTTCTGCTCTAAGTAGTTTGGGGCAACGACTGTACAGCAAAGTGACTTTTGTCTGTGAAATCAGCTGCCAAGATTTGTCTTCACGTAACGAGTTTTGCCACGTAACAAATCCCAAGTTGGCAACAGGACAACAGCAACAAGAAAAGGCATTTCCATAGCATTTGTCATCAGCTCGGAGCGATTTTCTTCAGTGCTACTATCATATCCCCAGTGTAAATGGCAAGAAGGTGTTAAGTTTTCTTGATGAAAAATGTTGGAACACTTTAGAAAGCAACAATTACTTCATCACACAGTGTAACCATGGTTGGGAAATATGTTTTTTGCTCTGAAATGCTCTGAGAAAGCTGTTCTGGATTTCTTTTCCCTCCTAGGTTCTGAAGAACTACTCTGTGTGGCCACTGCTGCCAGCTACAAAAGGCAGACTTCAGTCTCAGCTGGAATTACCATACAGAGACCCTGCAGTACAGCCTAATGATGGCCGATCTTTGGATCACTTTCCTCGAGTTCAAGCTCACTGTTGCTAAATTTACCTTCCTAAATCAAGCTGAAAGGGGCAGAAGGGGAATCCTTTGAGAGTGGTAGGAAGGTGAGATTCCTCCAAGAGACTTCAGCCTTACTTCTCAAGTTAGGATTTCATCAAAACTGTAGTGTAATGCTGTTGCCTTTGTCTTATCCATGAGCTGTTTTGACCAATTAATGTCTGGCTGGTTACAGTGACTTTAGAACAGCTGATGTCAAAAGCAATCAAAATTACTGAGTTTAGGTATATATTCCATCTAAAGCAGAGTTTTTCAATTCTAATGTCATTTTGCCATCAGTTGAGCTCTTTATTTTTCTGTTTCCAATTAGATTTTGATTCTAGAAAGTTTTGAAGGTGTTTGGTAATTGTAGCCAAAATTAAATAGCTATATATACATATATTAAAAAAAAAAAATAGAAATGTAGTATTGGCAGAATGAGAGGTTAAAATTGGCAGACTCAATGGTACTAACTTTCTGCAAGTTTCTGTCTTCTCCTACCCATGTGAATCTAAGGCTCTTGCTGTGACACTGAAACAAGGAGATAAGCGCATACTGTGGCTGGTTTGCCAGAACAACCTGCATAAGGTCTGACGAGCTGGTTGTTGTTAATGAAGCCAGATACCAGCTGAGTTCACCTGTCTTCCTCTCAAGCCATGCGCTCATTTTAGTATCTTGTCCCCGCACAGCTGGCAGTTTCCACTGAACTCAAAGAGGAGTGGGCATCTCTGAGCCTTGTACGCACTAACTTCACTGAAAAGAAAGATGAGACTGGGACATGGGAGGCAATAAAATACACTGGACATATAATTAGATAAAGGCAGAGAAAACACAGACTTAGCGTGCTGTACAAAACTGCATAGTAAGTTCTGGTAGATGCAGTCCTGTTAACTAATTATTAGTGATTACTGTGTTCAGATGATTTTCTCTAGAAGAATCTACAAGTGTAGAGGGGAAAGCATTAATGTGTGCTTAGTTTACCATAAATTAAATGCAAAGGTAAAACACAGTGTATTATACGCAGGAACATGCAGAAACCAAAATGCAAGATGCACAAATGATAAGAGAACATAGCAGGTTCACATTTCATCACTTCTGGAAAGAGCTATAGCAAGCTTGTGGGCAGAATTTTCTCAAGACTGAATGTCCTTTCTCACGCACAGAAAAGACCTGCTCTGTCATGTATGTGCTACAACCACGTAAATTTGACATAAGGGGGATTACAGCAGAATAAAGAGGGGTGCTTTGCAATCAAAGAGCCAAACAACAACAACAAAATCAAATGAGCAGATTAAAGGAAAGGGTGGGGAAGTTCTTACCCCAGCTCCTTGCCAAGGAGAGGGAGATTAAAGTAAATAAATAAATAAATAAATAAGGTAACAGCGCGTATGAGCTCTTCTTCCCTTCTTTCCACATCCATGCCTGTGTTAAGACCCGAATGTGAGCTTTCAAAGAATAATTGCTTTTGCCTGGTTGATGTACAAATGGCATCTGTACCCAAAGGCCCTGGTGATCGTACGATGTTCTGCGATACATTTTCAAAATGCATATGGGTAAAGTTGGAGCTATGTGTACAAAGGGTGGGGCTCTTTGGGGGCTGTCTTAGAAAATGAAAACACCTCCATTGCTGTGAAGTCTGCACTGATGCAAACAGAAGGCTTTTGCTGAAGAAGCAGTGGAACCCGTGGACAAAGCACCATTTATAAAGACGGAAAAGAGAAAAGCTCAGATTGCATAATCAGAGAGAAAAATGAGAAACTTTGTCCTGGAGGCAAGTGCATCTATTTCTCATTCACTCT